AAATAAAAAAAAAAAAAAAAAAAAACATTTAAAAAAAAAAAAAAACAGCTAACAGCTAATATAGGGGTAGAATAACACTTAGGCTGTACACATTATCTGAGAAACTAAAGCACTGAGATGCCAGGTCCGATGTATGAAGGGGCAGAATTGGGATTTAAGCCCAGATTTCTCTGACTGTGGCATCCACAATGGCAACCACTGTAATCCATGACTTCTGTGTGTGTCCAGGTAGTATAAGGTAACATGTCACACAGGGTACAACTTGGTGCAGGGAGAAGTCGGGAGTGGGGGTTCCCACAAGGATGAGGTTGGCCCTCCATGGTCCTTAAGGCCAGACCCCAATCATAAAGGTAGACTGTGCTCTCATAATTTGCCCCTTTCTGGCCCAGTGCCCCTGTGTTACCCCATCATCCATCCGTGGGCTCCCTTATATACACTTGAGCATCAGGGATCCTTGATGACTGGTAGCACCATGAAGCTTGTTGTGATGCATGCTTCTCCTTCCCACTTATCATGCCCTCGACTTGGAAATGTGCCCTCCCTGTTCTTACTTGCTCTCTTTTTCTGTGTAATAGTAATCACACATATAACTGTTTTCTTCATATCTATCTCCCCACACACACAAATAAGAAGCCCCCATAAAGACAGTGATCACACATTCCCCGCTTGTAAACCCAAAGCATGGAACAGCACATGGTACATCATAGTGACCAATAAATATGTGTTGTAACAGTGAATGAATGAATTGAATGGATTCTATTTTCTTCTGCCCCTGGGCTTGTCTTGTGTCTCAAGGGAGCGAGTCAGAAAATACTAGTTCATCTTAAAAGAAGAGATACGAGAAGAAGACTACTTCTCCCCCAGTCTCCTGGTCAGTGTCATTGAGCACTATTAGTTTGCCAGAAATGCCATCACAAAGACCACAGACTTGGTGGCTTAATGAACAGAAGTTTATTTTCTCATAGTTTGGGAGGCTCGATGTCTAGGGTCCAGGTGTCAGCTGGGTCACTGTCTGTAGAACCTCCTTCCTTGGCTTGTAACTGGCTGTCTTCCCCTGGTGTTCACATGGTCTTCTGTCTGTGTGTCTGTCCTAATCTCTTCTTAAAGAACGCCATTCATACTCGAGTGTGGTTGGAATCAGGCACCCATATGACCCCATTTTAACTTTATTACATAGCCACCTTCTGAGGTACTGGGAAGTTAGGATTTCAACCAATGAATTTTAGGGGAACTAGTTAAGCCTATAACAAGCACCAGCAGTGTTCCAAGAACAGACCTGAAGTACTATAAACAGATCAGTGAAATAAGACCCTGTCTTTGCGAGACCACAGCCAGGAAGGAGGTGGGAGGAAAGACACTGAAACTCAGAACCACTGGGGCAGAAAGCTGGGGCCGGGGGGGCAGGGGAAGCTGTCATGTACAAAGGTCATCATGAAATCAGAGAAGGGCCCTATCGCTCTCATCCCCATCCTTACACAGTACAGTTGTGGGTTCATTTTCTCATTTGGCCCATTGAAAGGTGACCAAAAATGGGGACCCAGGGGTGCACAGGGAGCCAGGAAGGTGCATGCTCTGCTTTTCCCCAGGGCTTCCCTGCATCTGTGCTCCTTCTGCTCGCGTGCAGATCGTCCTCCATGTTTCCCACACCATGGCCAGGGAGGCCAGTCCCCAGAGAGGTCCAACCTCTCTGCCTCAGATCCAACTTCTAAACAAGCACAGTGTCTCCCCCCTACCCTTGTAAGGGAAGTCATTCTGTACAATCACAGCCCAACACCCCCACTGAAATTGTGAGGAGGGTGCTGGGCAGACAAATTGGTAGGTGTACTTGGCAAGGATGTAGACAAATGTTCATGACAGATTTAGGGGAAAAACAGGCTACAAATTGGTGTATACAATGTGATCCCAAGTTCAGCTTTGAAACATTTAAAATTAACCATCTGGAGGCTGCCGCACTGTGGTCCTGGTCTCATAAAGTCCAGCTGCAACTCCTCAGTCACCGTTTCTTGGTCTATTTACATCTCTTTTGCAGATGAATTGCATGATTCTTGCTCTTCTGAAATTTCTAAATTATCTGGAGAAAGTATGTAATTTTAGTTTTTTAATGTTAAGATGTAGAAACACTCTGGGCAAAGAAACTTTTTTTAAAGTTTATTTATTTATTTTGAATGAGAGAGAGAGAACCAATGGGGGAGGGGTGGCAGGCAGAGAGATAGGGAGACAGAGGATCTGACAGCAGGCTCTTTGCTGTCAGCACAGAGCCCAACACAGGGCTGGAACCCATGAACCACGAGATCATGACCTGAGCCAAAATCAGATGCTTAACCAACTGAGCCATCCAGGTGCCCCTGGGTATAAAAATTCCTAGATGGGGCTCAATAAATAACCATTAAATGAATGATTGAATTAAAAAATAAATAGATGAGCTTCCTGCTTTCAGAAAAAAAAAAAAAAAGAAATTTCTTAACAGCCAACTGACTGCAGATCTTGTTTCTTGGGTTTGGCTAGTCCAGGGTGATGGTAACCAGGTCAGTGATTTCTCCACTTTGTCTCTTTCTCTTTCCATACCCATCTCCCTTGCCCCCTTTCCAACTCTTCACCACATATTTTTGTCCTTGGCTCTCTGGCAGAAGAGGAAGATATACCCTTATCAGAACAAGGCACCTCTGCCAGTACGAAGAGGACTTCACTGAGCCAAGGGATCTCTGTCACGTCCAACCTGGAAGAGAGGCACATCCCCATGGTCGAGTCTAAGACCTACCCAGATGAAGATGAGGATGAGGAAAGCCTGGAAAAAATAATGTTTCAAAGTAACCAAACATTGTAATGTTTTGGCACCAGTTCTCTCTAAGCAGAAGTGGGAAGACTGTGCAATGCCTTTTTTACTTTTCTCCCTAAAATGCACCCTCAAACTTTTTAGCACTACTGTGTATTAATTCTGTAGTAGGAATATGCCATCACTGATTCAGCAGTTTCCTTTAGTGTTGCACATTCTGCTAGTTTCCAGTATTGTTTTTTCAGCAGGAGAGATTCCCCCAGAAACAGAATTAACAGTCAATAAGAGTATCTGTATTTTCAATTCTGGTAGCTGTGGACATATTATCAGCCAAAAAGGGCACTTCCCATCCACTGCGGGGGGAGGGGGAGGGGGAGGACTGGGAACTGTGGCAACATGTGCAGCAGATGATTTGTCATCATGCCACAACAGTGTTCAAAAAGAAAGAGTGGGTCTCCTTTCCATCAGAGAATGTGAATTCTGGGTGTGCCCACGGGGATGCACTTGTACACATATATTTTTAATTTGCAGCTGACAAGTTACAGAGCATTGACAGCCACTCGACAGAAGTTGGAGAAGTAGAGAACAACCCAGTGAGCAAGGCAATCGCTCGCCACCTGGGCATTGATATTTCTGCAGAAGGTCGCATGGCCAAGAACAGGAAGGGCATTGCCATTATCATCCATGGGACGCCCTTGTCAGGTATGTCACATCTCTGAAGGGTTGTCACTTTAGGGTTTATGGTGGAGTTCACAGATACAATTTTTGAGACAACAAAAGAATTTTTTTAAATTTGTATACTACAAGACTATCCCAAAACTTTTATTTTTTTTTCTTTTTTTAAAATAGTTTATTGTCAAGTTGGTTTCCATATAACACCCAGTGCTCATCCCCACAAGTGCCCTCCTCCATGCCCATCACCCCCCATCGCCTCTCCCCCCCATCTGCCCTACCTTTGTTCTTGGCATTCAAGAGTCTCTCATGGTTTGCCTCCCTCCCTCTCCTCCACTATTTTTCCCCTTCTTTTCACCCATGGTCCTCCATTAAGTTCCTCCTAGTCCTCCTATATGTGTGGACATATGATATCTGTCCTTCTCTTCCTGGCTTATTTCACTCAGCATAACACCCTCAAGGTCCATCCGTGTTGCTACACATGGCCAGATTTCATTCTTTCTCTTTGCCATGTAGTATTCCATTGTATAGATAAACCACACCTTCCTGATCTATTCATCAGCTGATGGACACTTAGGTTCTTTCCATGTTTTGGCTATTGTTGAGAGTGCTGCTATGAGCATTGGGGTACATGTGGTCCTATGCATCAGCACTCCTGTATCCCACAGATTAATAGTAAGGGGATGGGGACTATCCCAAAACTTTTTTTTTTTTTTTTTTTTTTTTTTTTTTACAAATAGTTTATTATCAAATTAGTTTCTACATAACACTCAGTGCTCATCCCCAAAGTGCCCTCCTTCATGCCCATCCCCCCCTCCCCCCCACATCCATCAGTCCTCAGTTTTTGTCAGCATTCAAGAGTCTCTCATGGTTTGCCTCTCTCCCTTTCCCCCACCATTTCCGCCCTTCTTCTCCCCCTTGGTCCTCCGTCAAGTTCCTCCTAATCCTCCTATACGTGCAAACATATGGTATTTGTCCTTCTCTGCCTATCCCAAAACTTTTAAATTGCCAACCTCAGATATACAGGGTTAAAGAAAGAGCAGGGACACCTTATTTTTAATTAATACAGCTCTGAATTATTTGAGCTTATATTCTTTCAATAATGTAAAAACATTAAAATACTAGAAAAAATATGAGACATTAAGTTATTTAGAAAGAGAAAGGGAAAAAATAAAAAATGATAAAACAAGAGGGGAGGGGAAAATATGTGCAAACTCCTTCAACTGGAAATATTACTTCTATAAATGTACCTTAAGAAAATATTTAGTGATGTGGACAAAGATTAACTGCATGAATGTTCACTTCAGCATTGCTTACCATAATAAAAAATTGGGAGCAAGTGAAGCATTCATTAGGGAAGACTAGTTAATTAAGCCTTACTGCATTCACATAGTAAGTTATTTTGCCACTAAAAACCCGTGTCCATAGCAGCATTATTCACAGTCACCAAAAGATAGAAACAGCTCTACTATCCACTGACAGATAAATGGAAAAACATAATATGACACAATGGGATATTATTCAGCCTCAAAAAAGAGGGAAACTCTGACTCATGCTACAATATAGATGAACACTGAAGACATTATACTAAGTGAAATCATCACGAAAGGACAATTGTTATATGATTCTACTTATATGAAGTGCTTGGAGTAGTCAAATTCATAGAAACAGAAAGTAGAGTGGTAGTCTCCAGGGACTGGGGAAAGAGAAGAATGGGGACTTATTGTTTAATGGGTATAGAGTTTCCGTTTGAGAAGAATGAAAAAGTGCTGGAGGTGGATAGTGGTGATGATCACACAATGGTATGAATGTACTTATACAACTTAAAATATGGTTAAACTGGTAAGTTTTGTGTATATATCACCAGAGATTTTTAAATGCCACAGAAGTGTCCTGAATGAATAGAAAGACATTCATGATACACCATTTTAAGTAAGAAAAAATGTCATACTTAGGATTTGTGATCTGTATTAATTTCCTGTTGCTACTGTAACAAATAACTACACATTTATTAAGTTGAAACGATGCAAATTTACTTTCTTTCTGAAGGTCAGAAATCTAAAATGTTTCAACAGGGCTGCATTCCTTCTGGAGGCTTCTGGGAGAGAACCCATTTCCTTGCTTTTTGTAGCTTCTAGAAATGTTGCCTGCATTCCATGGCTGGTGACCCTTTCTTCCATCCTCAAAACCAGTATTATAGCATCTTCCAGTCTCTCTTCCTTTTGGTTCATCATGATATCACCTGTTCTGACTCTGACCCTCCTGATATTTTCTCCTGTAAGGGCCCTTGGGATTACGTTGGCCCACCCAGATAACCCAGGATAATTTCCCATATCAGGATCCTTAACTGAATCGAAGGTGCTAAGCCCCTTTCACACATAAGGTAATATATTCACAGGTTGCAGGCATTTGGATGTGGATGTTTTTGGGGGGGGGGGCATTGTTCAGCCTATCACATAACTCATCTCTTTATAAGAAATATAAATAAAGTAGTTACATATACTTACTTAGTAGTCATATGTTAACCATAATATGTCTGGGTGAGCAAATTATAGATCTTCTTTTTTCTGCCCTCCTGCTTGTTCTTTGAATTTTCTTTCTTTTTAACGAGGAGATATTTTGAAATGAGAAAAGAAAGATGAACACAAGTTATTCTTTAAACCAAAAAGTTCTTCCCATTAGAAGCAGAGACAGTAGGGGCACCCGGGTGGCTTAGTCAGTTAAGCATCCGACTTTCGCTTAGGTCATGATCTCATGGTTCGTGGGTTCGAGCCCCGCGTCGGGCTCTGTGCTGACTGCCAGCTCAGAGCCTGGAGCCTGTTTCCAATTCTGTGTCTCCCTCTCTCTCTGACCCTCCCCTGCTCATGCTGTCTCTCTCTCTCTCTCCTAGAAATAAATAAAACATAAAAAAATTTTTTAAAAAAAAGAAGCAGAGACAGTAGAGCTACAAGACTTTTTAAAAGTCATCTGATAGAATTACCATAGATGGAGGAGAAAATCCAGAGAGGAAACCTGTTGCCATCACATGGCGCACACGCACGGGTGGTGGAATGAGAACAAGAATTGGTGGTCCTGACTTGCTATCTGGTCTTCCATCTCCTTTCTGCTGCCATCTCTGACTACACAAGAGATATAGAGGCAAAGGGCTTGAAGAAATCGCTTTACAGGGGCCTCCATTCTAGAAGCTTCTTCTGTCTAGGACACTGAGCAACTGAGATCCAGGAAATTCAACTTCCTGACCTTTATTGCAGGGAAGTCAGCCACAGCAATCAGCATGGCCAGATACTACAACGCAACCTGCTTGAACATCGACTCCATTGTGCTTGAAGCCATCTCCGATGGCAACAACATCCCGGGGATCCGGGCCCGTGAGCTCTGTATCAGGGCTGCCATAGAGCAGTCCATGAAGGAAGAAGAGTCAGGTAAGAGCCATTTTCCCTGACTTTCTGTGGTCAAGTAGCCAGCAGCCCACTGCTAATACCCATCTTCTCTCTGTCCCCCACTGAGCTTTTCTCCCATATCCTGGTTGATGGCTGACTTACAGCATGCTGCCAACTTATAGCCCAGGGAAGACTTGTCTTCACTGAGCATCTACAGCTCTCTCTGCTGTCCAGACAGGCATGCACTTGGTGCTATGGGGAAAAGGACAATGAATAAGAGGTGGCCCACACCTTTGGGGGTGACATGTGGAAGAGAAACACACATGGGCTTGTTCAGAGCAGAGGGAAATAATGTGACAGGACCACTGACTTCTGTGAAAGGGCAACTTTGGGAAGACTGGCGTCCGACAAGCTTGATCTGGGGAAGTTTTCATGGAAATGAGTTTTGAAGGACAGGCAAAGATGAAGTCAAGTACATTCCAGCTCAAGTAAGCAAGGAAGCTGACAGTAAATTAGAGGTGGGAAGGGAGGCTGAGTCCCATCTTGGTTGACTTTGATGCCAAGATTAGGAATTTGGGTTTTATTTTTTTTTTAAATGTTTATCATTTTTGAGACAGAGAGAGAGCAAGCAGGAGAGGAGCAGAGAGAGGGAGATACAGAATCAGAAGCAGGCTCTGAGCTAAAAGCACAGAGCCCAATGTGGGGCTCAAACCCACGAACTGCGAGATCATGACCTGAGCTGCAGTCAGCCACTTAACCGACTGAGCCACCCAGGTGCCCCATTTGGGTTTTATTTTGAAGGAACAGAGGAGTCCGGCAGTTTTCACCCTCTGGGAGAAATGGTCAGAAAGCCATAGTAGGAAAGCAGCTCTTGTAATGTCTTGTAAAGGAAGCACAGGAGACGCCGAAAGTGAACAGGCTTGGGCCAGCTGACCCTCTAGCACCTGCGTGGCAGGAATTGAAAGATGGGGAGGCAGTCCAGACAGTCACCTAGGATTTCCAGTCATGGAAACCAGGAAGAGAATGATGTGGTTTACCAAGATAGTAAATGTGGGAGGAAAAGAAAGTTTCCTGGAGAGGAAAATTAATTAAGGGTTTGAACCCCATAGTAGTGTGGTCTGGGATGACCTGCCTACCAGAGGTGGAGAATTCTGGCTCCATCAGGTAGTCTATGGACCTACAGAGCAGGAGAATGGCTGCTCAATGGGAAAATATACTGAAGTAGAGTGACTGCTCTGAGAGGAACCATTTTTATATAAATATTCATTCATAACAGCATAATATCATTTCTAATAGTGTGCCATGCCTGCTGGTTGATTGATAAAAGTGGCTGGCACTCTCAGACATGTCCCTTCCATATGTCTGCATAGGATGCTTAGGGAAATAGAAAATTCTTTGCTGAAAAGATTAGAGAAGGTGCTAGGCCACAGAGGTGCAGGACTCATGACGAAGTGAGCGGGCACGGATGGCAAGAGGCTGGAGCCATCATGACTAGGCAGAGCCTGGGGGCACCAGGGGTGACGGGGCCTGGGTGAACCAGGAACCTGTCAACAGGATGTTGGTACAGCTGCTCCACTGGTGGCCTCAGGCCCTTTCTCCCCTACCACCCTCAGGTGCAGTATGGAGTCCTTGTACCTATAACCAGCTCCCGGAGGAGGGACGGAGGGAGACGAGTGAAAAGATAAAGCAGAGAAAGGATAGTGACAGCTCTCAAAGGAGTTCTGAGGGCTTATTTGCTGAAATGGCCTACAAGGAATAAGGAGTCTTAGCAAGCCTGCCTGTGCTGGAGAAACGTGGAGGCTGCCTAGCGCACAGCTGTATCACCCCATCTGAGGTGTCAGCTTTCCAGGGCAGGGCTGCAGTGGACCAGCAGTTTAAGAAGTGCTTGCCCACAGGGCTGGAAGAGGAAGTGGGGCGGACTCACACGGGATCCACTGGGCAGATGGGCAGTGAAGAGCCCTGGGCTCTGGTCCAGCCTCTCCACTCACCTGTCCTCATCCAGCCTCGGTGTGTGGAGCCTCTTCCCCCAGCCCCTCCCTGCCAGCTGCAGATGGAGACAGCTGTGCACTCCTCAAGAGAATCACACAACCCCACTAGGATTTGTGCCATCCTCACTATTATTTCCTTGTCGTCCAGAGGCAACTTTTAATATAAACCCACTCTCTCTGTGTAGCCCACGAGGCTCCTTCAGGCCAAACTGCTTTGGGACAAACACGTCTGAGCAGTGAAACTCTGGGCAAGTTGACTTCAGAATCTACCCTATCCCCTGAAATAAAACCAGCGAAGACCGTGCGTGGGAGCATGATTATTGCCAAAAGCAAGGCGGAGAGCCACGGCTCTGGGTCTCAGAAGCAGCACCACCAGCACGCATCCGAAACACCACAGGTACAAATCAGGGCTACCCAGAAAGAAGGGTGGGATCCCTCCTCCTGCCCTTTCTCCTCAGCACCCCTCAGCCAAGTCAGCACCATGCCCTTGCTATGGGGGCTTTCACCAGGTTCACGGTGCAGGTCTTGCAAGGAGTGGTCATTCGTCAGGCATTCAGCAAGTGACTTTAACGTTTTAGGCACTGGGGTTGAGTGCTGACAAAATGAAGATAAAGCAGAATCCCTGCACTTAAGCTGCACTAAGAGTCTGATGAAGGAGATAGCCACACATTCAAATATTTGCAATAAAATGAGATTGGTGGCAAAAGAGCTTTGTAAAAGGAATTAGCTTGAACTGTATGAAATTGCCAACATTCAACCATTGCAACAGCAATTTCATATGGTGCAGCCTAATACTAAAGGAATGCTAAGGATGAAACCATTCATATGAATTATGGGAGAGCTGCACAGGAGTCTTGGAAAGTCATAAAGAAATCAGAGAGTTTGAGCCTCAGCCAAGGGACTTTGAGAACAGTCTTGGCAGAATCACAGGTGTTGTGGCCAGACAGTGGATGGCACCATGAGAGGCAGGTGATGAGTCGTCAGTGGGAAATTCAAGTGAGTGTAGGCTTCCAAGATGTTTCAAAGAACAGGAAAAGAGACACGTTGTTAAAGGAGCAAATTTAGGGTCAGGAGAGTTGTTTCTTCAAAAGAAGGTGGAGGCACAAGCACGTATATAAAGAGAGGAGCTCCTGGAGGAGTGTAAGGTAACAATCCACCCAAGAGGGAATGAAATTCCTGGAAGAGACAGGGAGGGAAAGACTAAGCACAGCCAAAGGGAACAAGGGGCCAGCTCCTTCTGGAGTCAGTAAAGGTGAAAACAGATACAGCTGCCTGTGGGGAAGTCAGGGTGGAGAGCAGAGGCTGGAGAAGATCTTGCTGAGTGGCTTTAGGATGTGTGCAGGATGCAAAGCCTTTCAGTAAGCATTGAGGAGGTTGGTGTTGCACAGCATGCTTGAGGAGAATGACAAAGCACTGATGTGTCCACCAGAAGGAAGAGAACCAGAAATGGGTGGTGGACAAAAGAAAAGACAGTTGAGAATGCTGATTCCCCAGCCAAGACAGGAAGCCATAACTTTGCAGTTTTAAGATTTCCCTAACCAGCAACTGGAAACTTATTCAGAGGTAGAAAGAGAAGTCATCATTGCAGGGGCAGGAGTGCACTCAGAACAAGGGGCAAGGGAGTTGAGAGTGGTGTCAGTATATGGGAAGTGCAGTCTATGGAGAGAAGGAATTAAGAGGAGGGCAGCAGAATGAAAGAAACAGAACACGAGGAAGAGTCTGTGGGTCTTGTTACCATTCCAAGAATGCAGTAGTAAGAGTGGGAGAGGCAAGCACTTCAGAGAAGGCTGCTGAGGGAGACGGACTGGAGGTGAAGGCCCTTGCAGGAGAGGATCCCACGTGTTGAATAGGGCAGGTGGATGGAAGTTTGGATAGGGCCGTGGACAGAATAGAAGGCAAGGTCTTCACATGAGAAGAGGTATGCAGGTTGGTTGGGGCATTCTGATGCCTCTGATCTTCATTTCAGTCCCTCCCTCTTCTAACACCTTGAAAATTGGAACCATTGACTCAGTTTCCTTTGCAGCATCATTTAACCCTCTTTCTCAAGATCAAATACAGTGTTCATGGATGAACTAAAACTTGTATTTGTATTAAACAGGGTATCATGAGGAATCATTTTCTTGGATTGGGGTCCATCCATCTGGACAGTGAAGCAAGGCTTTTTAGAATATATCAAAGGCAACAGAAAATCCCAATTCTGATCCCAATCCCCTTGCAATAAATAGGGAACTTAGAGCCTGTTCAAGGTCATCCCCACCCACATGGCTTCCCGTACTGCTCCAATGTGACAGGACTCATGCTTTGGACAACGGTCATCCTTTTGGCACGCTCCACCCACAAATGGCTGTTCAGTTTTCTAAAGCTCTCCTAAAGCGTGAACTCTCCAATGACTTAAAGTTTAGTCATGTTGCAAATGGAAAGCAATGTATAATATGTCATATAATGATGATATGACTGTAATATAAGGTTATTTATTTATATATCACCGTGCTCTGGGAGAGCATTCACTGGAAATTCTGATCTTTTGAAAGACATTTAATACAACACTCTGACTTCTCAGGCCCATGCCCACCTCAGCTCCTCACTGCCATGGTCGTGTTCAAGAACTTGTTCATTGTTATGCATAAACTCCAAGACCTCAACACTACACATCCTATGTCCTGACTACCATCTTCTAACCTTCCTTCCAAATGATTTACTCTGAGAAGTAACTGGTCCCATCCAAAACTCTAGTCCACATCTTCACTGCCTACCACCCCCTTCATTCCCTATCTTACCTGGTTTGGTATCTGTGTCTGTCACTTTAGGTGCCCCCTTGCTCTCTTCCCCTTCATCACACTCTCCAAGCAAAACTTCAGCCCTGGTAAGCCCGATTCTCTACCTTTTCCATGCAGGGCAGCTGAACACAGCTGGAGACAATCCCATCTCTCCTGAATGGTCTTTATTTAAAATTAGACCACAAATCTCAAGTGGACCCTTTGGTCTGCCCTAGTAAATTTGCCCTCTATCTCTTCAAGAAAACTTTTATTTCGGTCATCACTCTCCAAACCCCTAAGACCCTTTCCTCTTCCTCATTCCCAGCTGATTATCTCTCTCCTGACTGCATGGAGGGAGCAGCAACAATGAGAAGACAAACACCATATTCTCCCACCACTAGACCTACGAGCTAGGGTGCACCCTAACCCAGCACTGCACCCTCCCTGCCACAGAGTCACTGCCCCTGCTCTCATTCCAGTCCCTGCACATGTGCACTGGACTCCACTCCTTCTCACTCAAGAGCTGAATTCCTGGGGCACCTGGGTGACTCAGTCAGTTAAGCGTCCGACTTTAGCTGAGGTCATGATCTCACAGTTCATGGGTTCGAACCCCACATCAGCTCTGTGCTGACAACTAGCTCAGAGCCTGGAGCCTGTTTCAGATTCTGTAGCTCCCTCTCTCTCTCTCTCTCTCTCTCTCTCTCTGACCCTCCGCTGCTCATGCGCGCTCGCTCACTTGCGCGCTCTCTCTCTCTCTCTCTCTCAGAAATAAATTTTAAAAAAACATTAAAAAAGAACTGAATTCCTGCAGTCATCCCCTCTCCCTCCAATTTGTTTTTTGCCCTATGTATTGATCCTTCTTATCAGCATCTATGCATGTTTTATTATCTCCCATCTTTAAAAATACTGTCCCAACATCGCAGATCTCCCTCCAGCTATTACGTCATGCCTCAACTCCTATTCAGGGCTGTTCCTCCAAAGAATTGCTGCATGCCTCCCTCCTCATCCTCAGCCCCCATTCTCTCTTTCACCTATTCCAGTGAGGCCTTTGTCCTTAACACCCCATGGATCACTCTTCTCAAGGTCTCTGGCATTCATCTTGCCAGATCCAGTGGCCAGTGTTCTGTCTTCCATCTCACGTGACCTCATAGCAGCTGATAAGTCCTCCTCCTGGATGTGCTTCTGGCCACAAGAACACCACACTCTTCTGCTTCCCCTCTGCCTCATTCAGGACTCCCCCTACTCCTGCGGCTTCTCTACCTCCTCTGTATCCTTAGGCTTTTGGAATAGGCTAGGACTGAGTTATCTGCTCTTTTCTTTTAGTTATCTACCTTTTCTCTATAGGTGATCTCATCCAGTTGATTACTTAAGTACTTAAATACTTTCAGGATGTGTGTGCCCCATTTATATCTCCAACCCTAATTTCTTGCCCACCTCAGTTTTACACATGCAAACTCACATTCAGTATCTCTGTTGAGTGGCGTAGGCACATCTCAAAATGTATGTGTCTGAAAAGTGATTCTTGCCCCTCACCCAAAGCAGAACAAGACAAAACATTGCTCTTCCCTCAGTTTATTCTTTCTTAATAAATGACTTTACCATTTTCCCATTTGCTCAGACCAAAACCCAAAGGATCGTTCTTGGTGCCCTTCTTTCTTTCATTTCTTGGTGCCCAAGTCCTAGTGGGATGGGATGTAAGACAAAGTATCAGAGCCATTTCTCATCACTTCCACCATGACGTCCTCGTCCCTGCCACCATCAGCTCCTGCCTTGAACATGGAGATGTCTAACTAACTAGTCTTCCCGCTTCTGCTCTTGTCACCTCATCCAACAGGCACAGTGGTCTTTCAAAAATAACACTCAGATCATTTTCAGCCTAAAACATGCCAACAACTTCCCATAACACTTGGAATAATCCAAATTCCTTAATGTGGTCTGTAAGCCCTGACTATGTCTTGACTTTAATTAAGCCTGACCTTCATCCCCATTGCTCACTCAGTGATTTATGCTGGGCTCTGACGTGCTCCCCCAGAGTCCATCAAGCACACTCGTGTGCGAGGAGCTTGCTGTTCCCTCACAGAAAGACCCTTCTCTCAAGATCTTGTCTCATTCTTTCATGTTGTTGTCCAATCCTGTCACTGTTCTCTTCGCCCTTACCTCATTCTTTTCTCCCTACCACTTGTCACTATCTCAGGCTATGTTACTGATTTGGATATTCACATGCCCCTTTTCTGTCCCCTCCATTTGAATTAAGGACCACACAGGCAGCAACATTGCCAGTGTTGTTTGTTGTTGTTTCCTAGTGCTAGAGGGGCCCCTTGTACCTAATAGGTGCCCAATATTTAGTGAATGAATAAACAAATGTATACATATACAAAGCACCTTCCACAGTGTTCCCACTTGAAGCTTAGGCAATTCTTTAAGGAAGATAGGAATCTCCCATTTTACAAAGCAATCCCCATTTTACAGTAGGGGAAATGAGGCCCAGAGAGATTATGTGATTTCCACAAAGTCATATGGCTTCTAAGTGTGAGAGCTGCTGGGACATCAAGCTGGATTCTAACTCTTGATCCTTCTCCCACTCGACAGATTTCCTCCAGCCCTCTCCCTTCGGGGCCCACACAGCGCCGGCTCAGTGTCAGCGCCAGTATCGGAGGTGAGACTGGGCTCATGAGCTGTGTTCTCCCTGAGGACCTATTTACCCAGATCCTGGCTGATCGCATACAGGTATATCCGTGCCTACCTGCCCAGAGCTGCACAGTTCACACTCCATCCCTGCGCTGGGACCGGAGATTTCAGCCCACAGCCCACTCACAGCAGCTCAGAACTCAGGGATCTTGGAGAGGAAAGATGGGCTTCTTCACCCCCAACAGTCATTTGCTCTTGTCTTTTTAACAGTTCTTGTTAGTCCCTAGCCCTGGCACAGTCTGGTGCCTGAAGCTACTCTCCTTAAAGGACCAGTGAGCAGGTTACCTATTTTTTTTTAAATCATATTCATGATACAGCCCTGCAGTGGTATATTTAAAATCATAACATGGAGCCATGGAAAGTTAGAATTTGGAACCATATTAATTGCTGTAAAAACTTGTCTTCAAATTATTGAGAAAAGCAGATTATGAAATAGTATGGATAGTGCAATTGCATTTCTATAAACATATGTCTAAACGTATATCATACAAACAGTAAAAACTCTGAAAGTGCACATAACTTTGGTTATCTTTGGATAGCAGGGTAATGGATTTTTAGTTCATTTTGTACATTTCTGAATTATTTTACAATGACATATTGCTTTTAAAGTCAAGAAACACAATAACCGGTTCTGGTTTAAAATTTTTTTTCATAAGCATTGTACAGTTAAAGAAAAGAAACCAAGATCAGCAGGATTTGGGAGGGTACCCCTAGGCCTGTTTGCTGCTTATGGGTTACAGAGAGCTAAATGGCTCACCAGGTCCTGGAGTTGTCCATTGGCCTTGGCTTTTCAAAGTAGGCCACGATATTAGTTGCATATTTAAATATAACAAAATGTGGCCTGAGGCTCCCAGAAGAGGAGATGTCATCACAGGAAATGACTCACATTAAGATTTGATAGCTACTGTGTTCATGGTGCTGTCACTCTCAGCTGACTGGAGCAAGACGGGCTGATAAGTGTGCTGGTCTTTCATGGAACCAGGTTAAATCACCAGTAACGCCCAAAGCAAGCCAGCAGAGTGGGGCTACTCAAAGTACTGATTTTTGATGAAACATGGAGTTGGCACTGCTTCGTTCATCTACGGTCTCACTACAAAGGAAAACAAACAAACAAACCCAGCAGCTGAACTAAATAGTGTTTTTAGTGATGTTGTTGATTTACATTCTGGCACAAGATCCTGGTCTCATCAAAAACCGGTAGTGATCAGCTCCTGGCCAAGGGTGGCCAGTCTGTATACCACCCTTTGAGTAACACTGACATACAACAGAGGCTGCTCCTCAATGGTTGATATTCCAAGATAGTTACACACCAAGGCAGTAACACCCCTGAGAAAGATCTGAATGGCACACCTGCTGTTGCTGCCCTTGCTGTGACTCTGTGCATGGGGATATCTTCCTGTTCCTCATGGACCTGCCCAGACCCTCACTCTCACGTTTAGTTTGCTTTCCTTATTTCTATAGAGATAGAAGAAATATTTTACTCTATAAATATGTATGATAAAGCTCTTGCATGACTGATAATATATTTTTATTTTTGCCTCTTATTTTATAACAGCAAATTGAATGTAGCATGTGGAAGGGTGTTTTAATGGTATTTACATGGAGGCCCAATAGGTCAGCAGAACCCATTGCAGCCCCCAGTAAAACTACCCATAAAAGAACAAGCAACTTTCTCCATAGAGAACCCAGTAACTGTGGCCTTAGCTACTGTTCTTGCTCACTCTGGTTTCAGCTGAGTGACTGCTTCCGTGGAGTGGTGTTTGATAGCGTTGAGACCCTCTTTGCTCGGAACATGACTACAGCTCTCCTCTGCCTGCTAAAGGCCATCGGCAGCCGGGAGCACATCTATGTTATCAACATGGCCCAGGATTACACACTCATGAAGGCCCAGGAGAAAGCAAAAAAGGAGCAAGAGGGTAAGGCCCCATACCCTCCTGCGCTACCCTTCCCAAGTCCCAATAGCCCTTTCAACAAAGCCTTACGCTTTTTGAAATGCTTCTCCACTACAATCAGCCATTGTGCAAATGAAACTATTACATCTGCCACATCATCGGTGCTCACCTCTGTTCTGTAAGGTGACCAGAAGTTCTTATTTCTACTTTGCACCTGAGGGAACTGAACCATGGGTGACCTGTTGTGAGACTATCAGACGAGGAAAACCCAGCCAGCCCTTCTTGTAACAGTCACATCCTCCATCCCCCAATATCACACTGCCTCCCTTCTCATCTTTTCTGTAATCACAGCCAACCCAGGGGTGACACATTACAAGTCCCATCCCGACTCAGGTGACCAATTAGCTTGTTGGTTTTGTTTAAGGCAACTGTGCATTTCCTGCAAAACTGGAGGTGTTGATAAACTTGACAAAACAGCTTCTACGTCTTAGCCTCCTGTGTACCAAGCACTGCAGCCAACATTTTGTACACTTGAAATGTCTCTAAATGACACTGTGGGTTATTTAATTCTTACAGTAACCCTCTGGGGATCATTGTCCCCCTTTTACAGATGAGGAAAAGGAGGGGCTCAGAGACATCAACAGTGTAAGATCACACAGCAAATATTAGTAAAGTCTTTGTAACTCTGGGACTTTGCTTTTTTCTGTCATTTTAACAGTAGCCTGAAAAAAATTTCATTAATTGAAAATTAAACACACACGCGCACAAACGCAAATTCAGAGTAATGTTAGCTTAAGTTCCCAATTTAGTCAGAAGCAAACCTAGCAAATTTTGGTCCCCAAGGGAGGAGGTGACACTTTCCTTGGGAGACATACTCTTGCCTCTGGCCTTAGCTCTGGTGACATCATTGCCTTTCCTTACTTGGCCTTACCTCTCTCTTCTGGAAAAATCTAAGCAAATCATAGTGCTTTCCCACTAAGGAAATAATAACAAACTTCAGCTCTCTTAGTTCTGAAACAGAACTTAAAAACCACTCCCTTACATTCTCATCCAGAGAAAAATTAGGAAGAAAACCCCAGCAGTGTTCCAACTTCTAGCTTCCTGCTTTTCCAGAAAGCATACTTCCCCATTACCATCAATTTGAAAGAAAGTATCACTTTTCATTTTCTCAGTTACCTGTAGATTGAGGCTTTTCACTGTTGCATTATGGATTCCTCTCCCTGAAATCATCTGCATTTGAAAAAAGTCTCAAGGCGGTATCCAGTAACATTATTACATTCAAATCGAATTTTTATTGAACAATTATGAATTTGCCAGGCACTGGGCTAGATGCTTTAGAGGATTGCCTATTTGATCCCCAAGGCAGCCTGTAGAGAAAGAACCATTATTTTTATCTGTTCCTAGCTCTTGGTAAGTGTCAGAGAAGGATCTTCAGAAAACATCTCTGAGCCCAAAGCACAGGCCTATGAGAAATAGAAGTTATAGAAAAGAAGCCGAGAGCCTTTGTGCTGGGCACGACCATGCTTCTGGACCTGGAATCTGTAGAGTGTGGAAGATGGTTCTCCTTGCTCTGCAAATGGTTCTGTCACCCTGAGGGCTCTGGCAACATGTGCTCAAAGTGCATTAAGTCCATGGGTGCTATATTACTTCCCTGTTGCTGCAGTAGTAAATTACAGACTTGACGCCTTCAAACAACACAGACTTGCTATCTTACATTTCTAGAAGTCAGAAGTCCTTAAAGCGGGGTGTGCACGGGGCTCCATTCTGTTGAAGGCTCCAGGGAGAGAATTCTTCTCCTTACCTACTCGAACTTCTAGAGGTCACCTGCATTCTGCAGCTCATCATCCCTACTTCACAGGCTTCTGACCTCTGCTTCCATTGCTACACCTCCTTCTCTGACCCTGACCCTCGTGCCCCCCTCTTATAGGGACCTTTGTGATTATACTGGGCCTACTCAGATAATCCAGACAGTCTCCCCAAGGCAAGGTCCTTAACTTAATCACATCTACAGAATCTTTTCCCTCATACCAGGTAGTGTATTCACAGTTCTAGGAATTAGAACACAGACATCTTTGGGACTACTATTCAGCCTAGCACAGATGGAGGGCAGTTTTGGAACTGTGTGAGTGAAAAAAGGCCCACCAGAGATCAGGAATGCCCCCGCGGCACCACAGCCACCTCTCCCTGGCGCAGACCCTCCATACCCAATGTGGGCTGCAAGCTGAGCCACTAAGGGCCCTGCAGCCAAGACTGGTGAGTCACTTTCCCTCACTTTCCATCTCTGTTCCCTCCACAGAGAGCAAACGCAGGGAGGCAATTGAGAAAGAGAAGGAGCGTCTCCAAAATATGGACGAGGAAGAATATGACGCCATGACAGAGGAGGAGAAAATTGTGTTCAATCGAGAGGTTCAGCAGGCCCTCCGGGAAAGGAAGAAGAGGTCAGAATCAAGGGCTAGTCAGAGTGGAAGTGGTTCCCCCACCCCCACCCCCACCCCCAAGGAGTACCACACGGCCCATCCTGGAGACGGGATCATCTTCCAGGGGAGCAGTGTGACCAAGGGAGACCCAGGAGGATGACCTGCTAAGAGCAGGAAAACACCTTGACCACCGAGGGGATTGGTTGCTGCAGCCTTTCAGGGTTCTGTCATTGTCCTCTCCCTCCTTCTCTCTGGAGGGCATCTGACACTAGAGGGAAGGTCATATGATATAATGGCGGGGGACTTCGGGCTGCTCTGTGAGGGCTGCTGCAAGCTTCTCCTGATGACTGCCCCCTGGGTGTGGCTCATCTTCTGTGCTCAGGTGTCCACAGCTGATGGCGGAGGGGTCACTCTCTTGACATGAACTTAAAGGTCACTCCCCAGAGCTGAGCCATTTCTCCTTCCCTGGCCATTATCTTGGCCTTTTGTGGTGTTATCTGTCCTCTGAGTTCTGGCTGCCTCTCCCGCTTGATCCTTGGCCTGGGCAGTTCACCAGAGACTCAGCCACTTTCTGTCCCTGTCACTGGGGACCACACAGGAATGACTGGATCTCTTCCACACCACCTGGGGCCCAGGAGACTCGGGCTGTCTCAGATACAGGTTGGGCAGCAGGATATATGTCCTTTCTGCCCTCAGATCTTTAAATGTGCCAGGAGAGGAGGGTATATTGCTTCCCTTCACATTCCCTGCCAGTTCCCAACATTGAAAGAGGCAAGCGAAGATACTTGCCCTACTGTAGAGGGAGGCAGCCTCCTTCCACCTCCAGACTCTTCCCACTGACCCCAAAAGAGCTTTTATGCCCTCTCCTCCACCGTAGTATGCCCTCATTTCTTCATCTGCATGGCAGGGCATTTCATCTAATAAAAATGCCCCGGTGGTATCTGGCGGCTTGGTCAGTTAAGCACCTGTCTTCAGCTCAGGTCATGATCTCACAGTTCATGAGTTTGAGCCTGGCATCGGGCTCTGTGCTGTCAGCACAATGCCTGCTTCAGATCCTCTGTCTCCCTCTCTCTCTCTGTCCCTCCCCCTCCCTCCCTCCCTCTCTGTCTCTCTCTCTGTCTCTCTCTTAAAAATAAACAGTTAAATAAATAAACAACAAGCAAACAAACCCAGTACTCCAAAGGTATAAAAATCCTAGCTTTGGGATTCCAAAGGGACCTCTTTTCTATCTCATCCAGATCATTACTTTCAGGAATTTATTTCATAGTGAAGTTGGAAAATATAAATCTGATCCTCAAAACTCAGCAATGACTTGTTTGTGTCACACACACACACACACACGTGGAAATGATGAGTTGGCTTCAGTGGATAGAGTCACAGGGATTCCTAGAGATGAAAACAAATGGGTTTTGTACTTTTAGAAATGCTGTCCCCTCCATGCTTGTTTATATTTGGTGTCCCAGCCTTATTGCTCCCTCTGCCGTTGACAACAAGGCAGGCCCAGCTGAATCCATAGCAGGAAGGGAGAGAGAAAGGAAAGGAATGTGGCTTTCAGATCCACCACCGTGGCTCCAGTCCATTAGGGACTGCTATTTAAAACATTTCTTGCAGCACCTGGGTGGCTCAGTCAGATAAGCATCTGACTTCAACTTGGGTCATAATCTCACAGCTAGAGTTTGAGCACCACATTGGGCTCTGTGCTGGCAGCTCAGAGCCTGGAGTCTGCTTCAGATCCTGTGTCTCCCTCTCTCTCTCTCTACCCCTGCCCCACTCACACTCTGTTTCTCTCTGTCTCTCAAAAATGAATAAATGTTTTTAAAAAAAAGTAAATAAAGCACCATTTCTTATTGTCTGGACATTAAATGTGACAAGTGTAGGAGGCTGAACCACATCTGAACTGATATCAGAACAATCTTTGCAAGTTACTTTTTGAAAACTGCTAACATCAAGCTTGTTTTTAGCCCTTGCCTTGCTCTCCTATGAAAGAAGATTGGATTAGAAATACAGACTGAAAGGCAGAGAAGGACAAATATCATATGTTTGCACGTATAAGAGGATTAGGAGGAACTTGACGGAGGAACAAGGGGGAGAAGAAGGGCGGAAATGGTGGGGGAAAGGGAGAGAGGCAAACCATGAGAGACTCTTGAATGCTGACAAAAACTGAGGACTGATGGATGTTGGGGGGAGGGGGATGGGCATGGAGGAGGGCACTTGTGGGGATGAGCACTGAGTGTTATGTGGAAACTAATTTGACAATAAACTATTTGTAAAAAAAATAAAAAAAAATAAAAAATAAAAAAAATAAAAGAAATACAGACTGAAAAGTCCTCTTAGTTGAGTTTGAGTTAATCAGTTTAGCTGAATGACTTTTCAGAGACCCTACTTTCTATCTTTCCTTCACTTCCCTTCTTCTCTCCCTCCCTCCCTGCCTCTCTCCTTTCCTTTCTTCCTTCCTTCCTTCCTTCCTTCCTTCCTTCCTTCCTTCCTTCCTTCCTTCCTTACTATTTACCCAAATTTCATTTGTTCATTCTTTCTTTTTATGCCTAAGAAAGCTCTGCCCATGTCCCTCCATTGGACACTCCCACATTTGGGGGGGGGGCGGGGGGGGGCAGGCAGTACCAGAGAGGCTCTGAACTCTTTTCTCTGCTTGGTTTGATGAAGGGAGCTGGAGAGGCTGGCAAGGGAGATGCATGAAAAGAAGTTACAGCAGGAGCTTGAGCGGCAAAAGGAAGAAGATGAGCTAAAACGGAAGGTCAAAAGGCCGAAGCAAGGACCAGTAAAGGAGGAACCTCCTACAAAAAAATCTCAAACAGTAAACCGGCAGGTAGCAACCTTCTCTTGCTCCTTAACAAGAGGCAGAAAGAGAGAGCAGCCACTGCTGCTCAATCCAGTACATTTCCCTTCCACAAAATTGACCTGATACTGTTTGGATTTTGCAGTAGAGCAGAAGGTAGGAGGGAAGATTGCCAGCATTTGTCGAAAGCTGATTGTGTGCCAAGAGCTCTGACTGCACTTTATGTAATCCTGTCATTTTGGCCTCCCTTCCACCCTGTGAGGTTCAGAGACATGAACCCTGTCTGGGGTTGTGAGAGACAAAGTCGCAGGTCTAGGACCTCACCCATTTATGTCTGACTACAGTCCTTGCACTTTCCACTGTCCCCCCAAGGCCCCTGGATCATGCTGAATGGGCTGGTATTCACATTTGGCCTCTGTAAGCCACAAAGTCAGTGGAGCCCTGTGTTCAACCAGCAGCTTATCTTGACAACAGTCAAGGAAGGCACTCCAACATAAGCTTGTCCTTGCAGGCAAGTAGTGATGGTTTATGAGCCTGCCAAGCTTAGCAGTCACATCTCTGTGGGCGTGACCCAGGAAAAGCAGAAGAGCCAGGACAGTGCCGAGGGCGGAGCTCACAGCCGAGGAGGGTGGCTAGCCAGCTGGTATGCACAGTGACTATTTCAGCACTGGGCGCTCTGAGCGTGAAGCTCAAGCCAGACTCCCAGACAAGATGCAGACTGGTCCCAGTAGGTGAGCAAGGCACAGTGACCACATCTGGGCAGATGTAAGGGCAGAGGAATTAGGCTCTTAAGAATTAGGAATTAGGTCGCAATGAGGTAGCGCTCAGGGAGGAGCAGGGTCTGAGCATGCCGAAGCTGCCCAGGCTTGGGGGCAGAACCAAGCACTGGAAGCAAGCAGCCTGGAGTCTCCACTGCGCCAGGCCTCCGCCACTCTGTGCTAGGTGCCTGCAATCCTCCAAGGGCAAGCCCTCCCTGCCCCTCTCTGCCCTTCCTTCCACACAAAGTCCTCTGCCTGAACTCTCATGTCTGGACAGAACTTCCGGTGTCTTGGCAGTGACTCTACTGACAGTGGAGAAAGACACAGTAGTGGCCAGACCCCTCCCCTCCGTTGGTACAGTGAGGTGAGGAGGAAGCCAGCCAAGCCTGCCTCAGAGCCCAGCCTCAGGGAGGAGGGGCACTGTCAGCGAGAAAGGGGGTTCTGGGCCGCACTGCAGGCAGTGATCATTCCACTCAGCTGGACTTCATGTCGTCAAAGAATGAACAAAAACCTACGGGGTTTCCATCCAGAGAAGAAAATCAGAGCCCACAAAGCAAGTTTAAAAGGCCAGGAGAAAAGGAATCAAGTTAGTTTCTCCAGGCCAGATTAATTAAATAAATACATATTTTGTAAAAGCCAGGCATAGCCAAATTCTGAAGTCCTGTTTGCTTGGGGGACCCCAAGGACCATAGAGAGGATGTTTTAACAAGACCCCCATGGTGATGCAGACACAGACACAGGCCCTGTGTCTGTAAGAGGTGCCTGGAGCCCTGTGGGGCCTTCTTTTAAAACACAACATACTCTTGCTCTCCCTTATGCTGTTTTTCTCCAGTAGAGAGATGTTTTAAGCATGTTTTATGTGTTTTGCTTTCTAGACTCTTACTTTTACCAAAGTAGAGGTCAAGATGGATGCCGTAGAAAGGAAAGTATCTGTTAGGGAACAGTTAGCTGAGAAGGAGGAACTGAGCAAGAAGAAAAGGAACCAACTATCAGAGAGCCACATGCTTGGGTTGCCCCTTGTCCAGGAACCAGAGGACAGTGAGGGGGACCTCCTGAAGGACACTGACAAGTTACTGGCCCAGAGGTTTAAGACCTATGATCTGACTCTCAAAGATGTTCAGAACATCCTCACGTACTGGGACCGGAAGCAAGGCATTCTAGTGCAACACATAGGCTCCGAGGACATGCCCCATGAGCCTGATGACCAGCGCCAGGTTCCTTCGAGTGGGCGCCGAGGCCGCAAGGACCGAGAGAGGGAGCGTGCAGAGAAGGAGAGAGCTGAGAAGGAGCGCCAGGAGCGGGAAAAGGCCGAGAGGGAGCGTCTGGAGAAGCTCCGGGCACTGGAGGAGCGGAGCGATGGAGGAGAGGGTGACGGGGAGGAGGACCACGAGGGGAAGAAGGATCTAGGCGTGCCATTCATAAACATCCAGACACCCGACATGGAAGGCTTGAGCTGGAAGCAGGCCCTGGAGAATGACAGGCTTCCCAAGGGGGATCAGGTACAGACTCTTCTCCAGGATGGAGATGTAATGAATCAGGTAGCAGGTCTTATATTAATTGCCATTAAGGTGTTTCTTTCTGTATCCCTTTAATTCCTTTAATCTCTGATTAACCCCTTGGAAAGAAAATAACAATGGCTAAAAGAACCTTTTTCTAGTTGGTGAAAATCCATAGAAAGTTCCACAGATCTAAATTACTCCATCTAACCTCATAAAAAGAAAGAAACTGCCTATGGGGTTGATTTTTAATATCGATAATACCAGTGTTACAGGCTGGCAAGGTAGGTATACTGTAGGGTGAAGAAAGAGGCTCAACTACTTTAAAATCTTGTTCCCACAAGCTTTCTTCAGTGACAGAAGTCATACTATTTATTAGATAGCTTTTTATCCCTAGAAAATATTGCATATCCAGAAGTCCCTTGGGGAATGGTTTGAAGGAGACAGTTACTATAGCCTTTTGTCTGAGGATGAGTTTTTTCTGTAAAATACCAGAAAGCAAATAGTTTAGGCTGCAGATCATACAGTCTCTGTCACAATCACCACCAATGTGTAAATCAATGACTTTATTCCAATAAAACTTTATTTACAAGAGCAGGTAACAGGCCGAACTTGACTGGGGGGGGTGGGGGGGAGGCTGCACAGTTTGCTGATCTCTGATTTAGTCTATCAGAAATTAGACACAACCTTGACAAAGAGAGAACAGAGCCTAAGAGGAATGTATGGCAGGTAAGGGTTGATGGGAGAACACAGGTAATTTCTCAAGGGGGCAGATTAGGGTGTGATGTGGCCTCACAGCGAGAGTCCGCCACAGTAGGCCAAGTGGGCCAAAGGGCAGAAGACACAACGCCATTCATTTTATAGTTCCGCCTCCACTCAGCCTTAGGTAAGGCGTCCTGGCCATTTTCCCCCTAGAAATATGTTTTTTGAAAAAGGAACATCTCGGGGCGCCTGGGTGGCTTAGTCGGTTAAGCGTCCGACTTTCGCTTGGGTCATGATCTCGCGGTTCGTGGGTTTGAGCCCCGCGTTGGGCTCTGTGCTGACTGCCAGCTCAGAGCCTGGAGCCTGTTTCAGTTTGTGACTCCCTCTCACTCTGACCCTCCCCTGCTCACGCTCTCTCTCTTTCTCTCTTAGAAATAAATAAAACATTTAAAAAAAAAAAAAGAAAAGAAAAAGGAACATCTCCTCTTGCCTAGCACTCCAGTACCATAGCCAAGATGATCTGCTTGCCTTTTTTTTTTTCCTCTCCACATTTCCAAGCCACACGTTAGACTGATGATTGTAAAGTTCTTTAACCCTGGCCATATTAATTTAACATTTGGTACAAACTCTTCATTCCTTTCTCTCACAGACATTCAAACCCTGGGAGCTAACACTAGCTAAGCATTAGGTTTTTAGCCACCTGCCGGGCAGGTTAGAAACGCCGGATTCCATGAAGACAGTTGCCTGCTTGGCCTAATAGCCCATTTGGTCCACAGAACGGGTGCTCCAGTGGGCTGTAACACCGTTTCGATGATGACAAATCTAGAGATAGCATGCTTATTCTGAAGGGCTCCATGCTGAGAAGGATGCTGCTGCTAAATTTTAAACGTGTCTGCTCTGGAAGATGCTCCTTCAGTATATATCAGAGCAGAAGGGGAGAATGCTGTAGGAATAAATTTCCTCTCCAGGTTCTTTTTGACTTCTCTCTTCCTTCCCATCCTTTAACCCATTCCTGGAACCTTGGCTTTTTTTTTTTCTTTGCTGTATTTGACCTGCTCCACCCCTATCTTTCAGCATTAGACGGAAAGAACCTTTAAAGGTAAAAGAACACTTAATACAAGACCTGAAAACAGATAGAACAGCTCTGTACTATAGACATCAGAGCCTTAAGAGCTATTCTCTAAAAAGTATTTTTGAGTGCCTACTATATGCTAGGCCCTGTGCTATATGGTCCTGGCTTCTGTCCCAGTGGAGTTTATATAACATCTAACTGCAGAGACAGACAGAGTAAAGTGACAAGGGCCATGATGAGAGAGGTACAGGGAGCGTGCGGCCACAGCAAGTACCCCTGCCTGGTCTAGGAATGTAGGGGTCTAGAAAGACCTATAGAGCTGTGTAAGAAGCCTTTCACACCCCTCCCCTGACACATGCCCATGGCAGGGGCATCTCCCAAGAATGTTGAGGAAAAGTCAGGAGAATCTGAACCACCCTCTGCTCACTCAGGGAGGCAGTTAGGGGAATCCCACCCTGTGCATAGGAAATTAACCATGGGCTTTTCCTTTAGATCCTGGACATCTTGGGTCTGGGTTCCTCTGGCCCACCCATCCCTCCTCCGGCCTTATTCTCAATCATCTCCTTCCCCATGAAGCGGCTGCCTCTGGCCACAACAGAAATCCTGAAGCATTTTGTGTTTGTGAGCCCACCATCTGAAGAGCTCCCCCTGCTGGAGGAGAAAAGAGAAGGAGAAGCAGAACCAGAGATTTCAAGCACCATGGGCTCTGTGAAGGTAAAGATCAAGCCAGCCATCTTGCCCTCCTGACCTTGGCAGGACTTCAGACTGGCAGACGGAGGAGGTCACCCTCCACATGGTCCAAAATTGAGTACAGTGTTGAGTGTCATGCTCACTGATGTGTTTGCCCTTGACTCATCAGGGATCCAGCTGGGGGACCTCGCATGACCCTCTCTCAAAATGGCTCATTCTCATCTTCCACCCTTTTTAGTCCCCATAGGATGGTCTAGGGAACTTGTCAAATTGCTCTGAAGTTCACGTGTGAGAAAAAATAGTAAGCAAAACCAGCTCTTTTAAGAGAAGATATCAGAGGGGCGCCTGGGTGGCTTAGTCGGTTAAGCGTCCGACTTTCGCTTGGGTCATGATCTCGCAGTTCGTGGGTTTGAGCCCCGCGTCGGGCTCTGTGCTGACTGCCAGCTCAGAGCCTGGAGCCTGTTTCAGATTCTGTGTCTCCCTCTCTCTCTGACCCTCCCCTGCTCGCGCTGTCACTCTGTCTCCTAGAAATAAAACATTAAAAAATTTTAAAAAAGAAAAAAAAGAAAAGATATTAGAGTTTGTTGGGAAGATAAGATAGTTCACATAGTGCATGAGCATACAAGAATCCACAGACACAAATGAAGGCAAGTCACAGCACTAGCAAAAGAACAGATTACCAAAGAATTTATCAAGATGATTGGATGTTTTGGCAAACTCACTTTTTATCTCTTTATTGACACAATACAGTAAAAATAATTCCAGCTGGATCAAAAATATAAGCAATCTGGGGACACCTCAGCTTAGTCGGTTGAGCATCCAACTCTTGAATTCAGTTTGTGAGCTTGAACCTAGCATTGAGCTTCATGCTGACAAGTATGGAGCCTGCTTGGGATTCTCTCTCACACTTTTTCTCTCTGTGCCTCTCCCCTGCTCTCTCACTCTCTCTCAAAATAAATAAATGAACATTTTTTAAAAATTAAAAGTATAACCAATCCAAATAAAATCATATACAATTAAAAGAAAATAGATATGCAATTAATAGAATAAACCACAAAGGAAAAATATATTTGACCAATAATATACAGAAGGTATATATATTAAGAACTATAGAGAGGCTTTTTATTCCCAGAGGAGTTTGATGGCCCCAAATTTGAATCTCTCTGCATAGCCTCCTACAAAACATACATCGCAGCAAGAATAATAAAACTGCCTGGGAGTGCCTGGGTGGCTCAGTCAGTTGAGCATCCAACTTGCACTCAGGTCATGATCTTGTGGTTCACAAGTTTGAGCCCCACATCAGGCTCTAGAGCCTGCTTCAGGTTCTGTTTCTCCCTCTTTCTCAGCCCACGCTCTGTCTCTCTCTCTCAAAAAATAAATAACAACATTTAAATAAATAAAATCACCTATAAGCTCTTCCTAAGGCTTGGTTAGGTTAAGGGACCCCCTCAAACTGCTATTTACAAGTAAGTAAGAAATTACAAGTAAGTAAGAAATCTGAGGGGCACCTGGATGGCTCAATCAGTTGAGCATCTGACTTCAGGTTATAATCTCATAGTTCGAGAGTTCAAGCCCCACATCGGGCTCACTGCTGTCGGTGATCCAGCTTTGGATCCTCTGTCCCCCATTCTCTGCCCCTCCCCTACTTGGTCTCTCTCTCCTCCTCTCAAAAATAAATAAACATTTAGGAAAAAAAGAAGAAATTATCATTTGAAGCGAAATAAGTAAGGCAGAGAAGGACAGATACCGTATGTATGCACGTATAGGTGGATTAGGATGAACTTAATGGAGGACCATGGGGGAGAAGGGGAAAAATAGTGGGGGAGTGGGAGAGAAGAAAACCATGAGAGACTCTTGAATGCTGAAAACAAAGTCAGAGCTAATGGGGTGGAGGAGAAGGGAAGGGGGTTGATGGGCATGGAGGAGGGCACTTGTTGGGATGAGCACTGGGTATTATGTGGAAACCAACTTGACAATAAACTATTTTTTAAAAATTATCATTTGAGATCAGCAGCATGCGTGGGCAGGTCTTTCTAAAACAGAGTCCAAATAAAAAAGATTTAAAAATTGCCAACATCAGAGGTGACTATGACACCAACCTCTTTCCCTAAAATGAGCCACAAACAGAATAAGGTTAAGCATTCTTTAACTTACCATTTTAGGAGAAACTCTAGTTCATCCCCAATTGTCAGAAGACACTTCATTCTGGAAGAATGGCAACTAAAACTATAGAAAGAAGAGTAGAATTAGAAAAACACAGGGCACCTGGGTGGCTCAGTCGGTTAAGCATCCAACTTCAGCTCAGGTGGCATTGGTGGTTCATTGGTAGAATTCTCTCCTGCCAACTTCGGCTCAGGTCATGATCTCATGGATCGTGAGTTTCAGCCCCACATTGAGCTCTCTGCTGTCAACACAGAGCCTGCTTCTGATCTTTTCTCCCCTACCTCTCTCTCTGCTCCTCCCCACCTCTCGCGCACGTGCTCTATCTCTGTCTCAAAAATAAATATTTTTTAAAAAGAAAGAAAAACACTATTCTGTTATCCCCAGCAAAGTATTAATTGAGGAGCACCAACTGATACAAAACAAAAAGCAGTGCTTTGTTGGGGAACAAGATGCAAACTGTGAGCCCAGAGCCTCCTCCCACAGGTGACCAGCAGCTGCAAAGGCAGAAGCCCACTTCACCATGGCCAGCTCTGGCGGGCGCCACTCCAGCCACATGAACACACTGCATCTGTAATCATGGGTTGACATGGCATTGTTTTTGTCCCTCATTATGTTGGAGTGTGACACATACTGCATCCTCTGTGAATCAAATCAAGCTTTGAAGCCTAATTTCTATCTTATAAAAACTACAGGGAATAAAGGAATAAGTGAAATGACACTCTAAAAATAGAAAATTTCAGAGTATGGAATATTCTGTCAGAACACAGATCTGGTCTGTCAAAAGTCAGTGTGATTAGGAGTGGCTGAGGGGTCTAAAGTAAAAAGTACTGAGGAAACACAACAAAATGCATATAGGAACACATTCCCTGCAGCTTCAAGCTTCTCTAGGCTTTGGCCTCCTCGGGGAATGGGCTGCCAAGGAAAGCACTAGACTTCTCTCTACACTACTCCTCTTCTCTGCTAGGACAGTCGTCTGGGCCCTCCTCTGCTCTAAGCAGCTGCCGGCATCCTGGACCTGCAGTGCAGCCACCCCAGACAGCAAACGTGTTGTGGGCATCTTTGTGTCTGTTCGTGTGTATGCAAATGAGTATTTAAGACCTCATGCTTGTTTTTAATTAAGGCCCAGGAGGAGCAGACCACCTCCTCTAAGGGAAGCAGACAGAAACTGAAAGAAAAGGCAGATCAGGCCCGAGACACTCAGAAGGACAAACGTCGCATGGCCTTCAACAGGAAGGTCCTTTCTGGGGCAATGTCTGGAGCCATTGCCCCCCTGTCAGACATGGACCAGAGCAGCTTCTCTGGGCAGTTCTCTCAGGAGAAATTCATCAGGTGGGCCTCTGGACCACCCAAGGGTGGGGGAGAGGGGTAATTGAAGCCCAAATAGAGGGAGTGGCTGTCCCAACACCAGATGGGAGCAGAGCCGTCCTGCCTGTAGGACCCTCTACATGGCTGTGCCCAACCCCGGCTGGCGGGGACTCCTCCCAGGCAGCTGTCCTGCCTGCTTCTAGCCCAGAGGAAGCCTTCTGTCTCTAAAAGCCCTGTGGTCATTGGCAGGCTGAACCATTTCCGGTGGATCGTGCCAGCCAACAGTGAGGTGACCTTGCGATTACACTTCTCTTCTGCTGACATTGGGACCTTTGACCAGACGTTTAACTTTGAGATCCTTGGGACTCACCGCCAGTACCAGCTTTACTGCCGGGGTGTGTGCAGTTATCCATACATCTGCCAAGACCCAAAGTAAGTGTATTGTACTTTAAATTTTTTTTATAGTTTTTATTTATTTTTGAGACAGAGAGAGACACAGCATGAGTGGGGGAGGGGCAGAGAGAGAGGGAGACAGAATCTGAAATGGGCTCCAAGCTCTGAGTTGCCTGCACAGAACCCTATGCGGGGCTTGAACCCACGAACTGGGAGATCATGACCTGGGCCGAAGTCGGACACTTAACCAACTGAGCCACCCAGGTACACCAAGTGTATTGTACTTTAAAAGAGAGAGTTGACAGAAACATTTTTGTTTTCCCACATGGCACTTTGAGCAAGGTAGCTCTCCCTACCAATGTGGGCCTGGGGTGTTGCCAGGTGTCCTGGGCATCAGTGTCTTGGACACTGACAAAGCCACAGGAATGTCATATATCATGAAACTGAGCATGTCAGTAGGTGTGAGGCCAGTGAATTGTCCTTCTCTGCCAAGTTAGTTGGCTTATTTAACTACTGGGCTAATTTAAAGAGATTCCATATGTACCATCAGACTTTTTCTCCTATAATATCACTACATGTGTGAAAGTCCACAGACGGACTTTTATTCTGAGCTCCCAAACACCACCATGTCCCTTATGCATGACATAAAGTCACCTGGCTGAGCAAGCTAGTGCACAACCCCTCTAGGGGAAGAAGTCTTTTAGAGATTGTCCACCAGGAAGACCTTTTTTGCAATTCTCACCAGGGGGCCACACTGGACACATTACTCAGAAGCTAGCTAATGTCCAGAACTAGTTTTCCATAGGGATTATTTTTGCAGCCAGGCACCCTAGAACAGGAAGTCTAACTCAGCTCTGTCATCAGCCCTTCATTATGAAAGATACCACTGGGAATCTTTTTTCTCAAGTTCAAACCATACTATCATCTCAGGGGTGGTGGGAGGGAGGGAGCAGGAATAAAGGCTCAACTGAGGTCCTCAAATTAAGAATCATTCTGTCTGAGGACACCTGGACTCTTTGCTGAACAGGGAATGTGGGGTTCATGTAAACATCAAGCGGAGGCATTGAACTTCCACTCAGACAACCTCTCTTCCTCTCTTCCTCCCCTGTGCTCAGAGTGGTATTTCCTCAGTGGAAGGTGGACATGAAGACAGATGAGGTCATCTTTAAGAAGCATATTATGAGCATGGAGAAGTTTTACTTTGGGCCACTGCTTTGTGGAAAATCAAGAGATAAGTAAGAGTTCCATTATTTCAAAACAGATTTTGGACTCCAAGTTGGACTCATGATTAATAGTACAAACAGGATTACTATGTGGATGTGGTTTTTATAATGCTGCCTCAGTTAGCCCTGAACCACAAATCAGGAAAACTGGGTTCTTGTGTTCTGAGTTCCTGCTAAGCACCCAGATGAATGTGGGCACCATCTTCCCAGATGGAAAAGCCTGGAGGAGGACCAGGTTTCGTTGGAGAAAGGATTCACTCTCGATGTGTTGTTTGAGATGCTTAGGAAGTATAGCTAGTAGCCACATAAGCTCTGTGGTTTTGGTTCTCAGAGGACATCCAGGGGGTTCAACAATATGGAGGTCATAGCAGCCTTCTAGGGATTTCTGAGGATGAAACCCAAGCAAAGTAAGTTGAAGAATCATTGGCCAGTAAAAGAATGAAGATGGGGTGTGACGATAGTTCTTTGGAAAGCTTGGCTGTGAAGAAAGATAGAGACAGTCAAGGGTGAGAGGGAGACATGAAGTCCAGGGAACACTGCTCACACACTGTTGTTCTTATGATGTTGGGATGCCAAGAGAACGCAGGGAGGAAGAGGTCAGAGTTTTGCAAGGAAGTAAAGGCCATCAGTGGTATAGCTCCGTTAGACGATACAATGGGATGCAGAGATGCTGTTCTTGCCAAGAAGAGGGGCTATCACCTCCTACTAGGAGAGAGGAAGGCACATGGCTTCAGGTGCAGATTTGGTTGGAACAGTGAGAAGGTTCCATATAACCATCTATTTTCTCCATGACACAATTTGAAGATCATCCCTAACAGGGAGGGAAGTGGAGAGAAGATTAAAATGTTGAGAAAATGGAGCGCGGGTGGAACAGGTTTTGTGGGAAGTTGGGGAGGGAGAATGTTAGAGAAAAAGATTAGGGTTGTTAGGCAAAATTGGGTGCCCAGGTGAGGATTATGGCCATACATTTCTACTGATATCAGATTTTTCACTCATGCACAAACTTCTCATTGTGTAGGCAGAGAGGTTAATACCAAAACTGGAGCAGTTCTTACCACGTCTTAATTCAGTCTAGCATTTATTGTGGTAAGTAGGCTGGACCAGAAAGCCAAGATGAAGAGGGTTGGCTGACAAAGGCCCAGTAGAAAGGCTTCAGAGGGAGATGGAGGAGGGTTATAGGACAGGATGTACAGAGCAGCCCAAGGCCAGAAGTCAGGGAAATTATGGCCATTCAGAGAGGCATGTGTTCTGGCAGCAGTGGAACCACCAGAATTTGGGGTCAGACAGCACTGATCCAGAAGGAGAGGATTACAGTGGCTCAGAAACAGGGCCCCATATAATCGGATATTTATTTATTTTCTTAAATGTTGATGAACCTCAATGTTCTTATCTGCAAAATGGGAAAATAATAGCACCCATCCACAGATTTGTGAAATTGAACTGGATAATGCACATGAGATAGTGCTGGATGGTGGTAGTGACCAGGTAGATATGAAGGTCACCCCCTCTTTCATAGTGACAGAGAACATGCTGTCTCTCTGACTCTGATTTGGTGTCTGCCATTTGCTCTCCTTCCTTCCTTTATCACTATTTATCCAAAAAGCTTTTCAGACTGTTTCTGGGCAGCAGTGGGGACTATGGTGACTCTGTTTTCCTGACCTCTGATCTCTGCCAATGTGCATCTTCATTGGCATTCCTTGTACTTCTGTGGTTCCTTTTCTGTTCATTAACATTAACTGAGTAGCTTCTAATACCAACAGTTTTCAACTTAGTGGCTCTTTCCCAAAGTCATGAAGGAATGGAAACAGCCTTGTACCAGTGAACCACACCAAATGAATCCATGTCAGAATGGTAACATCTTGTACAGGTCTAGGAGAAGGAGGTAAAGGAGATCATCTCCAAGACAGATGTGAAATAATAAGTTATTCACAGGATCATGTCTCCTGGGAAGATAAGCCCTGGGAAGGTTAGAGCTGCACGGTTCTTAGTTAGAATTCTTTGCCATAATAGCTGCCACTGCATTTAATACTCATTGAAATCCCAACAAGTATTATTTTCCCATCTTTTATTTTTAAATTTTATTGTTTTATTTATTTCTGAGAGAGAGACAGCATGAGCAGGGAAGGGTCAGAGAGAGAGGGAGACACAGAATCTGAAAAAGGCTCCAGGCTCTGAGCTGGCTGTCAGTACAGAGCCTGACGTAGGGCTCGAACCCACAAATCATGAGACCATTGACCTGAGCCAAAGTCAGACGCTTAACTGACTGAGCCACCCAGGCATCCCTATTATTTTCCCATCTCAGAGATGAGGAGACCAAGCTTGCAGGGAGAGGGATCAGGTCATAGCCACAGGTCTTCACAACTGCATAGCTTGTGTTCTTAGCCGCCATGCTACTGCCTCGGTGAACCATACTACCTTTTGTACACCCCACAATCTCCTTTTCTCCCTGAACTCCCAGTCAGTGCTCACATCCACATCCCTAATTCTTCTTTTTATGTTTATTTATTTATTTTGAGAGAGATAGACAGCGAGCAGGGGAGGGGCAGAGAGAGAGAGAGAGAGAGAGAATCCCAAGCAGGCTCTGTGCTTTCAGTGCAGAGGCCAATGCAGAGCTCAAACTCATGAACTGTGAGATCATGACCTGAGCCAAAATCAAGAGTTGGATGCTTAACCAACTGAGCCACCCAGGTGTCCCTCCACATCCCTAATTCTTCTTCATTTCCAGGTACAAGTCATCCTTGTTCCCAGGCAACATGGAAACATTGACAATCCTGAACAATTCACCAATGGTCGCAGAGGTGTTCTTCTGTTTTCAGAATGATGTCAAAGCAAACACCTACTTCCTGGAGCCCATCAGCATGATTCTGAAACCCAATGAGAAGCAGGTACAGTCACATGGAAACAAGTCTACCTCAGAGCAAGTTTTTCTTGGGAATTTGAGGCCTTAGCATTCTCAGCATAAATGTATTTTGTTTTGACTCTTTCCTTAGATGCTGAACATATGGGCCTACCCTACTGCAGTTGGTGTCTTTGAAGACTGCATTGTCTGCTGCATCAAGGAGAACACAGAGCCAACGGTCTTCAAATTAAGCTGCCAAGGGGTCCGCCCAGAACTAGAGCTGGAACCCAGGCAATTGCATTTTGACCGACTCTTGCTGCACAGGTGAGAATTCTGGATGATACCAGGACTGCAATGGAATTTAAAGAACATTTAGTTCTAGGGCAACCAACTCATCCTGATTTTCTCAAGACTTTCCTAGTTTTAGCACTGAAAGTCCTGCATCCTGGGAAACTTCTAGTCCTGTGCAAACCAAGATGGTTAATAGCCCCATGCAGTTCACAAGTTAACTTGACTTCATTAGGGTTCAGGGACTGCCCCCCACCCCCGATATCAATTGCCAAAGTGTGTGCATATTTGCAATTTTCTCAGAAGGACACTTTTTTCCAGATTCTCTAAGCAGTCCATTACCCTAAAAAATTGGGAGTCTTTGGTCTAGAAATTAGAGCACAAACAGAGAATACTAGACCAAAACTGGGACTTAATATATTCATTCACTGGCTTCATATTATTCTAAATAGAGAATGTTTATTTCTGGGGCTACTAGAAGAGAATATTGTTATGATATGTATCCTGCATTCCTTGATCGTTACCACCAGGCCCTATACCCTGATAAACACTGGTTAGTGAACTAAGTAACGATTGAAATAACTAGAAGTGCTTTTTCTGACCTGCCATAATAAATCAGAATCATTTGAAACTGACAAAATTTCTTTTGGTAACCGCAGAAAAGAATCCAAGGTAGTTCTCCTCCGCAACATCACACCCCTGCCTGTGGCCTGGCGGATCACCAGCCTGGAGCACCTGGGCGATGACTTCACTGTGTCCACCATGCAGGGGTCCATCCCCCCCAAGGCTGAGTACAGCCTGCAGATACACTTCCAGCCCTCCAAACCTGTCAACATCAAGAGGGTGATCCGGTTGGAGGTGAGGCTTCACACATCTTCAGACTTGCTCATCAAATGTGTACATATTGGGTTCCCTGGTACACAAGCATACACACACACACAGAGCCAGGTCTCACTATTACATGCTCCCAACTGATTCTCATTTGACAACAATCAACCCACGGTGTCTTGTTCTGCACACAATCGTAAACTCCATAAAGGCAGTCTTACTCATGGCTGATTTTCTGGTGCCAAGAATAGAGCACTCATTCAGTGTAAAGTGAGTGAGTGACTGACCGAATGGTGTTACTATCCCTATGTAAGCATGAGATTTCTGATTTCACACTCCCAAACCCAGTCACTGCTCAGATCCCTATCTTGATAAACATCACCTTTCACCTAGGTGCTCCCAACAGACACATCATTGATTCCCTCCTTTCCATGACAGCCCATCCTCCAACAAGTCTTGTCAGTTCTGTCTCCCAGGATACCTCCAACCTGCCCACTCCTCTGGCCTCACTGCTGCTGCCATCCTTGCCCAGGCTGTCCGTGGCATCTCTTACCTGGACTTTAGCAGAGGCCCATTCCCCATCCGGGTCCATCAGGTCAGGCCCCTCTCCTGGCAGCACTCTGCTGGCTCCAGCTGCAGTGAGGTTAGAGCCCAGGGTCCCCTGCTTCTCAGGCCCTGCCTACCTCTGTATCCAAACTCGCTCTCACTCATCGGCTCTGTCACATGGTCTCTTGGCTTTTTCCTGCCTCAGGCCCTCGGCCCTGCAGCAGCCCTGCCAAGAATGTCACCCCCAGGCTCTGTGGGGTCCACTGAACAGCACTGCTCCCACTGGGTTCCTCTAGTGACTGCATCAAGGCAATCTCCTGTGATGTGCTATCGCTTGCCCTATCTTCTGTCCTTCAGAGCACCTCCCCCTTTCAGATATCCTGTTTCTTCTCTACTTTCTTATGTGAACTCCATCAGGGCAAGATCTTGCCTGACTTGCTTGTCATCTGTATCCATTTCCAAAAGCTGACATAACAAATGCACATAAACTAAGTGGCTTAAACAACACACATCTGTTCTCTCACAGTTCTAAAAGCCAGAAGTCTGACATCAAGGAGTCTGCAGGGTCATAGTCCCTCCGAAGTCTCTGGGGAAGAATCCTTTCCTGCTTCGCCCAGCTTCTGGTGGCTCCAGGTGTTCCTGGGCTTGTGGCTGTATCTCTCTAACTTTGTCTCCATCTTTATATGGTCTTTCCTGTCTGAATCTTCTCTTCTTCTATCTCTTTTAAGGACATTTGTCATTAGATATAGGGCCCACCCACATAATCCAGGAAGATCTCACCTCAAGATCTTTAACTCAATTACATCTGCAAGGACTATTTCCAAATAAAGTCACATTCCTAGGTTCCAGGAGTTAAAACATGACCACCATTCATTCCACTACTCCATCAGGCCCCCAGTATCTAGCACAGGCCTAAATGTAGAAGGTACTCAGTAGAATCTGTAAAATGAATGAATGAATAAATGAATGAATGAATGCCACTGGCTTTTGAAGCTTGAATCAATTCTGCAACAGTCAAGGGATTATCCAAGCTTCTCTTTGAATACTTGCAGGAATAGAAAACTTAACAATACTCAAAGCAGCCTGTTCTTCCTTGGAACAGGTCTGACTATTAATTCTTCCTTAGATTGAATTCCGATTTACAAATGTACCTTATATGAATTAATCCTGTTTCTACTTTTGGGTCTACTCAATGGATCTAATCTCTATTTTTCACCTACCTGTGACATTAAGATAGCTGAACACAGATACTGATAGATTCATTTAATCAACAATTGTGTATGACTATCATAGGGTGAAAGTCAGCATTGTTTTAAGTTTAATTTTTTATTGAGAGAGAGAGAGTACAGGCAGGGGAGGGGCAGAGAGAAGGAGGGACAGAATCCCAAACAGGCTCTGCACCATCAGCATACAGCCCAGTGTGGAGCTCGAACTCATGAACCATGAGATATAATGACCAACACCAGTCTTGGGGCTCTGTGCTAGGCATGGAGCCTGCTTAAGATTCTGCCTGTCCCTCTGCCCTTCTCCCCTGCATTCTTGCTTGCTCTCTCTCTCAAATAAATAATATTCCAAAGAGCATTTTTCTGCAGTGTATACTCATATCCTCAACCTCAATAATGTAGTGACAATCATGCAAATAATTTAAAACCCATAAGTGAACAAGATGAAAAATATAGTTCCTTTTTCCCTTTCTTGTATTAACTGTCTATACTGACACTTCCCAAAGGCTGTTATGAGAATATTGATCATATACCAAATGCTCAGTGATGTCAAAAGCTAAATACATCTTAAAAATATTCTATTTTTTTTTAATATTCTACACCATATTTCCTTCTCCATCATTCCCACTGCATGGTACATAGTTCAGGCTCCAAGCATCATGTGGCTCTTGCTTTTACTCAAAAATTTCTCTTACCCCAACAGGTTTTAGATGCAGACAATCTTGTTGGTATTGTTCAGATTGAAAACATCTTGATCTTCGCAGAGTCTTATGACGTTGCCTTGGACATCACTTTCCCCAAAGGTCTGTTGACCCCTTCAAGGAAGGGGTGTTTAGAAGTCACATCTTTTAGTATAGTATATTTCTTTTTTTTTTTTTTAATTTAAATTTTAACCAGTATACAACACAATATTGGTTTCAGGAGTAGAATTCAATGATTTATCACTTACATACAACGCCCAGTGCTCATCACAACAAGTTCCCTCCTTAGTACCCAGCACCCATCTAGCCCATCCCCCACTCACTTCCCTCTATCAACTCTCAGTTTGTTGTCTATCATTAAGATTCTCTAGTGGGTTGTTTCCTTCTCTTCTCTTCCCCCCACTTCACATATATATTCATCTGTTTTGTTTCTAAAATTCCACATGAGTGAAATCATTTGGTATTTGTCTTTCTCGGATAGTGTAGCTCTTTTTTCCACCTAAGTATTTTTTTTAATATGATTTATTGTCAAGTTGACTAACATAGAGTGTATACAGTATGCTCTTGGTTTTGAGGGTAGAGTCCCATGATTCATTACTTAGTATATTTCTTACATACAAGAAGAAAGTGGATGTTGGGGAGAGCATAGAATTTCAATAAATACTAATGCAAATCCCTGAGTAATGTTAGCAACGTTACTATGAATCTTAACTTCTCTAATGGGAGATTACAAGGGGTGGCCATTATTAGAAAGTTTGCAGAGCTTTTTTCTGAACCTGATCTTAGAGTAAGAACCTGTCTTCCAACCTGTATTAGTTTTCTATCACTGCCATAACAAATTACCAGAAACACTGTGGCTTAAAACAATACGAACTTATCATCTTACAGTTCTGTAGGTCTGAAGTCCAAAACTGATCTAACTGGGCTAACATCAAGGTGTTAGCAGAGCTGCATTCATATGGAAGCTCTCAGGGAGAATCCAATTCCTTGCCTTTTCCAGCTTCTAGAAGCTGCCTGCATCCCTTGGGGCATGGTCCTTTTACTCCATCTACAGAGCCAGCAATGTTGGGCCAGGTCCTTCTCATGCCACCATCTCTCTAGCTCTCCCCATTCCATCTACTTTTTCTACCTTTAAGGACGCTTGTGATTACATTGGGCCCACCCAGAGAATCCAGGATGACCTTTCTTTTTCCTTCTTTTTTTTTTTTTAATGTTTATTTATTTTTGAGAGAGAAAGAGACAGAGCACATGGGGAAGGGACAGAGAGAGAAGGAGACACAGAATTAGAAGCAGGCTTCAGGTTCTGAGCTGTCAGCACAGAGCCCGATGGACGGCTTGAACTCATGAACCACAAGATCATGACCTGAGCCAAAGTCAGACACAACTGACAGAGCCACCCAGAAACCCCATGACCTTTCTGTTTTTTAAAGTCAGATGATTAACAATCTTAATTTCATCTATAATTCCCCTTTGACATGTAAACTAGCATATTCGCAGAATCCAGGGATTAGCACATGGATACCTTCCAGGGGCATAGGCCATTATTCTTCCCAGTTCACTTCCCTAACACCCAGGTTAGATCCCTCCCTTTTAGCATGCAATTCTCCATTAATCCTCCCTTTTCTGACTGTTCTCCTTCTCAGCAAGATTCATAGAACACGAGAGCCACGTGTTTGCCTACATGTCATTAGTCTTATGTACAAAGATATTTATTGCAGCATTATTTGTAATAATGAAAGATTGGAAATAACCTAAATGCCTATTAAGAATGGAATATTATTATTGTAGAAATAATATTGTAAATTATGGAACAGCCTATCATGGTACATTATATAACCATTAAGATCACATTTATGAGTTTTCAATTATGTAGGGACATGTTTATGACACAATGTTAAGTAAAAGTATACAAATTTATGTGTAATATTCTAACTATGTATATTATACACCTGATGCAAAAAAAAAATTAATAGCATAAGTTTTAGCTAATGGAAAGCATGAGAGGAAGGACAGTGGTCCTAAGATGGAAGCCAGAGGGAGCCACCCAACTTGAACTGGGCTCAAGAGCAGTGTCTATTGTTTCTTGAATGAGACTCAATTATTCGAGGTATTTTTAGCCAGTGTTTTCAGAAAACAAATCCTCTGAATTGTTGCCATGGATTTTCCATGTGAACTTCAGTAGGGAGTTCCCCTGAATCTCACCCACACCCCTCCCCATCTCCCCTCACCCCCACCCCCCCACCCCAGCTGTGCCATCCACTCACCCTCCCTACCCTGGTCCCTGGCCTCTGCAGGAGCTGAAGGAGGCCTTGATTTCGGGATTGTGAAGGTCATGGAAGAGGTGAAGCAGCCCCTGCAGCTGAAGAACCGTGGAAAATATGAGATCATGTTCAGGTAACCTGAAACCATCAGGCACATGGTCGTCCCCATCCACTCACAAGGAAAAAAGTACAGTCTGGGAGATAAAAAAAAAAAAAAAAACCTTGGTTGCAGAAATCATAAGAACTATATCTGCTTTGAGCCTCACCCGAGCTTCAAGTGAATGGAATCCCAACCGCTGAGAGCAGAGATTTTCACACTGCTCTCCACTCTGTGGCTTTTCAGGGACCCTCTGAATGTACCCAGAGCCACAGGGGTCTGAGAGTGGGAGGGAGACTAAGAGGGAGAGGTTTGAAAGGAAGATGTACAAGGTGAGGGTGAGGGGAGGTCCTGGGGGTGGAGGGAAAGACTGAAGATGGGGACCTGGCCTCAAGCTCATTGCTATCTGTCTTGTAAGTTGGCGTTCCACCTCAGACTGCATGTGAAAAAAGGGATTTTCCAATTTTCTTTTTTAATTTTAAGAACCACTATCTTCTAGAATCCAAATGGTGGCCTGGTGGAATAGATCTCCAGCTTGTGCTCCTCTCTTGAGGAAGCAAAAATAATATAAAAACAGAGAGGGAGATAAGCCATTAGAGATCCTTAAATACAGAGAACAAACTGAGGGTTGCTGGAGCAGTGTTGGGTGGGGGGATGGGCTAAATGAGCAACAGGCATTAAGGAGGACACTTGTTGGGATGAGCACTGGGTGTTATATGTAGGTGATATTTCACTAAATCCTATTCCTGAAATCATTATTATGCTAACTAACTTGTATTTAAGTTTTTAAAAATAAATAAATAAAAATTTTTAAAAAATGAAACAGGAAGGGTGCCTGAGTGGCTCAATCAGTTATGCGTCAAACTGCAGCTCAGGCCATGATCTCAAGGCTTCGTGGGTTCGAGCCCCCCATCAGGCTCTGTGCTGACAGCTCAGAGCCTGGAGCCTGCTTCAGATTCTGTGTCTCCCTCTCTCTCTCTGCCCCTACCCATTCGCTCTCTGTCTCTCTGTCGCTCTCTCAAAAATAAACATTAAAAAAAGAAAGAAAGAAAGAAAGAAAGAAAGAAAGAAAGAAAGAAAGAAAGAAAGAAAGAAAGAAACACTAAATCTGAAATTTCTCAAAGAGGAAAGGGTGGTACTGGGTTGGGGAAGGGAGAAGGTCACTCAGGCAGGGTCACACAAACCTTGGGGACAGTGCCAGCACCCGTGGCCAGTCTACAATCTATTCTCTGAACAATTATCTGGCCCCTAGAAAAACCGCAGCTGATAAAAGGACTCCCCCTGCCCCCACCCCCCACCCCCGCTCCCTGCTGACTTAGAAGAAATTCAGTATATTTGTGACAGTTTCATTTCAGCTGACGACTGATATGAGAGAGGTCCTCCCTCAGGGCTACCATTACTAGACCCATAAATTGAAGTGTAAATATAGTTAAAAGCTAAAAGAAAGTCATTGTCCCCTTGGGATTACTGCTGAATGGAGTCTTGCCCGTTGGTGAGTTTTGTTGTAGGTTATCATTGGGGCTTTAGGTCTGCTCTTTGAGGTTACGTGGAACAGTCACCTTCAGGTTGGAACAGGTGATCAAAATTCACTGGAAGGCTGTGTGGGGAAGGGAGGAAGCTCAGGTACTAGGTAAGCAGCAGTGGAGCCACCAGGCCTCCTAGAGCATGGGGGTGACATTAAGGTCCCCACACCAACTCCAGGTGTCCTGCCTCAGCCTAAGTTCCTTGCTTCTACTCCAGTCCCTCTGCCATTCTCATGAGCCGGACACTTTCTGTGGCTTCTCACCTCACCCCCATTGGGCCATGGCTTCCCTTTCCAAGTACACCTGTTAAATGGGTTCTGCCCCTGTTTTCTCTCCTTCCTTAGATCCCCGGGCTTCTGCATTACTGTTCTCTCTGTATGTGCTGCATACAGTCACAGAGAGAGGAGGAAGAACAACAGAGAGATTAATTAACTTATTTGATCCTTATCTAGCATCAAGTGTCTCTGTTGGACAAAGATATCCTACAAAGTCACCTCTTGACCTCAGGCTACATATACCAATCCCTGACCTAGTCCATCCTGGCTGTGGAGGGGTGGTCAGAGTACAGAGCACAGTAGGCACTTCTAGACGCTGTGCATTAGCAGGGCCGGGGCATGACAGGCACTCAACAGTCTAGTCTCCTCTCTAGTATCATGAATTCCCCATAATGACTTAAACTTATCTTTTATTCTTATCTTTCAGCTTTTCCGTGGACTCCTTAGGGATTTTGCCAACCAGCGTAAATTCCATGATCTCATTTGTACCCAAGAAAGGCTCACTGACCGCAATGGAAAAGCCCACAAATGTCCAAGTGGTATTTCGTGCAAAAAAGGAAGTAAAGATTGAGTACCAGCCAGTTCTGCGCTGTCAGGTAGAACAGCTCAAAGGGAGGATTTAGGGGCAGGATTGTGGGACTCATTTTGAAGAGTACATGATCTAACACATGCTCCAGGATTGGTCCCTAGCTAGCAGGCAGGAGTAGGTCAGGTGGGAGGTGTGCAAAGTCATCAGGAATCTGGAGTGCCAGACAGGAAGTGTAGCCCCTGATCTTCGAGGAGCACCAAAGGAGCTGAGTTTAGTCATCAAATACAAAAGAAGATCAGGGAAGTAAAGGAGTAGATAAAGTTGGTCCATGTTGGTCCGTGGCTGGTACATGGTAAATGTGATATTAGTGTTTGCTAATACTATTAATGCAATAATAAAGAGAGAATGAAAAAAAGAATGAGATTCGCTTCATGTCAATGATGAAAGTAGAAAATGGAGTAGTCATGGGAATTCTGGAGCATAATGGCTGACATCTTCCCACTCCTTTCTCCCTTCTAGATTATTGAGCCCAATATCGCAGAAGGGGGTGAAATCATTGCCAGCATCCCAATTAAGTGTTCTGTGAATGCAGTGTACTCCAAATATAACATCAGCCCCTCTTCCGTCATCAACTTTGGGGCTTTGATCTGTGGCACTCGGAGAAGCATCACCTTCACCATAGAAAATCAAGGTGTTACTGACTTCAAGTACGCCCTTTATAGGCTGACGGGGGAAAGCCCCATTCATCAAAAGAAAATGTAAGACAAGTATTCACTTAATTCATGCCATTCCCTGGTGAATTAGTACATTATATTTTACAAAGAGCTTTTATATATTTCATCTAAATTTACCCAATCCCCGGGGTGCCTGGGTTGTTCAGTTGGTTAAGTGTCTGACTTCTTCTCGGGTCATGATCTCATGGTTCATTTGTTTGAGCCTCCTTATTGGGCTCTGTGCTGACAGCTCAGAGTCTGGAGCCTGCTTCAGATTCTATGTCTTCCTCTCTCTCTCTGCTCCTCTCTCTCTCTGCCCCTCTCCTGCTCACACTCTATCTCCCTCAGAAATAAACAAAACATTAAATTCACCAATCCTTTTACATGGGAGTGAGGTCACTAAGATTTAGAAGTGGCTCATCCAAGGGGCGCCTGGGTGGCTCAGTCGGTTTAAGCGTCCGACTTTGGCTCAGGTCATAATCTCATGGTTTGTGGGTTTGAGCCCCGTGTTGGACTCTGTGCTGACAGCTAGCTCAGAGCCTGGAGCCTGCTTCAGATTCTGTATCTCCCTTTCTCTCTGACCCTCCCCTGCTCACACTGTCTCTCTCTCTCTCTCTCTCTCTCAGAAATAAATAAAACATTATAAAAAATTTTTTAATTATACAAGAAATCACTAGTAGATCTCAGTTCTGAACCCACATCTCAGACTGCAGATATCATATGCTTTCTAACAGCTGTCACATCTAAGATAAATTTGATTGAACAGATGTAAGGTCTTCTGCTTGGGGTTGTGTCTGTTGTCCTGGTGCTTCTCATGTGCTATAAGACTCACAGTAAGTCAGTGTCCTCTTCGTTGTAGGATGTTGGGGGACTATTATAACTACAAGCTAAATCAAAATAAATCATAGCTGTGCTTCATGAGGGATGGCAAAAGGTACCCCAGAAATGCAGACTACAGACACATGCTGCCACATTCAATCCACCAGGACTGTTTTTACCTTCTCCACATTGAGATCTGGTATAACAAGAGTAAACTAAGTAGCTGTTCTAGTGGCAAAACTCTATTCTTCAAAAGGCAGCTCTTAATCAATTCACTATAACAATCCACCTTTTTGAGTGCTTTTGTCTTTTATTTGATGATCATCTTTTTTGGCAAATTAAGAATAGCTTTACCAATTCTCAAGGCACTTTGTCTTGACTAATTAATTAATTGACTCCCAAATTAATTAATTATTAATTTAAAATGGACTTTACAGGTAATCATTTTATTTTTTCAGACATCTATTGTTTGTTATTATTTTGTATTTTTGTAAATATATTCTTCCATTTTACCTAAGTTTGAATGTATTGAGAAATGTATTAAGCTTATTTAGTCTCTTTCTTCCAAATTTAATTTCAACTTAATTTTTTATCATTTATTTTAACAATAATTTAATACCTGTGACAGGTATTATGATGTAACTGTATTTTGCTTTAAAATGTTTTTTATTTAAACTCTAGTTAACATACAGTGTTTTCAATTTTAATCTGTTTTCATTTAAATGTGTACAAATTTAATGCAAAACACTCAAAGGGGGTTGAACTTTTGTTGTTCTGGTCATTATGCAAGTGAATGCTCAAATTATATAAAGTTCTCAAAAGTTTTAAGATTACACCTCAAATACATTTGACATTGTAGGTTAACTGTTGTCTAGACAAACTAATTAATGGACATACTAGCTTCAAATGAAGTGAACAGCAGCCAAAAACCTGTATTTGAGCTATTGCTTAAACTCAGTTTAAAAGCACCATGTCTATAAATATGAAGAAAAGGGACAGAATTTAAGTCTATTTGACATTTCTTGTTTTTAAGTAAGATCAAGATTTTTCCACAAATGATTTTCCATAAATAATTTTCACACACTGCTTTCCAGTAAAGTCAAGTAAACATTTAAAAATTATTATTTTCTTGTAGTAATGTTCATGTCCTTGTGAATCATAGTGAATAAGTACAATTACTATATAATTTTCTTACAGTTGTTCAGTGAGGTTGGCTAGTGATAAATAGGGTGATGCCCCCAGATGCCCCTTTGGCTGCCTCCTCACATTCTTAGGACAAGGGAGCTTACAGTTATTAGACAAATGGTACTGAATATCACCACCCTGACCTAAGGGTATACTCCTGATTCTTTAACCAGAACCAGCCATGTTAGACATGCAAGATCCCGGGAAAGCTTCTACAAGACAGGCCCTTCCAAAGCAACCAAGTTCTCTGATTCTGTTCAGAAAGATGTAAACGTCACAAACCAGGTGAGCACCCTTTTCCTTGTCACAGAAATCCTGTAAGGCTGCCTCCCAACTAGTTGCTTCCTGTCTAATTCTTGCAACAAATACCTCCCTAGGCTAGTAGGATTGAATGAACCTAAGGTGGCAGGAATTCTAGTTATATTGAAATATTACTTTCGGGGCACCTGGGTGGCTCAGCCGGTTAAATGTCCAACTTCTGCTCAGGTCATGATCTTGCGGTTCGTGGGTTTGAGCCCCATGTGGGGCTCTGTGCTGACAGCTCAGAGCCTGGAGCCTGCTTCGGATTCTGTCTCCTTCTCTCTCTGCCCCACCCTCCTTGCACTCCGTGTCTCTCTCAAAAATAAATGAATATTAAAAAATTTCTTTTAAAAAGAAATATTACTTTCCTTTTAAAGCAAGATGTTCACTTTTAATGTAGATATCCTCTCTTGTTTTAAAACCGTCATTGGCTCCTCATTGCCTTAAAATTAAGTTTCATCTTCTCATATATATTCTAATCAAGAATTATTTGTTTATAAAAAACAGAAACCTATTTGGACAGACTTAAATGAAAGCAGATTTTAAGACTTACCTAATAAGATGAAATAAATATACTTTTCTTTATTCTGCCCAACTGAGTACAACTAAAAACACTTTGCATTGTGTACAAAACAAACATAGAAGACCAAAAGGTGAGGAGAAAAAAAAAATCAGCTACCTAGGGTCCTTGGGACCTAACAAACATCACAATGGTGAGTTCCCTGAGTTTCCTGTTTACATCTATCTAAAACTGAGTGCAAAATGAGCCAGCAATCCAGAAACATCAACTAACACAAACCAAAAAGCTCCAACAAAAACCTGCTCCCACTAGCCAAAGGACCAGGAAAAGAGCAGCCTGGAAAGACAGAAAACTTTCAAAATAACTTTTCTATTACGGAAGCACCTGGGTGGCTCAGTTGGTTAAGCATCCAACTCTTGATCTCAGCTTAAGCCTTTATCTCAGAGTCATGACTTCGAGCCCCACATTGGGCCCCATGCTGGTCATGAAGCCCAATAAAAAAAAAAAAAAAAAAGAAAAAAAAAAAGACATATTATAGTCAAACAACAGAAAAATCTGTGGCCATATCTGACCCCTGCTAGCAAAGGCCATTGGGGAGCCTAGACTTACACCTTATCCAGACTGTCATGAGATGTCCCAATCCCCTGCCAGAGTTGTGTTCAAGAATTCCCCAGTAGGAAGGTCGGGCTTTCATTACCCCCTACCACCTGTACCTTTTATTAGTAAAGACACCACTTGGGGAGCCTTGACTTCCACCCCAACCCAGTGGTAATGAGACATCCCTCCTGTTTCGCACAATGGACCTCCCTACCCCAAGGCATCAGCAGAACAATAAAAAGGCACTCCTACCCCTCCCCACCAGGGAAGTATCTGTCTAGGACTAGTGGGAAATGGGAACTGACACTCATGTCTGGCAGTTATAAGAAGTCTGATAGGGGCGGGGGGTCTGGGCCCCCACCCTCACCTGGAAGTAATGAGCCAGTCCCCCCCACTTCCAGAGTGGTGTCAGAGAAGGCTAGCTCAAGCAGAAGATTTAATTAAATAAGATCCAGTCTCATCATAGCCAAAATTCCCAGGTTTCAACTGAAAATCACTCATCATATCAAAAACTAGGAAGATCTGAAACTAATAGATGTCAACACTGAAATAACTATTAGAATTACCTGACAAAGATGATAAAGTAGCCAACATAAAAATGCTTCAAAGAGCAATTATAAACATGTTTGGAACAAATGAAAACATATTAAGTCTTAGCAAAGGAAGAGAAGACATGAAGAACCAAATCAAAACTTTGGTACTGAAAAAATAACCAAAAGTTAAAACTCAGTTGGTGGGTTCAACAATAGAATGGAGAGAACATAGGAAAGAACCAGTGAACTTGAAGACAAAACAATAGAAATTCCTGTATCTCTTTCCTATTGCTCTCATAACAAATTACTTAAAACTTAGTGGTTTAAGACAGTACAAATTTTATCTTATACTTCTGTAAGTCAGAAGGTTGACATAGGTCTCACTGGGCTAAAGTCAAGGTATTTGCAAAGCTGGATTCTTTTCTGGAGACTTTGGAAATGAATCCATTTCTTCACCTTTTCCACCTTCTAGAGGACACACACTTGCCTTTCATGGTTCATAATTTCCTTTCTCCATCTTCAAAACCATCTATAGTGGATCAAGTCCTTCTCACATCACATGACTCCAGCTTCTTCCCTAGTCACATTGCCCTCTAACTCTCTTAGGCCTGCTTCTTCCATATCTGAGGGTCCTTATGATTACATTGGTCCCAAGATAAAACAGGATAATCTCCCCATCTCAAGATTCTTAATTTAATCACATCAACAGAGTTTTTCTCCGTGTAAGGTAACATATATACAGGTTCCAGGGATTAGGATGTGGATATCCTTGATAGGCCAGGCCATTTTTCTGCCCAGTCTAAACAAGAGAGAAAATAGACTCTGTTTTGAGTCTATTGAAAGCCTATTTGGGTCTAATGAATAAAAAAAAAGAACAGACCCTGAGGGAACTGTGGAACTCTAACAAAAAATCTAATATCCTTTTTATCAAAGTTCCAGAAAGAGATAAGAAATAGGGTTGGGCTGGGGCGCCTGGGTGGCTCAGTCGGTTAAACCTCCAACTTTGGTTCTGGTCATGATCTCACAGCTTATAGGTTCAAGCCCATCATCGGGCTCTGTGCTGACAGCTAACTCGGAGCCTGGAGCCTGCTTCCAATTTTGTGTCTCCCTCTCTCTCTGACTCTCCCCTGTTCACACTGCCTCTCTCTCTCTCAGAAATTTAAAAAAAAAAAAAAAGGATTGGGCTGAAAAGGTACTCAAAGATATGATGAGTGAAACTTTTCAAATTTAGCAGATGTAAGCCTGTATATTCAAGTATCTAGGCAAATCCCAAATAGGACAAACCTAAATAAATACATACCAACTTCATCATAGTCAAACTTCTAGAAACTAAAGACAGAAAATCTAGAAAGCAGGAGCACCTGGCTGGCTCAGTTGGCAGAGCATGCAACGCTTGATCTTAGGGCTGTGAGTTTGAGCTTCATATTGGGCATAGTGATTATTTAAAAATAAACTTTCTTTACTTTTTTTTTAAATCTTGAAAGCAGTGAAAGAGGAATGACACCTTACATATAGGAGGAAACTGTCTGAATGACAGCAGATTTTCTTATCAAAATCATAGGAGCCAGAAGAAAGTGGCACAACATTTTACAAGTACAGAAAGCAAATGATTGTGAAGCCAGAAACTTATATCCAGCAAACATATGCCTCAGAAATGAATGGAAAAGTAAAACATTCTCAAGTGAAGGAAAATTAAAATAATTTGTTTTCAGCAGGTCTCTCCTAAAAGAATGACTGAAGGAATTTCTTTTAACAGAAAATAAATAATAAATGAAGAAATTATGGAACATTAAGAACAAAGCAAAAATGTGGCAAGCAATTATATGTGTAAATTGGTTAGATTTCCCTTCTCCTCTTGAGTTTTCTAAGTAATGTTTATCAATTAACACAAAGGTTATTTTAAAAGTTATAAATCTGTCTAATATGGTTCTAAATGGATATAGAGGAAATATTTTAGATACTTATAAAAGGAGGAGGGTGAATAAGCAATTGACCAGCAACATGGCAAATTCTATAATTGAGTTGTGTGTGGAGGGTGAGGCTCCAGAAGGATGAAGGAATAAAGACCTACTGTTCCTGGTTGGTGTTAAAAGTCACTGAAGGCTTCATAGAGGAGAAAGACTTAACTCAGGTAGGATTGTGTTCACCTGCAAGTAACAGAAAATCCAACATTAGTGGTCTAAATAGATAGGATATGTTTAAATAAGGTAGATAGTTGCTTGTATTGTTAGAGATTCTTTGATGTTTGAAATTCTCTTGAATTTTTCTTCATGGTTCCAAGATGAAGGCTGCAGCTCCATCCACCACTTGTGCATTGAAGGCAAAAATAAGAGAAAGTAGGTACTCTGCACTAGGTGGACACCAGTAATTATTGATTACATTTGGATTGAATTTTCTACATGCTGGTTTTTATGTCTTCTCAAGTACTTTCCTTTTCAGCAGAAGCCTTTTATTTAATTAACATATATAATATTTTTCTACGTATGTTTCTATAACTCTCATCCCTTCTAATAGATATATGTTTGGGGTTGGTTTTTTGTTTGTTTGTTTGGTCTTCTTCACCTAGTGTATCTTCTTTCCCTTTGGTGGGAAGTCTGTCTCCAATACCTTACTTTTCAATTCCAATCACCTTGTCCTCTCTTCCACCTTGGCAGCTCACTCTCAAGGTCACACCCTGGATCTCACACCAAAGAAACTGAGATGCTTCTGAACTCTTGATTTCTAAGATTCCTTTCTCTGACCGCCACTTCCCTTTCTTACAGCTTGCTAATCTCAAGTCCACCCATTTCACCTGTTCTCTGCCCTCAGTCTGATCTTGCTCCTTTGTGACAGCACTCAACCATGTTCTTATTATCCAAACCTTCTCCTTCTCAACAATTTATATTCCCACCAACATTGCACAATACTGATTTTGATAATGGCCATTCTTATAGGCATGAGGTGATATCTCATTGTGATTTTTATTTGCATTTCCCTAATGATAGATGATCAACTTTGTTGATATGATTATATTAAGAACATTGAAATGAGGAGATTATCCTAGATTATAGTGGTGGGGGGATTGGAGAGATGTTGGTCAAAGGGTACAAACTTCCTTGGGGTGCCTGGGTGGCTCAGTCGGGTAAGCGTCTGACTTTGGCTCAGGTCATGATCTCACAGTTCATGGGTTTGAGCCCCGCATCAGGCTCTCCTGACAGCTAGCTCAGAGCCTGGAGCCTGCTTTAGATTCTGTATCTCCCTCTCTATCTGATCCTACCCTGCTCACATTGTCTGTGTCTCTCAGAAATAAATTTTTTAAAAAAAGAAATTTAAAATTTTTTTAAAAATTTAAAAAGGGTACAAACTTCCAGTTATAAGATGAATAAGTTCTGGGAATCTAACATGTGCATGGTGACTCTAATTAACAGTACTGTATTGTACACTTGGAAGTTGCTAAGAGAGTAGATCTTAAAGGTTCTCATCACACAGAAAAATGGCAATTATGTGAGCTGATGGATGTGTTAGCTAACCTTATTGTGGTAATCAGTTTGCAGTATATACCAGTATCAAATCAGCTCATTGTACACCTTAAACTTATACAATGTTATATGTCAGTTACATCTCGATGAAGCTGGATAGGGGTGAAGAAGAGGAAGGAAACTCCTAAGAACCAGAGGAGTGCATTATAATATCCCAGTTTTTGAGCAGTAATTTGGTTTCAGATTCTATGTTAAGTTCATCACACACATTTTTTTCATTGAAGCCTCCAGTGACTCAAAGTAGGGGTTTTAGCCCCATTTCATGGATAAGTTGAGACTCAGAGAATCACTTGTCCAAGGTCAGACAGATTACAGGAGGGGTAGGATTCAAACTCATGATTATCTGACTCAAAAGTCTATAACCTTAACCACTGCTCTGTCTGCACCCCTCTGCCAGCAAATTCCCATCTTGGTAAAAGTTGTACCAAGTGGAATACGTCTGTTCCCTTAGGCTCCCACTCAGTCATGATTGGTCATAAGGAATGTGCATAGAAGGAAGCACTGAGAGAACCCATCACTGAAGATTCCCCAGGCCCCTGCCTGCCTCCAGCAGAAAGCTGGGGCTCAGAGAGAGCCTGTGGGGAGAGGCCCCACCAGGCCCTCCTGACACCATCTCACAACTCTGGTGGAAGGGCTCAGATTCTGTCACCCCGCCTCTCTCACCCTCTCAACCTTTCCTGCAGGCTCGCTTCACCCATGGCATGTTTACCGTGTACCCTGGGTTCGGCTCCATCCCTTCCGGAGGAATGCAGGTTATCACTGTCGACTGCGTAGCTGACCCTGTGGGAAGGTGTGAGGAATTCATAGCTATCGATATATCTGACCGAGACCCAAGAGATCAGCCTGCTGGTATTCCTTACAGCCTGTTGGCAGAAGCCTGTTTACCAGGTACTGGGCACTCAAATTGGGTAGCACCCCCTTAAAAGGCCTTCCCCTCCACCAACCATGCAAATATTGAGCAGATATGGCTGAACTGCTTCCTCTGGGTCCTTAGAACTTCCTCTGGTGTCTTCAGCTATATTTTTCCTTAAAGATTTATAAGGCATGCACAGATGTGCAGCTTTAAACTCTTAGTCTTCCTGAGTTTGGTCCAGGATTCTCAGGTGAATAGTATTATCTGAGAATCATGGTGTAATGGGATATGGCACAGGACCCAGGAACACTGAATTCCGCTCATGGCCTGGCCCTTCCCTGTGGGCAAGAAACGCACAAAGAACAATGTTCAATGACTGTGCACACTATCACTTTAACTCAGCAAGATTCAGGTGAAGCACAGAGAGAACTCCTCTTGCTTTGCTATAGACTCCCTGCAGCCTTGCACCAATGTAGGCCAAATGTCCCCTTTCTTTCCTAAGTCCACCTCAGGATCCTGGGACTAACCTCTCCTTACTGCTGGGAGGAAAATATGGTTGTGGTCTGACAACCAGCAAGAGCAGTACAAAAAAGAAAGAGAAGATAGAATTTGTGTTGTCACTCCCACCCTCTTATGTGAATTCCCCTACCTCCCCTCTTATGATTGTCCCCCATCAGAATCAAATCTTCAAATTAGAATTACATAAAGCAGGGACCAGGCTATCAGGCCTCGTTTCTCATTCTTCCTTCCACTCCTAGCCTTCGTGACTGACAACAATGCCTTGATATTTGAGGAGCACAAGATCTGTAGCAGCGCTAACCTGCTCAATGTCCTACAGACCATAGAGAGTGGGGGGCTGTTTGTGGAGGATGAGAACAAGTTCATTTTCTGCAACGTCCTGGTGGGTCATCAGGCCAAGGCTCGGTTCAAGATCAGCAATGTGGGAAAGATCGCCTGTGATGTGAACATTGTAGTTAAGCCCATCTCCAACAAGGTAAGCAGCTCCAAATGGCCCTGACCTGGAGCTGGCAGGAAGCCATGGAAAGAACTCTTGGAAACCCTGCTCTAGAGCCTCTAGACATGAGTGGGGATTATCTGGCTCTCACGCCCTGCTGGAAGTCATATGAAATAACTGGGCAGTTTTTCCCTAGGCCAAGAGCTATACATTTATCCCAGTGGGTGCTTCCTCTGGGTTTTAAAATGGTACACACCGATGAGCAACTCTCTCATCCATCGAACAGCCACCTATGCCTATAATAGATGAGGCATTGTGAGGAGAGCCAAAGATGAGTGCCAGCTCAGGCAGGCTGCCTTGGGTTGCACATTTGTCTGGTAAGGAGGATTAGGGGGATGTCAGGTTATAAGGGTAAGGTGAAGTGATGAACTATTGTTAACCCCTGCTGCATGTTAGGCACTGTGTTAAAGTATTTACATTTATTGCCTCATTTCATCCTAACAGAAAATTTATATTATCAGACTTTGTATTATTATCCTCATTTTATAGTTAGGAAAATGAAACTTAGGGATACAGGGCTAGGTTTACAGCCAAGCTTCATGCACTTACAAGGTGAATAATAAATGCCCATCTCAGGGCCTGTAGATTTGAAACTCCCTTCCTCTCTGAGTCAGACCATACTGAGATCCTTTTTCCTCGCAATGGAACAGAATATTCAGGATACAAAGAGAGAGGGCTTAGTCAATAGTCAATCAGGTATGCTTCAAATACTGTCTTGTCTCACCTCAGCTCCTTTCATTCTCCACCCAAGGTGAAATCTTGGCCCAGGCAGTCCTTGTGACCAGAGCTGGCAATGTTCACATGGCTGATGGTGACCAGGGAGATCACTCAAGGGGTGGCCTAGCCTAGAGCGGAGAAGAGTGTGTGCTTTCCCAGGGGACTGTCACCACAGACGGTTAGGCTTTGAAAGGCTATCTCATCCCTTTTATGACTTCTCTCAGGCCCTGATGACATCCAGTCATTACTTTCTGTTCTTTTTTTTAGACGTGAAGGGGAAGCTTCCTTTCTATTCCACACTAAAAACATAAAAAGTGAGCAAACCTTATTTCTAAAAGATAGGTTGTAACAGGGGATTTGCAGACATATTCTCCTCTTCCCTAATTTGTATACTATCCCTTGAAAAAAGCAAAGAAGCCTTAGTGCCCTCAGCTTAAAAATAAGAGGAAATAGTCTTGAATCCCACTTTATATCCTTAAGAATAAAAAAATCCTTTTGAGGCCTTGCCAGGGGTCCCTGCAGTCCCTTCAGTCTTCCCAAAACACTGCCTCAAGATGGAACAGATAAAGTGCTGTGGGAAGTTGTTCTAGCTAAAGCTCTTGGAGTTGAAAGGAGCAGAAACCAACCCAGGATAGCCCAAACAAGCAAGGTTTGCTTCAGTAAATCAGAGATGTCAGACCAAGGTCAGAGCACACCCTGTAGCCCAAGCTCTATGGCTACTAGACCAACTTATAGAAGACCAGCAGAAGCTGTGTCTATCTTTCAATGGCCACATGCCACTCACTCAATGTGTCTCCATTATTCTATTCTCTAGTCTGGCTTCCAATTCAGCTCCACATCAGCAACCACCAGTGATCTCTTGGCATCTTAACTTGTTTGAGAGAGAGAAAGAAAAATGTCAGGGGCAGGGGGTGCTATCTGAGATCTGGTTTAATTCATCTGTTTGAGTCATATATCATATAGGTCTAGCCAAGTCTAGCTAGTTATTGCTCAGGACTGCGTCCCAGAGTATCTAGGCTGCTCTTTCCAGGGGCATGACTATGTAGGAAATGGATGGAGCATATCTACCATAGAGTTTAGGTGAGGAAGATTTCACAGCAAGGGCAGTAGACATAAGATGTAAGTCTTATTTGATGCAAAGTAGCTAACACACCCTGATCCTTGCTCTTCCTCCTCAGCTCATTGCCCGAATTGTTGACATTTTTGATGTGGAACCCAGTAAGATGTGTGTTGCCAGCCACTCACATGCCTTTGCCACGGTGACCTTCACCCCGCAGACCATGCAGACCTACCAGTGTATCTTCGAGGCTACCTTGGATGGCTTGCCTAGGTACCAGCTCCCCAGCTCCCTCTCCTACAGCAGTGCTCCAGGCCACACCCTCTATGAAATGTCCTTCCTGGCATGCCAGGCTGACAGGCCTCCATGTTACTGTTCCCTGCAGCATTCTGACCAAGAACCGAAGCCTTGTGTTTGATATCGTCGGGGAAGGGAACCTCCCGCGGGTGACAGTAGTGCGGCCAGTTCTCTACAACCAGTATGGAAACCCCTTGCTCCTCTTTAAGAGGCTTCTGCTTGGTCAGTCAGAGAAGCTGCCTCTCATCCTCAAGAACAATGGCACCATCCCTGCCCAGGTACCGCTGGAGGTGAAGTATGGGATGGAAAGGGAAAAGAATGATTCAGAAGCAAGGCTTCTGATGTTGAAGTCTCTGCCATTCCTGATCTATGAAGTCTTCTTTGATGTTCCTCATATGTTAATCTGTATAAGACGTGAGACATGCAGAGCCAAGCCACCTTGGTGTCTGCCCTCAAGGAGTGTAGGAAAGCAGATTACACGACACACTGATAGTTTCTGTGTGAAGCAGTGTGCAATGATATACCCTAATCTGAGTGGATAGGATTATGGGTGTTCTTGGTGTCTTCTTTACTCTTCACTTTTTTTCTGTAATGAACATTGCATTTTTAATAAGGAAGAAACTAAAGAAACCTCATTAGGGGTGAGAGATTCAACATCTGAAGGGGCTTTTAATTCAGCAATCAAATTTATGTTTTTGTTTTTAAAAAATGATAAATTGTGTAAGTGTCCTACAAAGAACCATAGGACTTTTGAAAATGATCTACTCCCATCTAGGGGAATCAAAGAAAATTTCACTATAAAATGACATGAAAGCTGAGCATTGAAAGATAGCTAGGTTTCAGGAAGAGGTATGGCAGTGAGTGCATCCCAGATGGGAAAAAACTGAAAAGACAAAGGCACAGAAGCAAAAAAAAAAAAAAAAAAAAGTGTAGGGACAACTTGTGGGAGGCTTTGGATTCGCTCTATACTTTAAACCTACAAGATGTTATTTTTTTTTTTTTTTACAAATAGTTTATTGTCAAATTAGTTTCCACATAACACCCAGTGCTCATCCCCACAAGTGCCCTCCTCCATGCCCATCCCCCCCTCCCCCCCACATCCATCAGTCCTCAGTTTTTGTCAGCATTCAAGAGTCTCTCATGGTTTGCCTCTCTCCCTTTCCCCCACCATTTCCCCCCTTCTTCTCCCGATTGGTCCTCTGTTAAGTTCCTCCTAGTCCTCCTATACGTGCACACATATGATATTTGTCCTTCTCTGCCTGACTTATTTCGCTCAGCATAACATAAACCTACAAGATGTTATTACTGTAATTGTTGGGTTTTGTTGTTTCTAAAGTTAAGGCTCATTTAGATTTATCCACATAGTTATCTTTTTTATTGCTCTTTACTCCTGCATATGCAACTTTCCATCTGAGATCCTTTGCCTACCTGCTGAAGAAATGCCCTGCAGGTCTGTTAGTGTGGTGAATTCTCTCACTTTGTGTTTGAGAATTTCCATTTCTTCTTCATTTTTAATGTGATCTTTACTGGCTATAGAACTCTGTGTCAGCAGTTGCTTTCTTCCAGCAAATAAGAGCTATTATTCCAGTGTATTCTCATTTCCACTGTTACTGATGGGATGTCACCTCTAAGCTAAAATGTTCTCTTCAAGCAATCTTTTTCCTCTGGCTTTGTATTTCACTTTGTATTTGTTTTTGGCAGTTTCGCTATGATGTGTCATTTATCCTTCTTGGAATTCACCAGGCTTTTTGACTCTGCAACTAATATCTTAAATCAGTCTTGGGAAATTCCTAGACATGTCTAAAATTATGGCTTCTATTCCATTCTGTCTCATCTCTCCTTCCAGGAGGCCATTTACATGTATGGAAAACCTTCCCGTTGTATCCCATAGCTCTCACAACCTCATTGCATTTTCTTTTCTTTTTTCCTAATAGTTTATTGTCAAGTTGGTTTCCATATAACACCCAGTGCTCATTTTCTATCCATTTTTCTCTGGGCTCCCTTCTGCATAATTTCTTGGGACATGTCTTCAGCTCTTTAACTCTCTCTTTAGCTGTGTCTAATTCACTATTAAACCTTCCATTAAGTTCTTAAGTTAGTATATCTTTCAGTTCTAGAATTTCTATTTAGGCTGCTTTTTAAATACACATAATCAGTTTTTAAGAGTTCTAGTTTTGTGCCAAAATTGTCAGACTCGGCTTTATTTCTTGAACATAGTGATCACAACTATTTTGCCATATGTACCTGATAATTCCAAAATCTGAAGTCCCTGTGGGTCTGTTTCTGATATCTGCTATTTCTGCTCATTTTTGCCCATGTTGTCCTTTCTCCTCATGTGCCTGGTTATCTTCAGTCATGTGTTGAGTATTGAAAAGTTATTTAGACATAATAAGACTAAGGATTATGTTACTTTTCTTCAGAGACAATTTTCATTTACTTCTGCCAGGTACTTTGGGACATGAGAAAGCTGGTTTTAGGGCTTGAGATTTTCTGGATTATGTATATGACTCAGAGCAGGATTGTTGCCATTGGGAGACCTGGTTTATATCCAGTCTTTCTTTAGTACTATCAGGCAGTCCTTTGGAGTCCCAATCTACTACAAAGAAAACACCCCACCTTTCATCAGACTTTTGCCCTCTTAGCACCAACAGGTTATCAAAAGCACAGCTCAGCCTCCCAGATACCTTTTGCTGACTGGCAAACATTCCAGGTCAAAAACAGTCCAGAAATTTAGGCTGGCCTCTCTGAATTCCCATGCTCTCCAGATCTTCGTCTGGTTATTCTTCATTATCTTCCCAGCGCTGTGATGCTTTAAAAAACTTATTGTACTTGTTGTCTTATTTTTTGTTGTTGTTTTGAGCCCACATTACCTAGTTTACCATTATCTTGCATTATTTCTATTGTTGTGGCTTTATAAAACATTCTAGCATCTAGTTCAATAAATTCCTGCTCACCCACTCCCCATTTTTCTAATTTTTCTTAACAGTTTTTCCATATCTAGTCTTTCAGATGAACTTTAGACATCATTTTATAATGTTACTCAAAAAATCCAATTGGGAATCCTATGAATTATTCAGGAAGAATTTAGGGTTTCTACCAGGAACGACATTTAGAATTCCCATCCATTTACCTAGATCTTTTTATGTCCATTTTTTCCCATATAACTCCTCCATATAGTTTCTTACTAAAATTATATCTATACATACAATTACATTTTTTAATCTCAGAAGCTTCCTATGTAGTGTCACTATTTTTCTTCTTTTTACCTCATTTCTTATATTGTTCAATTGTGTTTATGATGGTAAACACAGCATTACTATCTTCTAAAATTGTATATTGATTTTTCATAACCAAAATCAGATATATGGCTTTAGTTTTTTAATCAGGTATGCTTCTTCCAGTGGTCTAGAAAACATCCTTTTTATCCAAGTAAATCAGAAGCCCACTTTGGTTTTCTTCTTATCTTGGTGGGCTGCTCAATATGACATTCTCAGGCAACAAATGCATTAGTTCATGGGAGATACTGATTTTTAGGAATGAACATTCATGTAAGCCTTCATAGAATGACAAGTATTCATTTCCATTTTATTAGTCTTGTGTATATTTTACAGCTGCCCCTGTCAGTAGCAGAGGCCTTGGCAACCCCATTTTGATACTACTTATTTGGGTAATCTGGAAAGTCACCTATATTCTCTGGACCTCCAGTTCCTTACTTGGATAATAAGGGCTGAACCAAACTTTCATTTTTCCTCCCCAGGTCTAATATTTATTTTATCTCCCTTTTAAAAAAAAGAAAACTCAAAACCATGACCACTAGGCACAATGACTAAATGTACAATATCTCAATCCAGACTGAAAACCCATGAGCAACCTATAAGCTTAACACTCAATCTTGCTTTCCTTCTGCCAGCTGCATGTTGACCTGAGGGACCAACTAGGAGTCTTCTCCCTGAAAGGGTGGCCCACCACCTCCTACATCTATATCACAGAGGAAAACAAACCAAATGCCAAAGGTAGGTAGGGGGAGTATAACTTCCAGAGGGCAGTGGGTCCTAGAAGCTGTTCTGTTAGGGAACTGATGAGGTCCCAGCCAGAGTAGGATGCCCAGTCTTCTCACCAATAGCCTCTGTAGGTAAGGCTTATCCCCACACTAGAACTGCCCTCTCTTGCGTCAGGATCTTTATGGTTACATCTTCTTTTAAACTGGTTCTAAATCTCATGTCTCTCTCTCCTCTTTGCAGAAAAGAAAGCTCATACGGCCTCCCTGGTTGTTCTTCCTGGAGACACAACTGGGTTTGATGTCATTTTCCAGTCCCAAAAGGTTGGGCGAATGACAGGCACCATCCACTTGTCAGTGATCAATAATCAGTATGAGGAGACGAACATCCACCTGGTGGGAGAGGGTTATGAGGATGACATCACCTTGGGCAACATCCATGGGCTGGTGGTTTCCAGCAGCCCTGAGGCCCCAGAGATCTCTGAGGTCATTGAGGAAAATACTATGGAAGACTTGATAACAGGTGAGAAAAACAGTCATGAGCTATTGACAACTGTTGGCTCAGGTTATTTTATTTTATTTTTGTTTTAATTTTTAACTTTTTATTTATTTTTGAACATGAGTGTGTTAGCAGGGGAGAGACTGAGACAAAGGGGAACAGAAGATCTGAAGTGGGCTCTGTGCTGACAGCAGCAAGCCCAATGCAGGGCCCAAACACACAAACTGTGAGATCATGACCCTAGCAGAACTGAGCCACCCAGGCACCAAGGCTTAGGTTATTTTAAGTAAGAGTGAAATTGAAATAACAGGCCAGCCAGCTTCCTGGGGATTTAGGAAAGCATCTTCTCTTTGTTACTGTATGTTCCTTCATTCCTAGTTCAGACAATGCCTCCAATCACGTGTTCCCTCAAGGAATATTTACTGAGCATCAATCAGCAGGCATGTACCAGGCACTATGCTGAGCACTGAGTTCTGAAGAGTAATATAAGAGTCTCTGCCTTTAGGAGCTTATAGCTTTAGCTAATTCCAGTTTAGCTGAAAAGTGAAATTCAAAATTCAAATTCCAGATTAGCTATCTGAGCACGTATCTCTCTGTAGTTTTCCCCATTTATATTCTCTCAGCTGGCTCGTACTGGATTGTCTGCTTTGTGGGAACCATTTATCCCAGATATTCCAAGAAAAATCATGTGCTTGTTTAATTAAAGAAAGGGTAGATTTGTGCCACCCCTAGAACATCATTCTCTGTAGCCTTACTACTCGGTGCACTGTCTGAAGACATACAGCATCAGCAGCACCTGGGAGCTTGTTAGAAATGGGAATTGCAGACACCACCCCAGCATTTCAGGCCCAATGAAACAATGCGCATTAGAGCAAGATCCGTAGGTGTATATAGTAAAGCTCAGACGTGCTACTCTACTGTCTATCAAGCACTGCAGCTTCTTTTGGCTGAGTATATTCAAAATACATTTGTTAAGCAACCTAATTATGTGGCTAATTGGTATGAAGTGAGTTATAAACACATTCTCATAGTTTTTCTAGGAGCTTGATTATAATCCTGGAATGTAGCATTGGACAGTCTATACAACATGGCTTAAAATCAATACTCCTCTTTATATGGTGTTGTACCCCTCTTTGTGGCTACAGGGTGACACTTCTCTTGTCAGAGGTCAAGCAGGAACCAGCGGTGAACAGTTAGCTCAGAAATCATATTTCATACTTATGATTGGGTTACCACATTTAGAAAATCAGAATACAGGAGTCCCTCTTAAATTGGACTACACCTCCTGCACTGTTGATGGGAATGTAAACTGGTGCAACCCCTCTGGAAAACAGTATGCAGGTTCCTCAAAAAATTAACACTAGAACTCCCTTATGACCCAGCAATAGCACTGCTAGGAATTTACCCAAGGGGTATAGGAGTGCTGATGCATAGGGGCACATGGACCCCAATGTTCAGAGCAGCACTCTCAACAAGGGCCAAAACATGGAAAGAGCCTAAGTGTCCATCAATGGACGAATGGATCAAGAAGATGTGGTTTATCTATACCATGGAATACTACATGGCAATGAGAAAGAATGACATCTGGCCATGTGTAGCAACATGGATGGACCTTGAGGGTGTTATGCTGAGCGAAATAAGTCAGGCAGAGAAGAACAGATACCATATGTTTGCATGTATAGGAGGATTAGGAGGAACTTAATGGAGGACCATGGGGGAGAAGAAGGGGAGAAATAGTGGGGGAGAGGGAGGGAGGCAAACCATGAGAGACTCTTGAATGCTGAGAACAAACTGAGGACTTATGGGTGTGGGGGGGAGGGGAAGGAGGGTGATGGGCATGGAGGACGGCACTTGTGGGGATGAGCACTGGGTGTTATATGGAAACCAACTTAACAGTAAACTATTTAAAAAATTAAATTTCAGGGGCGCCTGGGTGGCTTAGTCGGTTAAGCGTCCAACTTTCGCTTAGGTCATGATCTCGCGGTTTGTGAGTTCAAGCCCCGCGTCGGGTTCTGTGCTGACTGCCGGCTCAGAGCCTGGAGCCTGTTTCAGTCTGTGACTCCCTCTCTCTCTGACCCTCCCCTGCTCACGCTGTCTCTCTCTCTCTCTCCTAGAAATAAATAAAAACATTTAAAAAAAAAAACAAAAATTAAATTTCGGGGCACCTGGGTGGCTCAGTTGGTTAAGTATCCGACTTCAGCTTGCGTCATGATCTCATGGTTTGTGGGTTCGAGCCCCGCGTCAGGCTTTGTGCTGACAGCCAGCTCAGAGCTTGGAGCCTGTTTCAGATTCTGTGACTACCTCTCTCTCTGACCCTCCCCTGCTTATGCTGTCTCTCTCCTAAAAATAAATAAAAACATTAAAAAAAATTTTTTAATAAAAGTTAAAAAATTAAAAATTAAAAAATTAAATTTGAATTTCAGATAAACAGCAAATACTTTTTTTTATTATTATTTGTATGTCCAAAAATACTGTGTGGGACACAGTGATACTAAAAATTACTCATCATTTATCTATAATTCAAGTTTTTTTAAAAATTTTTTTAATGTTTTATTTATTTCTAGGAGAGAGAGAGAGAGAGTGTGTGAGCAGGGGAGGGCCAGAGAGAGAGGGAGTCACAGACTCTGAAACAGGCTCCAAGCTCTGAGCTAGCAGTCAGCACAGAGCCTGACGCGGGGCTCGAACCCACGAACCACGAGATCATGACCTAAGTGAAAGTTGGACGCTTAACCGACTAAGCCACCTAGGCGCCCTCCTATAATTCAAGTTTAACAAGGACTTTTATATTTTATCCTATTTTAACCCTTAATAGTATTGTTTCAGCAAATAAATAGAGTTGGGGACCTATATTTTCTCTTGGAGGTGGGAGCCAAGGTGGGCAGATGGATGGATGGATGGACAGATGGTTAGATGGACAAATAGATTTCCCAAGGAGGGAAAGTTTATGCTAAAGGACTCCATATTTTTCCAGTATAATCGTGGGGCAGGGGGGATACATGAGGGTGAAGCACCATGTCTTTCAAGTGTCAGGAAAGTGAGCCCTGGGCTAGGGGGGCTCACCGACCTTCTGCTTCTGTCATAGCGGCTCTGGTGGACCACATCCAGTTTGGGGACTGCCACATCGGGAGCAGCTATAATGTGAGCTTCACAATCACTAATCACAGCCAAGTGAATATCATACGGTTTGAATGGCCCCTTTTAGCTACAGTTTGCTTTTCCCCACAGGTAAGTGAAAGCCATTTGCCGTTTTCTAGACTCCCTTAGGTGTAAGCCACATCCAATTTGATTGTCAGTCTATTGCCATGAATGTGTGGGATGAGATGGATGGCTCTCAAGCTGAGAAATAGCCCAGGAACCACCCCTTACTCAGAGGGCACTTAGAGGTACCAGAGGACACTGTTCATGTCCTCTCTAGTCAAAGAACAGAGAACAAGATCTGCCAAGACTGTTGCTATGCTGAAGTTGAGGAATTCCTTGCAAGTGCCTATGAATGAAATAGGTCCCAGTCTTCCTATCCCAGAGTGTAGACCTGTGTCCCCCAAGGTATACGTTCTTTAGAGCATTTGTCATGCAAAAGTGGTTCACTAAAAACTAAAATGGGGGTAGTGGGTTCTGTGGACAACTGAGATTTAGCAAATTTGCAAATTACATTTTTCTCTTAAAGTACCACTCAGCATACTAAAATCTAGTTAACTTGGTTTTACCTGGAATCTTCTGACCCTCTCTTTTATCAACTCACAGCACACATTTTATGAATTGCTGACCAAAGTTCAATATCACACAAGGCCTAAGACAATGTGGCAGCAGATCCTAGCCTCTGGCTACCTGATGCTTTTCATAGACAGTTCACTGTTGAGTTCCCAGGACAATGCATGTACCCAGATGTATCCACTGCCTCCTGCCCTGTTTCAGTCACCAAGTCTGTTCAAGCATAAAACTCTAGGGGGATAGAGCAAGAAGAGTTGGGAACTCTACTTTGTCACCTTTAAATCTTTGAGTACTATCAGGAAGTTTTGCTTCCTAGAGAGATGTAAAGTGTCAGTCAAAATAGAGAGATAAGCTTCAGATCATCAATTAATATACACCCACACACACACACACACACACGCATGCATATACCCCGCACCACCCATCCCCACACACATACACACATACACATACACACACACATATTTGTGGCCTTGGGGAAATACTAAGATTTCTTATCCTTTCACTTTCCAGAGGAGGGAGACATTTTTTATCTGACATAAATATGATAGGACTATTATATATATACACATGTGTATGTTTATATATGCTAAATCATAAATAATTTTATGCCATAGACCAAACTAGATTTCCCATTTATCTGGTACTTCAGTGAATGTCACCCTTTCTGGTCTTAGGACTCCTTTACCCTATAAACATTATTAAGGAACCCAAAAAATGTTTATGTGGTTTATGTCTATTGACATTTACCACATTAGAAATTAAAACTGAGAATATCTGAAAACATTTATTTATTCATTTTTAAATAATAAACTCTTTAATGTTAATATAAATACCTTATTTTACTGAAAATAACTATATTTTTCAAAATAAAAAATTGAGTAAGAAGAGTAGCATTATTTTTCAATTTTACAAATCTCTTTAATATCTGCCTTAGTAGAAGATAGCTAGATTCTCCTATTTGCTTCTCCATTTGATCTGCTTCCATATCATATATCATGTAACCTCTAGAAAGCTCCATTGTGTACTCATGAGAAAGTAAAAATAAAAAAGTCAAATCACATCTTAGTATTATGATGGATGAAAGTAGATTTGACCTTGTGAACTCCTGAAAAGGTCTTAGGGATTCCAAAGGTCGCCTGACCACACTCTGAGAACTGCTGATGTACAGTGTACCTTGGTCTATAATTCATGTAGTTATATTGATGAAGAAGCACAGGTAGTTAATAGTGTGGTACCTGGAGCCATACTGTCTGGGTCTGAATCCAGCTCTCCCAATATTTATGGTATGACCATGAGCCAATTACAAGGTTCCTTGCCTATAAAATAGGAGTAATAGCTATACATCTCACAGAGTTGTTGTGTGGATTAGAAGTGTGTAAAGGTCTAGAACCTGCCTGAGGCAGGTAAGAGTTTAATAAATATTAGCTGCTTTGACAATTATATTTCTATCTAAGAAGCTCTTGTAGATATTTAAGACAATCTACACATACAGGTGTGAATGATGCACTTTGCCAAAATTTTTGGCTCTACCCCCTCTCTAGAATGTCACCATAAGGTATCAAAAGTCCTCAAGCTCAGATTCCCAAATATACTAATATCAGGCTCTTCCCCAGATTGGCCACCTTCACCCTGGGTGTGCTAAAGACATAGTAGTGACCATGAAGTCAGAAGTGCCTATCAATCTGAAGAAGATGGGGGTCACGTGCAAGCTCTCCAGGATCATGTTTCAGCTCCCTACAGACCAAGTCCCTGATTGGGATGACCGCATGCGCACAGTCAAGTGGGTGGATGTGCTCAGAAACACACCTGGAACTTTAGCTGCAAAACGAAAGGTAAGTGGGGACATCAGGTACACATCTGACCAGGCCTGCCATGGCTGGCTGTGCCTGCTGCTCTCTGGTTCAGTGTCTCATCATTTCCTTCATTCATGGACCAAGAAAATTGTTTGTCTCTCATTCTAACTGACCTTGATTTGACCTTGATTTCAGAAGTGACAGACTGAACTTGCAAGCATGCCACCTGCCAGCCATGAGACCCACACACCTTGACCCAAACAGCTTTAGTTTAAGTCTGGATACCTCCTGGAGCAAATTCTCTCACCATCAACAGAATCATGTTAGCCTTTTAGCTATTCTCGTTTTCTATCTGTGTCCAGAATTTGATTAGTTATAGTCTTTGGCTCATGACAGAATCTTATCTTTGGTCCATGTGTGTCCCTCTTTTAATTAGTCTTTGGTTGGTTTCTTTTTAATAATGTAATAAACAGAAATGAACTCACACTCAATGTAGGAAGTAGAACATGGATTACCTGTGTACTTCTCAGCCATTCCATCCCCCTGCCTCCCTCTTAGACAAATCACAATCCTGAATCTTATTGACTCATTCCCTTGATTTTTGGTTTTTCTTTCTTTTTTAACCTATATATTCTAAAAGTCATGCTGTTTGGTTGTAGTTTCTAACTTTTAATTTTTAAAAGAAGGTTACTGCCTGTGATCCATATTGTTTCATGTGGCTATAGTACACCCATTTCACTGCTATATAAAATTCCATTATTACTTATCATCCATTCTTCCTTTGAAAATGATTTGGTGTTTGCTATTGTGTACAGTGTTTCTGTGAACATTATTATTCATGTCAAATGGTGTTCAGTTGTAAAAGTTTATATTCCTAGAAGTGGAATTGTTGAGTCATAAGATATGTGGATTTCAGCTTTCCAAGATAATGCCCAAGTGTTTTCAAAAGTCACTGTACCAATGGACACTCCTATCAGCAGAGGGATCTTATTGATCCACCTTCTCTCCACAACTTGGCATTACTAAATTCTTGATTTTTATCATTTAAATGAATGGGAAATGGTCTAATTTGGGAGCTACTTGACATTTCCCTAACCACTGATAAAGCTGAATATGAATGACTTCATGACCTTATTAGTCATCTCTTATATATGCCATTTGCCTAGTTTTCAATTATGATGCTTATTCTTTGTATGAGTTCTTTTATTTTTGATACAGTCTACTATTCCTATTATTTGTCTGCAAATGTCTTCACCAAATTTATAGCTTATCTTTTCATTTTCTTTGATGTATCTTTTGATAAACAAAAAATATTCTTAATTTCAACATATCCAAATTTATTAATCTCATCTTTTACATATTTTGTGTATATGTCTTGTTTTAAAAATCTTTCTCTACCAAGGAAGAAAAATGTTCATTTTTTTTTTTAGATTTAAGAATTTTGCTTTTTATATTTAAGCTCTTGGCCCACCTAAATTTTATGTATGGTGTGAGGCAAGGGTCTGATTTCATAGTTTTCCATCTGGATAACTAACCTGGCCAAATCCCTTTTTTGTTTAGCCCTTCTGTTTCCTAGTGATCTGCCATGACTCCCTTGTCATCTAAATTTCATATATTCCTTGAATGTTTCTTGTCTCAGTATTCTACTTCACTGTCAATTTGTCTATCCCTATGCCAGTTTTACCTTGCCTTAATTTCCATAGCTTCATAATCAGCCTTGATATCTGCAAGGGAAGTCCCTCTTCCATACTGTTTTGTTCTGAAGTATTTTTGTTATTATTGGTCCTTTATTTTTCTATCTAATTTTGGAATCCACTTACCAAGTTTCGTGGAAAACTTGATTGAAACTTGATTGGAATTAGATTGTATCTGTAAGTCAGTTTAGGAAGGATTAACAAATTTACAATATTAATTCATTCTTTCTATTATGAGTTTTATTTCTCTATTTATTTAGGTCTTCTTTAACTTTTTTTTTTTACTACCATTTAGTTTCTTTAATACTATTAGGACTTTTCAGGTTTTTTATTTGTTTTTGAGTCAATTCTATTAAGTTAATTTTCAATGAATTTGCCCTTCATCTCAGTTTTTCATATGTATTTTTGTAAAGTTATTTATAATATTTTCTTATTATCTGTTTAAATTTGTAGGATCAGTGGTAGTGTCCTCTTTTTAATTTTTGATATCAGTTATTTTCATTTACTCATTTTTTCTTGATCCGTTGCACCGAAGACTTTTTAAGTCGTTCCAAATAAACATCATTTGGCTTTATTGGTGCTCTCTGTTCTCGATTTATTTTCTGTTTCATTAATATCTGTGCCTAATTTTGTGATTTCCTTTCTTCTACCTTCTTTATAAATTTTTTTAAATGTTTTATTTATTTCTGAGAGACAGAGAGAGAGAGAGAGAGAGAGAGAGAGAGAGAGAGACAGCGTGAGCAGGGGAGGGTCAGAGAGAGAGGGAGACACAGAATCTGAAACAGGCTCCAAGCTCTGAGCTAGCTGTCAGCACAGAGCCTGAAGCGGGCCTTGAACCTGTGAACCATGAGATCATGACCTGAGCCGAAGTTGGATGCTTAATCGACTGAACCACCCAAGAGCCCCATCTTCTACCTTCTTTATAATCCATCTACCCAAAAACTCATGTCTCTATAGTCCTGATGCTCTTAGTAATTTGTTTCCATTCCCATATAGGAGTCATTTTAGGTTTGCCTTAATCATTTATTCAGGAATTGGAATCACTTATTCTGTAAGTTGGTGTTAATTTGCATGGGTAAAATAAAGTACTCTGTTACCCCCCACCCCTTTATTCTTGTGAGTCAACTAGCTCTGCCTTTGTTACAGGTGATAGAAACAGATCCTGAGCCTGCTCACTCAGTAGTAGAAGAAAACTACCGAGAATTGCATCTTCAGATCAGTGCCAATGTGAATTTTGCTTCATATCAATGCCAAACAAGCAACGTGCACTTTAAAGAAACACTGGTTTACCAGACCCGAGTGTTTGAGTAAGTCTTTGAAAGTCCCCCAGCACTCACTGAGAAGCTATTTCATTTAATAATTTGCCCATTCTTTCATCAAATATTTATTCACTGTTTATGACAGCATATACCAGGCATCATACCTATGTAGACTGCACCAGAGGAACTCTGGGGATGCAGTGAAACATTGAGACCCACAGAGCTATTGAAGTTCACACCTGAAATCAAGATATAGCCCATGAAACACAGTCCACCAGGAGGGCAGCATCTGGCTATCAGCTTCAGTAGGGATGGCCCTTGAAGCAGTCTACACCACTACCCAGGAACTATTCTTTTCTCCCTGACCCCAGGTGACAGTATCCACACTAGTTGGAATGGGTCCATCTTAGCCTTGAAGCCCCACAACCAACAGAAGCCAATACTCCTCATAAGCACCCCATAGGTATAGCTTCCAGGATCTTTAAAGGAGTCACTATACTCACAGAACCCCAAGGCTATGGCTTCCCTCCAGAAAATCATAATTCCCCCCAGACCAGATGCAGTTTACCAATCAGAGGTCATTTTTACTCTAAACAATGTTGCCTGATAATACAGCCGATACTTCTCCTTTATCAGGTGTCCTGGGAAACAGCTAGGAAATTCATTCAAAGTCACAATTGTCCTTAGAAGGAAAAAGCGTTATGTTAACTCACATACAGGTATATAAGGATGTCATGTGTCCCCCTCTTAAAGAGCTCATGGGGGGAATGGGTGAAAATAGGTGAATTGGTGGTTACAATATGGTGTCCTGTGTATGCTATGAGAGTACCTAAAGCAGACGACATATCAGGGAAGACTTCCCAGATGAAGCAGTGCCCCAGCTGAATTTTGAAGGATGAGTAGGAGATAGCCAGGTGAAGAATTGAGAAAAAACAGCCTTCTAGGCAGAGAAAGCAGCATATAAAAAGACAAAGATGATTCTTTGAGAATTAGGAGTACAAAAAAGTAAACCACTGACATTTCAACTTGCAGAAAAATTGGTAATTAACTTTTTCAACTCATTTTGCATTTGTTACATTTTAAGTGTTCAAATTATCATAGAACCAAAAGAAATAAGGCAGGCAGTGGGACCTTCTGATGATAGCCATTTCCCCTAAAGCTGGGGTTGGCAAACTATGGCCCGAGGGCCAAATCTAGTTAGCTGCCTATTGTTGTAAATAAAGTTTCTTTTGACCCACAGCCACACCCATGCATTTATGTGTTGTCTATGTCTGCTTTGGTACTACAACAGCAGAGTGAGTAGTTGCTACAAACGCCTATGGTATGCAAAGCCAAAAAACATGTTATCTTGCCCTTTGCAAAAAAAAGTTTGCCAACTACAGTCTGAACCAAAAACTTTTTTATCAAGAGTATTCTGTACCACCAAGATTTCTCCACTTTTTAAATATTTTCTTTAGGGTAGTAGCCAGTGCTCATACTTTTACACAATAAACATAAGCCCCTGAGGTCAAAGCACTTGACTTTGGGCATACCTGTACAGTTTACCTGGATTGAATAATGGAAATCTAATCCTTATACCCTCCCCTAGATCTACACTCCCCTCCAAGCTTCAACTCCTACTGCTTCACTAAAACTAGCAAGACTAACAATCATTTTCCTGTATCAAGGCCTCATCCTTCTGCTGTGATTGTGATCAAGTTTAAAAATGATTCCACAAAAAGCTATTTCCTGGTTCTTCTCTTAGGTGCAGGGAAACTTGAGGCAAGACAAGGCTCAACTAATTCAGAAATTGAGACAAGTTTCAGCCAATAAAGGAATCTCGGGCAGGGGTCAAACAGCCTCTGACCACAGGGACATTGTTTCCAGTGGAAGATGATTCTGGAAGGGAGGGACTAGAATTTGTACCTAAAGAATGTATTGTCATGGGAAACACATTTCGATTCCTTTCTCATGGGAATTTTTCAGGATTACAGCAAATGCATGCTGAGAGCTCATTGCATAGGGTGCTGGTGGTGTGCCAGATGATTTAATGTGCTAAACATTTGGATATTTTTACTTGTAATAGTAAATAGTGTTTTAGGAGATATAACTAGCACAGCAAATGCATGATGTCAGTTAAAATGCTTAACACTTGCCTTTTGAAGAAATGTTTAAGAAACACACTGACAACTTTAAAAAAGTTAAGTAACAGTATAGATGATCTACAGACAGGAAAAAAAAATCATTGACAGCATATTTCTCAAATCCATTCTCTGATTTATCTGCAGGCTTGAACTGACTAATTCAGGAAATGTGCAGCTGGAATTCAACTGGGTCTCAGAAGAGACTGCAAAAGCTGTCAGCTTTGCAATGCCAGATAACCAAGGTAAACACAATGATAAGAAACACCCAGGGCTTGAACTGAGTCCCCAATTAGTAGGAGAGCCTTGTTCATGGAGAAGTGAGCACTGCTCCATCGGCTCTCTCAGTAGCCAAGGAGAAGCAGAACAAATGTTTCATGGTGTCTGCAGAGCCAAACAGGTCTGAGAAACTCAAGAACTGACCTCTGTCCTCCTGGAGCCTGGGACCCTGGCCCTCCACTAGGCCAGCACCCCAGTCACAGACCCGTAGGAATCTTGTCTTTTAGGCCTTAACCTCTTGGGAGATTACAGACCCTTGCAGAAACTGATAAAAACTATGAACTCTCTTCCCAGGAAAATACACACCCATACCCATTTTGATATATATGAAGCATTTGGAAAAGGACGCAACACTTAGTGGACAAATATTCATTAGTGTTGTTGCAGTTTTGGAGATTTGTAGACATTTGAATGGGCCCCCAAATCATTAACCACTACTTTCAAACAATGATTCTCCAAAAATTATATTCACAGCCCATTATTCTTGAGGTAGAAGACCCACAGACATCTCTTTGACCCACTCCCTTGAGCCAAAAGGAAACAACTTTGAAAACTTGATAAAATCAATAGAAGTATTTTTCATGAGTCTCCTGTGAGAGATATGAGCCAATCCCTTACCCTTAGTGCTCAAAGTTAAATATATCTGGTGGAAGAGGTGAGCCCACAGAGGGACCTGTGAGTGGGCTGCCTTCCACCTGCCCTCCCACTGCAAATACAGGGTATCACTGGCTCTCTGTTTTGTCCCCAGGTTCTTCTCAAAAAGACCAGTTTAGCCAGGGCACACTGCACACGATCAGCACTCTGGACAGCGCCACGGACCAAGGGAATGAAGTTCCCCCGCCCTTCTTTATGGAACCCGCCTCAGGCGTTGTACCTGTGGGCAAGAGTCAGAAGCTCAAAGTAAAATTCTCCCCGCTGGAAGTTGGAGACTTCGAGAGCAATCTCTTCTGCCAGTAAGGAGATGTGCTCCCTAAAGCAAAACTCCACATCTTCTACCCTCTCTTTTGTTCCAGTACTATCACCATTCTTTCCACCCCCTGGACCCCTCCACAGACCCCTGATTGTCACATTTCCCATTGGGAAGATTCAGAGAGGCCAGGATTTAGAAGATTAGGAGAATTTAGTCTTTTGTATTACTCACCAGCACTCGCTAGACTCTTCCTCCTGCCTATTACCCCCTTCCCAGCCCCACACAGGATTCCACTGAGCAACAGAATGGCTGACAGACAGGTAGGTTCCAATCCTTGGGCAAATATGAACTTAGGAAAACTTTATTGTATCTTTTCTGAGACTTCGTCTCCTCATATGTAAAATGGAAATAACAATATCCACCTTGGACAATCATCATGAACATTAAGTGAGTTAATTCAAGTGAAGACTTAGAACAGTACCTGGCACACAAAAAGCACAATAAACATTACATAGCCATGGTGGTGGACCTGATACATAGGTGAGGAATAGAGGGGGACCCAGACCCAATTCAAGAAATCCAATCCAATAACATTTAGCAATGAAAGTCCATGATGTGCTAACCACTCCCATGAAAGCTCCATACAGAAGACTTACCTTACAGAGGAATTGTATAAAACATGGCATAGGGTGGCAGAGGCCTATGTGAGCCATAAAAGCCTTGTGGAGCCCCTGCAGTCACACTGCAGGGGCCACTCCCACACATGGGCACTTAAGCTTGGTGCTGGGGCTAGAGGTCTCCTTACATCCAGTTTACCTACTTCAAGGAGCTCAGGTACTCTTAGAATTTCTGTGTCAGTTTTCACACCCCACTAGGTGGCTATGGGAGGGTCCAGAGGGCAAGACTCTGCTCATTTTACAGAAGGGAGAATTTCTCACCACTGCTGGAGGGAATAACTTGGGGCCATACTTAGATACAGAGAAGGAACCAGAATTCACCTCCTCATACTCAACCAATTCATGAATGAACACCTACTCTGTATCATGCACTATTCAAGGCATTGATATTATGTTGTTGACCAGGATAGGCCCAGTCTCTGCTTTCATTGAGCTCACATTCTGGTGAATATAATATTCATATTCAACCAAGGAAGCAATGATGGATCTAAAAATAAATAAAATAATGTTTTCCTATCAGGATTCCCAACCTGCCACCTGGAGAGCAAGGCCCAGTCCTATCAGCAAAAGGACGGAGCCTTTTACCCGTCTGCCATTTTGACCTAAAGCACTCAGATTACATCAGTGGTCATCGACGCAACCCAGATCTCCGAGGACCTTCTGGTGCAGCTCTGGATTCAAACACCCGAGTGATTGAGTTCACCAGTGTGGGCATAGGAGGGAAGAATATCCGGTGAGTTGCTTAGGTTTGCATTGGTTCTTATCAGTGAGTTCTTCTAAGGAACTTAGAGGAAGATTTCAGAGAACTCAGTGGGGCTAATTCCTAGAAGCAGGTTTGAAATATTGGGGTCGGATTTTAAAGAAGTCCATAGTAAGGAAGCTGAATTTTGTCTCCTTAGTTTTGACACTGGGGAAAATTTGGAAGACATAAAAAAAATGTCATCCCTGACAACCACCTTAACCAGAGAGGGTCAATGGGACAAAAGGACCTTGGGTATCATTATTATTCCAAAATCCAGAACTCTAGCCATAGTTTGGCCTCCCAAATGAGGTGCAGTTTTCATTTCTGTGGTAATGAAGTATGCAGATAAGTTCTGATCCCCAGATGGGGGACTGTGCTGAGGAAGGTCCTAAGAAAGTTTCTCTTATTCCTCAACCTCCATTTCACTCACTGCTATCAATTCTTCCCCCTCGGCCAGGACTTTTACAATCCTGAACCCAACTAATAGCACCTACTCCTTCTCTTGGATCTCTGAAGAAATTGAAAGTCTCCAGAACCCTCCAGCCTTCACATGCCTTACAGAGAAGGGTTTCATCCACCCTGAAAAGAAAGCGGAGGTGGGTGTGTGTGTGTGTGTGTGTGTGTGTGTGAGAGAGAGAGAGAGAGAGAGAAGCAGAACCGCTTGACCCATGGCATTGATCATTTTCTCCCTGTCTGCATAGCAAGTGTGCTATAGACCATAGGTAAAGTGAGGGAGGACAGCCTAAGGGTGCATCAATCAACAAGTATTTCTTGAGTGGCATATACATTAGGCGATCCTCATGAACAAGACAGACCTGATCTCTGTTGGGTGGCCATGGAGAAGTGGAGAGCTTTAGTATTTGCAGTTTTAAAATTGAAATTATTAAAGCAGGAAACGGGAGCTAGACACTAATACCTGCAGACTCTAGGACTCATAGATTACTCTATGAAGACTTATTTTTTCCCCAAAGGACTGACAGCAGTAAAAGGATACAGATGTATTTTTACTTGATCAGGACAAAGGGTAAAACAGGAAAAGCGAGTCATGTTCCACAGCATAGTCCTCACGTTTACACAGTGGTACAGGGTACGGAGTCAGACCTAAATAAATATGATCTCAGTGGCCAAAAGAGACCTTTGGGCCCTGTATCCTGTAAGTTCTGCAGAGAATCTTGGAGGCAGAAATAAATCCATGAAACAGAAATCATGCATTCAAATGCCTTCAGGAAGGTCACACAAATGAATGGAGCATGCCAAGGGGACAATGATCGGGAATGCTCAGCACCAGTACCAGCTGGTGATAGTGCTTCTCTGTCAGATGACCACCACACAGACAAGTTGCCAGTGTTGCCACTTCTCCCAAAATTTTTGTGAAAAGCTAAAATTCCATATTTCTTTTGGAATCTCTCTATTTTTACATGCCTGACAAAGACATGGTGTGAAATATGGCAGCACAGCCATCAGAGGCTGTGGGTGGGCTAGACCCCCTTAGGAAGACCTGTGGAAGAGCAAATAAGACACTGATATTGCTGGAACAGCCAAAATCACATGCCTTCACAGTAGAAAGGTAGGGATGACCTGGTAATGCCAACTATCGTAACCCCAGCACCAGTATGCCTTCAAGGGCACGTGGAGTAAGCAAACAGAAGTGCCTTTACCACTCTTTTCCAAACTGTCTTCTTAGATTGTTTTCCAGTTCACGCCTTTCCATCTGGACATCACAGAAGCATTCTGGACTTTCTTAATCCCTGAACATAACATCACAGTCCCTTTCCTACTGGTAGGAAAAGCCACCGACCCTCTCATCAATCTGGACAAGTCACACCTCAACTTCAGTTGTCTCCTCATTGGTAAGGCTGCCCTGTTGGTTTATGTTTAGAGTCGGAATGACTTGTCAGGGTTGGGGGTAGGACTGACCCCACAATGAGCTCTGGGAGCAGACTTGGATGGGGAACTTTTTCTGGTGCCTTCCAGAAGCATGTTAGAGGTCCTCTATCATTGTTCACAAAGCCACAAAATATTTGTCTTTCAACCTAATTTCCATCAGGTATCTTGTAAACCCACATACTAATAACCCAAGGAAATTTAGGATACTTGCTACAAATCCCACTTGTTAGATTCCTTGAAGACCTAGCCTGCCCATGTTCATTCCCAGAGCCTCATGTTATCCCCATCTTACTTGTATGTGCCTCCAGAGTATGGGCTATATCTGTTTGCCTCTCAGTCTGTGCCACAGTGGTCAGATTTCTCTGCCATCCTTTCATGCATTCATTCAGCTCAACAAATATTACTAAGCCCCTTGTGTGACCCAGGCACTCTCCTGTGAGCTGAGAATGCCATGGATAAAGCCAAAGTCCTCGCTTTCGTGGTGGTTACATTCTAGTAATAGGAAGTAGACTACCAAAAAAGAAAAGAGAAGATACAGCATGTCTAATGTTATTAAGTATTTCTAGATAAGAATAAAGCAGGGTAGGGAGGATAAAGAATACCAATAGACAATGGGGAAGTAACATTTGATCAAAGACCTGAAGGAAATAAAGGAAGTAATTGCCAGGTCCTTATCACATGGATGTGGGGTGTGTGTGTGTGTGTGTGTGTGTGTGTGTGTGTGTGTGTGAAATACAACTAAAACCAGAATATATTTTAGTAACTCATTAGATTTATATATTTAAACAAGTAATATTCTTTGTAATAAGTCAATTAATCTATTATATAAAGAAATTTTTACTCCCCATCCATCCTTTCCACCAAAGAAAACCAAGTTAACAGTTTTTTATGTAATACTTCCATACATTTCTTATACTGATACATATAAGTAGGTGGGAGGAATTTGTCATGTTTCAGAAGATTTTAAACAAATAAATGGGCAAATCAGAATAAGAATAATAACAGCATTCTTAACTATAGAGGGCACACTGATGGTTACCAGAGGGGAGGAGCATAGAAGGATGGTGATGAAATATGTAGTAGGGATTAAGGAGTGCACTTCTGATGGGTACCAGATGATGTATGGAAGTGTTGAATCACCCACCATATTGTACACCTGACACTAATATAACACTGTATATTAACTAACTGGAATTAAAATTTTTAAAAAATAATAGAATAGAATAAATAAATACCACAAGACAAACAATTTAATCTAGAAATGTAAGGGTGGTGCATTTTAGTATAATTATATCAACATATTAAAGAACAACCATGTAATGATGTGAATATATACTAAAAAGTCATTGCTAAAATTCATCAAACATTCTCAACAGAAATTCTTTTTTTTTTCTTTACAAATAGTTTATTGTCAAGTTGGTTTCCATATAACACCCAGTGCTCATCCCCACAAGTGCCCTCCTCCATGCCCATCTCCTCCCTCCCCCCCCAACACCCATCAGTCCTCAGTTTGTTCTCAGCATTTAAGAGTCTCTCATGGTTTGCCTCTCTCCCTCTCCCCCCCCCCGTTTACCCCCTTCTTCTCCCCCGTGGTCCTCTGTTAAGTTCCTCCTAATCCTCCTATACGTGCAAGCATATGATATTTGTCCTTTTTGCCTGACTTATTTCGCTAAGCATAACACCCTCAAGGTCCATCCATGTTGCTACACATGGCCAGATTTCATTCTTTCTCATTGCCATGTAGTATTCCATCGTATAGATAAACCACACCTTCTTTTTTTTTTTACTATATTTTTTTTATTTATTTCTAGGAGAGAGAGAGAGAGAGACAGCCTGAGCGGGGGAGGGTCAGAGAAAAAGAGGGAGACACAGACTCCAAAACAGGCTCCAGGCTCTGAGCTGGCAGTCAGCACAGAGCCCAACGTGGGGCTTGAACCCACGAACCGCGAGATGATGACCTAAGCGAAAGTCAGACGCTTAACCGACTAAGCCGCCCAGGCGCCCCTAAACCACACCTTCTTGATCCATTCATCTCAACAGAAATTCTAACAGTAAGAGAGGAATGGAGGGAAAAACTTAAAAAAAGACTACTAACCAAAATTAAGAGGCAAATATTATCTTGTAATAAATCGCTAAAACCACTGCAGTTAAAATTAGGCAAACCACTGCAGGAATTAGGCAAAGATGCTCATTATTATTATTGAATACTTTCTTAGTGGTTTTAGCAAATACAATAAAACAAGAAAATTCAGTAATTGGCATAAACATTAGGGAAAAAGAGACAAAACTATCTCATTTGCTGTTGCTCGTGACTTCATACATAGAAAAGCTCAAGAGGCTCTAGAGAAAAGCAAAACAAACCACTAGAATCAACAGGATAATTTAGTAAGTGACTGAATGCAAGACAATTATGTAAAAATCAATAGTTTCTCTTTCTTTTAGCAATAGGCACCTAGAAACAGAAACAAAAAAAATCGATTCAATATTGACAAAAGCTATATAATATCTAAGGATAAATGTAACAAGAAAAGCACAGGATCTATATGAAGAAAACTATAAAATCTTATTAAAATGCTCCCAAACAATATATGAACATTTACCAGTTCTCAGAATTGAATGCAAATGTAATCAAGTTCCACATAGAGTCCCAACTAGTGTTGCCAGATAGAATACAGGATGCACAATTTTGAATTTCAGATAACAATGAGTAATTTTTTTTCTATGTCAGCATAAGTACGTCCCATGCAATATTTGGGACATACTTACACTATATATATATTAATATATATATAACATATATGTTTATATATATATATATATAAATCTGGCAACCTTAATCCCTAAAGGATTAGGAGTGGGAGGGGGAGAATTGGAAAAATTGATTCTAATGTTTATGTGAAAAAACAAATGCTGTATAATAGTCAAGAAAAGTAAGAAAAGGCAAAAAGAGTGATAGAAAATATATCAGGGCCTTGTCAGGACTCTCATGACATTCCTGAGCTCTGATTCAAAAGAGTTCAATGCAGAGACTATTTACAAAGATACTGACAGAGTTAAGGCGCTACTAGGGAGGGTGAAGCCCTCATTAATAAAAGTAGGAAGGCATTGGGTCCAAAGGAACAGAGAGAGAAAATAGTATCATCAGAATCATAGGACAGTTGTGACTAAGGCAGAGAAGCCACCTGGCAGGAACAGGCAATTGATGGAGTAAAGTTCTAGAAGGAAGAGGTGGAATTCCCCAGGGGGAAGAAGGTCACTTGTAGAGCAGAAAGAAGGAAGAGAGGTGGTCACAGACTAAAGAGCTTGGAAGAAGAGAGAACAGAAGTTGAATGTCTCATAAGGAGGTTTCCTCTTGCCTGAGGAACAGTATCTGCCCAGATACCTCAGGAGCAGACGTGAGGTGTTCACTGAGGGCTGGTGTTTCCTCCTCAGGCAGAGAAGCCAGAGAGACCGTGCACATCATCAACAAGGAGGAGCAGGGGTTCCATTTTGCCTTCCAGGACAACTCCCGATATTCTGAAGGTTTCAGCAACAGCCTGGTCATATGTCCCGTGGAAGGCTGGATCCCACCACTGTCCAGGTAAAGGAAAGGTCCCCCAGGACTATACCCTCCTAAGGCAGCAGGCGCTCCCGGCCTGCCAGGGGGATAAGTTTCCCAGAGTGCCCCGTGTCAAGGTTAATATGAACAATCCCATCTCTGTCCTACTATTTCTCATTGTCCATTTTCCTGATGAATTGTAGAGCCCTGAGAATTTTAAGCTCTTGTTCTCAATATTTTCTCTCATGCTTATGTTTTTTTCCTTGCTATCTACTGTATTTGTGAATTCATAAAGCAATGTCCCACCTCGTCTGGCAAATCTTCAAAACTCATCATAATTTGAGGTGGTGATACTCTTTCCTCATAGTATATGTGCCAGTCCATCAGGCTTATATTCTTTAGCAGGTTTTAGCAGGTTGGCCTAGTCAGCTAATTTGCTGTCTTCTTCCCCCAACCAGGTTCCCAATTGATATTTTCTTCACACCAAAGCAGGAAGGAGATGTGAACTTTAATTTGATCTGCAATGTGAAAAAGAAAGCCCACCCTCTGACCTTAAATGTCAAGGCTGAGGGCTACACTATGAATGCAGAGGTCAAGTGCAAGGACAGGACTGGCTTGATCACTGTCCTGACTCCCAACCAGACTACCATTATCAACTTCTATGAAGTAAGAGTGTGAGAGAGCACTGATCTCTCTCTCTCTCTCTCTCTCTCTCTCTCTCTCTGTGTGTGTGTGTGTGTGTGTGTGTCCCCACACTAGCTGAGAAAGGCAGTGTAAGTGAATGTTAGCTGAATCGCTCTGTTTCAAAAGCCAGAGTGACCAGGAGAACAGAAACATGCCAGGAGCAGCTCCATCCTCAGAATATATATAGTTTTAATGTGAAGACGTTTCCTGTTTTATTTTTCAGGGGGTAGAGAGATGGTAGGGACGGAAAGAATGCTTGTATTAAACATACAGGAAGAATGTTTGGTTACCAAGGGAGGTCTAAGAATTAAATTGCCATCTTACTCTTTAGGTACGAGAGGCCCCCAGCACTTCATAACTCTTGCTGGAATACCTAACTACATTAAGCTAATGATACTCAACTCACTAACATCATCTGCCATCCCTATTTCCCAAAGGATATTTTTCCCCCAACCTATTATGTAACCTGACCCCAGAGAAGGGAACCATGGTTTACATTCATTCCATATACTGCTCTGTTCTCTGTCTCTCAGGTGGAGTTGAATGAATGTGTTCAGTGTGAATTCAGCTTTATCAACACTGGAAAGTTCAGCTTTAGCTTCCAGGCAGAGCTTTCTGGCCCCAAAGCCCTGCTGCAGTACTTGGACTTTTCACCCATTGATGGCAGTGTGGACGTGGGGCAGACTGTGCACACCACCTTGTCTTTCCAACCATTTAAGAAGTGTGTCTTGAAGGGCCTGGAACTCAGAATCAAGGTGAGACCACTTAATATTGCCTGACGCTGAAAGCACTCACAGCACTCTGTCTTGAAAGATTAATTCTCCTGTGTGTGTCTTGTCTTCTCCACCCTGCCAGAAGCTCCTGGAGAGTGGTTGTATTGGAGATGATCCCAAAGTCTCTAGTATAAAGGCCTCACCCACAGTTGAGGGGCCTGGTGAATGTCAGCTGAAAAGCAGTTCACCATCCATGCACTAGAATACCATGCAGCCATTAAAATAAATAAGGGAGACAGATGGGAGGTGGAAAGGAAGCAAGAGAGATAAAATATGTATAACCTTTTCCAAGATAAGTTATTGAATGAAAAACCAAGAAATTGTGATGTCTCTGGGAATGGCTGTGTCCTATGGTTGTTATTCCACAGGGACGAAAACACTGGCATGAAAACCAGAAAAATCAACTTTTTTAGAACTCTCAAAATCAACCAAAGCCTTGCAACAATCCTAGGGGCATTTATTCAAGAAAAATAGCTGTACTGTGTGTAACAGGTGTACTGGTTTTCCATTTATGAATTCATTTAGGAAATCTTGTACCAATGATTATTATGTTTATTCTAATGATGTTTAGAATGAGTAGTGGATATTTTGTTTTAAATTAATTATCAACTTAAGAAATTTCATATTATATGAGCACTGAGTGTTATGTGGAAACTAATTTGACAATAAACTATTTGTAAAAAAAAAAAAAAAAAAGAAATTTCATATTATAAAAATTTTCTGAAGAGCAGAGTAAGTTCATGTCCCCTCAGGAATGTGTATCATCTTGTGGAGAATTCAGAGGTGACCCATATTTTACCTTTCCACTCTTTCACCCTTGACATATGGGCCTTTGGCCTCATTCTTACCCTTTCCTGGTCACAACGTGACCATCTCACCTGTAGCCCTATGTCTGCATTCAGAGTGGAAATAAGAGAGAAGAGCCCAAAGGCAAACCTGAACAAATAAATAAATAAACTTTCCCAGTAAGACCTTGCCTCTGTATTCAAAATAGGACACCCTCTTGTCTTCTGTTTACATCCTGATAACCAGAACTATAGGACCTCAAGTATTTTCACTTAGGTCCCCTGAAAACTAACCGGAGTCCTGTTCATGAGGAACGCTTGGGAAGCAAATGTGGGGTAGTAACTAGCAGTCTCTGCCACACCGCTCTGCCTTCAGGGTGACTCACTGCTGCAGTAGCCACCACAGGGCCTGACTGCAGACTATCCCACTTTCCTTTTCTCCAGCCAGCAAACTTCTAACCTATGAGTCAGAATCTCTGCAGATGGAGTCTTGGGACCCATATATTTTTTAAAGCACTGACCACCTTCCTCCTTCACCTGAAGACCTGAGGAGTCCTTTGCTCACACCTCTAATCATACTCCCCCTGCATTCCCACCTGCAGGTCAGCCACGGCCCAACATTTACATGCAGCATCTCAGGCTGTGCTGTGAGCCCAGCCGTTCATTTCTCCTTCACCAGCTACAACTTTGGGACCTGCTTCATCTACCAAGCTGGGATGCCCCCGTACAAACAAATCTTGGCTGTCACCAACAAGGAAGAAACACCCATGAGGTAAGCAGACTTTCCAGAGCTTCCAGATGATTCTGCAGCTCCTTGTGGGTCCTACAGCCTCCACATAGGTGAAGTCCTACCAAAATAGAAAAAAGAAAGATTATGGGAAGAGTCAAACACAGTTGGCCATGAATCCCATGTCTCCTTTCCCCACCACTAATACTGACACTTGGGTAGCCATGAGCTACTCTACTGAAAAATCTTGAAGTGAATAAGGCAATGCCAGATGTAATGAAGGTGGAAACCAAAGTTTAAAGAGTTAAAAAGTGACTTTCTCAGGCCATTATTACTTTGTAATAAGTGACAGATACATACAGAGCCTAAGTCTTTTTATTAAAATCCAGTGTCTCTGCACCATCTCTGTGTAGAATGTTCCAGTCCAGGTTTCTGGGCCTTATCCCAGACCTATTGAAACAGAATTTCCAGAGACTGGCCCAGACACCCGTGTCTCCTCAAAGCTCTTTCCTAAAGGAAGGAACTGTTACACATCTGTGCTATCCTGTATGGCAGCCTATAAGTCCATGTGGCTGTGGAGTACCTAAAATGTGCCTGGTACAACAGAGGGACTGAACTTTTCATTTTTTAAATTTCAATTCATTTGAATTTGAATCTGAATTGCCACATGTGTCTAGTGACTACCATATTGGATACCATGGGCCTAAGTTCAAATCCCAGCTATTCCCTAGCTGTGTGACTGAGGCACATGTTCTAAACTCTCATTTCTTGGGATGGGGGATAATAATAGCTCCTCCCCTATGGGGCTATTAGGAGGGTTAAATTAGAGAGAGCACTAGAACAGTGTCTGGAACATAGCAAATACTAGGTTATAGTTATCTGCTGCTACTGCTACTGTTGCAGTGATTATCATCCTTAATGGTGAGTCATGTGATTTTAAATGCTAATTAAAAATCTTCCCTGTATGTTTTAATTCAATCTGAGTCCTACATGAAGGCATTAAGTTCTATTTATTGGCCTTGCTGGACTCCTTCTCTACATACCTGGAAGACAGACAAGAAAATATTATAATGGAGAGAACTAGTGCCTTCCTACACACAGGTAGACTAGAGTGGATATGATCTTTGAAGATCCCGTGTGGTTGAGCAATTAGTGGTAATAAGAATGGCTCACCATTATGAACTGTCTCCTCTGTGCCCTGTGTAATGACTGACTTAGTCTCTCTATTTCATTTAATACTCACAACAACCTTATGAAGTAGCTATCACTACCCCAGTTCTACCAATAAGGAAACAGAGGCCCAAATGAGCTATGTAACTCTTCTAAGGTCTCATTGCTAGTTAGGGATAGAGCCTGGATCCAAACTCCTGTGTCTGAATCCAAAACACATACCCCTCTCCTCTGTGCTTCGCTACCCAGTTACTTTAGGAAACACTTCCTTCTTACAAGAGGATACAAAGCCATGTGCGGCTTTTTAAGAAAGAGAGAATAAATAGAGTGAAAAGAACCTTGAGCAGAGAGTCATGAGAGTTTGTGTTTGAGGCCTGGTTCTGCCAGAATCTTAGGGTGTAATTTGAGGTAAGTAACTTGATTATGCCCTGGAGAGTATGGGCTGGATCACTGCTGAGGTCCCTTCTTCCATGGCTCCATGGCAACAGGGCAGGAAAGCCATCAGTAGCTCAGAAAGACAAGAAGATAGAATCAATCTTTTTGGGTATCTTAAACATGTTTTCTCACCTCCAGCACAGGCTGATGCTGGAGACCCTCTTACTTGGTAGACAAAATGGAAATATCTGGGCCTTCTAACTTATACACCTTCCTCCTGATTTTCTAGCTTAGACTGTCTATACACCAACACAACGTACCTTGAGGTAAACTTCCGTGTCGATGTGATAAAGCCAGGGAAGACACTGGAGATTCCAATCATCTTTTATCCTCAAGAAAGTATCAATTACCAAGAACTCATCCCCTTTGAAATCAATGGGCTCTCACAACAAGTAATTGAAATCAAAGGGAAAGGCACAGAAATGAAGGTAAGAGACTTTTGGGGAGATCCTCAGGCTTGGGACCTTCCATTTTGCCCTCACAGCCACCTGTGCCCCTCCCACTCTTCCTCCCCTCTCCACCTGTCCTGCCCCCAAGCTGCTCCGTCAGAGGCCAGGAGCTGTCAGATCTGACTCTGAGTGAACCATAGACCGTATTCAACGCCAAACTTAACTGTATCATAGGGTACAAGTAATCACAGGCACTGGAGACACATTCTTTTTCTTGGAAAAGTTTGAGACTGTCAGACGCACAATCCCAAGCATGTCCTTCTCTCACATTAGGGCATGTTTTGTTTTCAGGTTTAATAGACAAGATCTATTTTGAATAGCAATTCATTTTAGATGTACACGCAGACATACATTTCAGTTGTGAAATATTTTTCCTTAATGCCACATTGATTAATATTCTTGAGCCAGGCGCAGATCCCAGGATTATATTTGATTGAGGGCATTTCTTCTAAGTAGGTGCTTCTAATGAAAGTCCTGCTGCTAATCCCTTTCTCCCCAGTATCTGGTAAACATTTAAGGTGTCTTTTTGGCCGGTATATTTGCATTTTAATAGGAGATTTTGGAAGACTAAAGGACTTCCAAGATGCTTAGGAATGCATGGGGCATTTGAGCAACTGAGAAGACCAGAGGGGTGTCTTCCTGTCAGCCTTCCCATCAAGCTAGAGAAATGGCAAAACATTACCACCCAGTGTGTCTGCACCCAAGCCAGAGATGGGGTCTCTTCTGATATCACTGATTCATTGATTTGTTCATTCTGTCAGTCGCTCATTCTGCACTCATTTTGCACTAGGTACTTTGTGGGAAATCCAGAGGCGACTTAAACATGTTCTTTCATCTCCAGAAGCACAGATTGCTATTGGAAACTCTCACCTTTTTAGTCACAGTGGAAACACGTGGCCTGGATATAAAGAACGTTGAGGGGCAGGGGGTGGGCAGTTTAGTGACTGCATGAGTGGCTGCTGCTTGCTGTGCATCCGTGCTGTCCTGAGGGCGAGGCCCAGCCTGACCTTGATCTATCCAGACCAACATTTTTTTTTTTTTATACTTTTTTTATTTATTTCTAGGAGAGAGAGAGACAGCGTGAACAGGGGAGGGTCAGAGAGAAAGAGGGAGTCACAGACTCTGAAACAGGCTCCAGGCTCTGAGCTGGCAGTCAGCACAGAGCCCGACGCGGGGCTCGAACCCACGAACCGCGAGATCATGACCTAAGCGAAAGTCGGACGCTTAACCGACTAAGCCACCCAGGCGCCCCTCCAGACCAACATTTTGATCGATGAACTTAGATGAGGACTTGGAAGCATGTCTCCTCTTCCACCTCTGCCACCACCATTCTGTTTGCATGGCCGTCACCTGTCCCTGTCCAGCCCATCGCCACGGAGCACCAAGCATTTGATTGGGTCACTCCACGCTTCACTGGCCTCCCACTTGTCCTGGCACAATCCCAGAGGACCTCCAAACTCGTCTTCCCGGTGTGCCCCTCGCTCCCGGCTGCAGGCCCACCCTGACTCAAACAGACTAGATGGCACCCTTCCTTTAGCTCCCAGGGTAGACATGCCTTCCCCAGGGAGGCCGCCCCAGGACCCCCAGCCGGCTCAGCCCTGACAATGTGCTCTCAAGGTACCCTGGGCTTTTCTTTCACATCTCTTCACCCAGTTGTAATTATGTAGTTGTGTAATGAGCTGCTTGGTGGGTATTTTGTGGACGTAAATGTTTACCAGGGGAGTGAATGCCCATCCCACATGAAGAAGGCAGGACACTGATAGGAACCACCATTGCCTCACCAGGATAGACATATCGTAATAGTTTTTTTCCAGGAACTGATGAACCCTCCCTTCCTGCCTTCTTTCTTGTTCCACAGATTTCAGTCCTAGATCCAGCTAATAGAATTGTGAAGTTAGGAGCTGTCCTGCCAGGACAGGTTGTGAAAAAAACGGTTTCCGTCATGAACAACAGCCACGCCCCACTCACATTTAGCCAGTCAGCCCTGTTCTCGATTCCAGAACTCCAGGAACCCAAGGTTGGTGCCCGGGGCTCCCAGTGGGCTTTTCATGCTTCCCAATGACACGGATGACGAGATGACTGTGGTAGCAACACAAACAGCTCACACTTCTCAGGCATCTACAGTGCACCAGGCCATTCTAAGAGCTTCCCCTGTGCTACCTCAAGCATCTTCACAAAAACAGTAAAGGGCTAGTGTTCTTAGTATTCTCACTTTATATATAGGGACACCGAGGATCAGAGAGGCTGCATACCTCCAAAGGGCAGCAGAACGAAAGAGAAAAGGATGAGATTCAGTAGAACTGGATTCTAATGAAGGTATATATCCTGACAGTTGGAAAGTCATAAAGGAAAACATTTTCATCAAAATCTTCCACCCAGAAATAATCACTTGCACATGACCACTTTCTTGCCATTACACCCACCTGGCAAAGAGACCACGAGATCAAGCTTCTGGCATCTCTTCCTACAAGGGCACTAGTCCCATCATCAGGATCCCACTCTCATGACCTCATCTACACCTATTTATCCCCTAAATGCCTCATCTTTAAATGCCACTCATATATGAATTGTCGTGGTCAGGGGTGGGGGGGGGGCAGGGATACAATTCAGTCTGTAGCAAGGAGAACACGATGTAGACTGATCTGGTGAATTACATGGTCTTTAGGGATCACTGACACAGAAACAATTTCAGAACAGCCTAGAAACTGCAGAGGCAGGGTGTGAATTGGGAAGGGCTGCTCAGAGGACAGCGGTGAGCTGTGGAAGCCCTCACAAGGAGGGAGGCCTGTACTGGGTTTATGGGATGGAGGTGTCTCCCAGGCAGACAGGTTGGGGACAGGTGTGCTTGCAGGCAGAGGTACATGTGCTCAAAGGGGTCTGTGCTTTTGGAAAGCTAGGTATGATTCAGTGCAGCATGGCCACTGTGGACCATCTAGGGACTCCTAGATACAGAGAGGCAGCCTGGGCAAGCTAGCCAGAGCAAGAGAAGAGCAGCACCTCATCCCAGAGCCCATGATGTTGGCCAAAGACAGAGGGCAGACTTGCTTCCACTTCCTTATTCATCCAAATCACCATCCTCAGTGCTGCTGGGTCAGGATCCCTGACCATTTGTCTAGCCCCTTTTGCCTTTTGAGGTGACGAGTGACCTGTACTGGCACCAACATCGTGGTGTTTGGAGAACTCACTGAGATCCCTGCTCCTGCATGGTTTCCAGCCCACTGTCTGCTGCCACAGCCCCCTGCTGGTGACCACACGGCACCCTGTACCCAGGGAGCTCAAGCATGGAAGGAGCTTTGGCTTCCTCAAAGCTGATTTTGGTTGATTTCTACCAGGACAAAACCGTGGGGGGCAGGGAAATTGGGAACCATATGAATTTAAACAGGAGTTTTGTTCTCAAGCTTTAGAAGACACAGGTCACCCAGGGTACTTTTGAAGATGTGAGCTCCAAACTCTCCCAAAATCCAGTTGGAATGGGGCAGGACCTGGGAATCTGCATTTTAAACAGCACACTGGGAAGTGTGATACAGGGAGCCCAGGGAGCAGTCTTTGGAAAAACACGGGAGCACTAAGTGTTTTCTATTTCCTCTTATCTTAGTATTCCCTGCACCAGAGAGTAGGGGTCATTTGCAAGGATCTAGAGAGAAAACTAACATTTATTGAATGACTATTATGTGCCACACATTTATATAGATGATCTGAATCTTCACCATGGAATAAGTCACAGAAAATTTAAGTAACTTACCAAAGACGACACGGCCAGGAGGAGAGAGCAGAGTGGGATTTGACCCCTGGACTATTGTAGCCCTAACAGCAAGACCCAGGAATGGAAGCCTCAGATGCCCCCTGCCCTCAGTTGCTGAGCCTCATTGTTGTTTTGGCAGGTCATCACCCTAATACCATTCTACAGCATCTCCCTGAAGCCCAAAGAGTCCTGTAAGCTGGAAGTCATCTTTGCCCCGAAGAAACGCATCCCTCCCTTCTCCGAGGAGGTGTTCATGGAATGCATGGGGCTCCTGCGTCCCCTCTTCCTCCTTAGCGGCTGCTGCCAGGCCCTGGAGATCTCCCTGGACCAGGAGCATCTCCCCTTCGGGCCAGTCGTGTATCAGACACAAGCCACGCGTCGCATCCTTATGTTGAACACTGGCGACGTGGGTGCAAGGTAGGAGAAGTAGCATCCCCACCCAAGGCCGAGCACAGATCTCTTGACTCTGGATTTGCCCTAGATTCGGACTGGTTATTTGTTTTACAAGCATTGCTGTTTTTTATTCATTTCCCCTCCCTTCCCTCAAGATGGGACGTGGCCCTGCTAAGATGACTGCGGCTATCAGGATTATACAAAAGTAATACAATAGAGAACATTTGCTCAGTGCATGTTATATGACCTTTACATGCCTCCTCTTACTTAATACCAAAACAATTTTATGATTGATCCATTTTACAGATGAGACAACTGAGACTCCTTTTCCAAAATCATGGATTTAGCAAGAACTTACACTGTGCAAGTACAGTGCTAAACATTCTTATGTATAAGCTCCCATTTAATTATCCCAGACCCCTGTGAGCTGGTACTATATTGTCATAATTTCACAGATGAAGGTGAGGCTCAAGGAGGTCAGGTGATTGACCTGAGGTCACATGGCCAAGAGCAAGAAAGATGGGATTGGAACACGAGTATACCTCTGACTGTTCTCCTCTCCAGGCTCTTCCCTCTGGCTAGCAGGTGGCCAGCCCAGTCACTACCCAGGCATGCCACCATAGCTGTGCACGCATCCCTCACCCAGACCTCAGTGTGGGCAGTGCCCCGAGGGTGCAGTGTGGTGGCCCCAGTGCTGGAAGCACAGAGGGATGGCCTGTAGAGGGATGACTAAGAGTGCCTCCAAGAGCAGATGCATCTCTCACATGAAGGCATTGTCTCCGCCCTCCTGGTTCTGACCTGAGAGGCAGTGCAGGGAGTGCTTATAGCCACCGCCTTAGGAGGGTTCCAGTCCTAGCCCAGGCCCCATCCTAGCTGTGTGATCTTGGATACACGTCTGTTAGCGTGTTCATGTGCATGTTCCCCCAACGAGTCACTTGCAGAATATAAGGTAAGATGCGGCCACTTCCCACCCTGCTCAGGTCTGAGAGGCAGCCAAGCTGTCTTACCCAGGAGTGACCTAGCCTTGACCCCATCTGCCTTTGCTGTGCCCGTGATCTTCCTCCTCCCACATCCCAGGGAGTATTCAAAGGAGTGAACCTCAGCTAAAAGCCCAGGCAGTCTCTTTATCTCAGCAGCATTAAGTACACCCCCAGGATACTAGTAAAATGTCTTATCTCCTTTTGTCTTGGAAAAGGTTTAAATGGGATGTCAAAAAATTTGAGCCCCATTTCTCCATCAGCCCAGAAGAAGGCTATATCACTGCAGGCATGGAAGTTTCTTTTGAAGTGACCTACCATCCCACTGAGGTGGGCAAGGAGAGTCTCTATAAAAACTTGCTCTGCTTCATCCAAGGAGGCAGTCCTCTGAACCTAACCCTGTCTGGAGTCTGCGTGGGACCACCTTCAGTAAGAGAGGTCAGTAGCTGCTGCCCACAGAAGGGCCAGTGGCCAGAGTGGGCCCAGCAGGCTCCACAACTGAATTTAGCAAGGCCTTCTAGAAACACGTGACTCTGTTCAAACAGTCCTCTGTGCCATCTGCCATCGTCAAACATTCAGACCTGCTCCCTCCCACCACAGAGTCTTTGCATATTCTATTTCCCCACTGCTGCAATACTCATTTCCCCTCTTCATTTAGTTAATTCCTCTTCATTCTTCAGCTCTCAACTCAAGCTTCACATTCTCAAGGAAGATTGCCCTGACATCTTTGGCTAGGTCAAATTCTGTTTACAGCCTCTGTAAGTAAAGGGTAAACACTTTTCCCTTCTCTCATTAAAAAATAAAAAGTCAGGGGGCGCCTGGGTGGCTTAGTCGGTTAAGCGTCCGACTTTCGCTTAGGTCATGATCTCGCGGTTCGTGGGTTCGAGCCCCGCGTCGGGCTCTGTGCTGACTGCCAGCTCAGAGCCTGGAGCCTGTTTCAGAGTCTGTATCTCCCTCTCTCTCTGACCCTCCCCTGCTCACGCTGTCTCTCTCTCTCTCTCCTAGAAATAAATAAAAAAGTATTTAAAAAAATTAAAAAATAAAATAAAAAGTCAGGGATGGGGTGGGGTGGGCTTGAGTTAACCCTCTTCTAGCCGTGTCCCTAGACACAACAGGGGACTCTGTTCCACTTACAGTGAAAATCACTTATGGTAAAAATGACACCTAATATCCATCTCTATAATGTTGTTATTTCAAGAATCTTATGTGAATGGAATCACTCAGTGTGCTATAATCATGTAGGTACAAGTCTTGGCAAGAACATATGCTTTCATTTTCTTGTGTAAATACCCAGATGGCTGGGTCATAAAGCAGGTATATATTTACTTTTTTTTTTTTAATGTTTTATTTATTTCTGAGAGAGAACATGAGCAGGGGAGGGTCAGAGAGAGAGGGAGACACAGAATCCAAAGCAGGCTCCAGGCTCTTAGCTAGCTGTCAGCACAGAGCCTGACGTGGGGCTCGAACCCACAAACTGTGAGATCATGACCTGAGCCGAAGTCAGACACTTAACCGACTGAGCCACCCAGGCGCCCCATATTTACTTTTTTAAGAACCTACTAAACTCTTTTCCAAAGTGGTTGTGTTTCTACCAACAATGTCTGATATTTCCGCTTGCATCCTATTTTGCCAACATTTGATACCATTGGTTGTTTTAATTTTAGCCATTCTAATAGATACAAAATGTATCTCATCATGGCTTTTAATTTGTAGTTCCCTAATGACTAATGATGTTGAGAATCTTTTCAGGTATTTGTTTGCCATCCACATATCATCTTTGTTGAAGTACTGTTCAATTTCTCTGTCCATATTTAATTACGATGTTTGTTTTCTTATTATTGAGTTTTGAGAGCCTTTCATATATTCAGGGCACAAATTTTACATTTAGATCTCCACTCTGTTTAGAGTTAATTTTTGTATGTAGCATAAGATATGGATCAAAATTCCTTTGATTTTATTTTTTGTATGTGGATATTAAATTGTTCTGGCACCATTTGTTGAAAAAATTATCCTTTCTCCACTGAAATGCCCCTACATCTTTGTTAAAAATCATTTGACCATATATGTGCGGGTATGTATTGCTGAATGCTGTTTTTGTCTGCTGATCTGTTTGACTGTTTTGTACCAAAGTGCCACACTGTCCACACTGCTAAATTCAGTGGCCAGTTCTCAACCATTGACCTGTTGATAGTATTTGACACCTTGAACAAGTCCCTTAAAGAAAGATGCTTCAAACACTTTCCTCACATGGCTCCTAGGATATCACCCTCTCCTGGGTTTCCTCCTACCTTATTAGATGCCCCTCCTTATCTCCTCTTCTGATTTTTCTTAACACTGAAGTGTGCCAGTCAGGAATGAGTTCTTAAATTTCTTCTTTTTCCTAAAAACACTTAACTTCTTGACAGTCTCATCCAGTTTCTTGGCCTTTATAAAAAACACTGCTATACTGACAACTCCCAAATATGTATGTCCAGCCTGAACCTTTCCTTGAACTCCTCAATTGTAAATTTTACTGCCTGCTTCAGATGTCTGTTTTCTTCCAGGTGGTGAATTTCACCTGCCAGGTACGCTCCAAACATACACAGACCATCATGCTTTCAAACCGCACCAACCAGACCTGGAATCTGCACCCCATCTTTGAGGGCGAGCACTGGGAGGGGCCGGAGTTCATCACCCTGGAGCCCCATCAGCAAAACAAGCCCTATGAGATTACCTACAGACCCCGCACCATGAACTTGGAGAACCGCAAACATCAGGTAGCCTAAGGCTCCCTCTGCCTCTTTTGACTTTCTTGTGTGGTTGGGGGGGAGGAGTCATACAAGAGGGGTGAGGAGAACCCCACGAATCGTGTTGGAACAAGGGGGAATCATGCAGATTATTGAGTCCAAAGCTTCCCTTGTTGCCTGTATGTTTTCATGTATGGAGGATTTTCTTGGAACAACTGTAATAAAATTTTTTTAAAAGAAAGAAGCCACAATCTTCCACACTTAAAAAAGAGAATTGTTTTCTTCTAACCTTTGGTGTTTTGTTTTAAGTTTATTTAGTTTGAGAGAGGGTGGGAGAGGCAGAGAGAGAGAGAGAGAGAATTGCAAGCAGGCTCTGCCCTGTCAGCGCAGAGCCCGACGTGGGGCTCAAACACGAACCATGAGAGCATGACCTGAGCCACAATCTAAAGTTGGACAGTTTACCAACTGAGCCACTCAGGTGCCCTAAAGCTTTATTTTTCTTTTTAAGTAATCTCTACACCCAAGGGAGAGAACTCACAACCTCCCAATCAAGAGTCAGATGCTCTACCAACCAAACCAGCCAGGCACCCCAAGAACTGTTTTCTTCTATCTTCACTACCAATCCTTATTCAGACACAGTCATAGCTGCCATCAGAGCACACCCAATTTTCCATTCAGTTTACTTTTACTTTACATTAGATCATGAACATTTTTCTGTTTAACTAGTCTTTGTGATGTAATCATGTTTAATGATTGCCTAATACTTCACTGAATGAGAGTTCCATAATTTATGTAGTATTCCTCAGTTGTTGAATGTTACTACCAAATTGCCATCAATATAAATGATTCTAACTAACGTGTGTGTGTGTGTAGCTTTTTCCTCTAAAGGGATTTTTTAAGTTCCCTAGGGTAAAGTCACCCAGCTAGCTCAATCAGTAGAGCATGAGACTCTTAAGTTTCCTGGGGTGAAGTTCCTGGTTCAAATACATATGAACATTTTTATGACTTAAAACATACTACCAAACTGCTTTCCAAGAGTTATGCTTATACAAGGGCCTCTATTAATCCTGTGTCACTATTAATCCCGTGTCACTGCCACACCTAAAAGGTACCTAATAAAGGACCTTCTGTGTCATTTTGACCACATTTCTTCTTCTCCTTAGGGCACCCTCTTCTTCCCCCTCCCAGATGGGACTGGCTGGCTGTATATGCTGAATGGGACTTCTGAGCTCCCCAAAGCCGTGGCCAATATCTACCGCGAAATACCATGTAAGACACCCTATGTTGAACTCCTGCCAATCACCAACTGGCTTAACAAGCCCCAGAGGTGAGACAGTGGGGCAAGGGGTCAGGGTGGAGGAGATGGAGGGAGGACTTCTCCTGTCTAGCCTGGCCCTTCCCACAGTCAGGGCCTCTAGAGACATTGAGGGGCTAAAGGAATCAGAGGCAAAGTTCCCTGATGTGGTCAAGCATTGTCTGAACTCTAAGCTTCCAGACAGTCAGCGCTATATGAATAGCTGATTACTTAACTCTCCTAGAACAACACCTGACATAAAATAAGTGCTCAATCACATTTATTGAGCTGTTCTTATTATTATCAAAATGATAATCATGATGGTTATTATTGAGTGCTCTGTCTTATCACCTAAGCCACTGGTCAGAGAAGGATATCCCTTGGTTCTTTACTTGCAGTGGGAGTAGAGTAGAATACAAGGGCTAGAGGAATTGACAACCAGCCTGGTCTCCTTCTTTTACAGAGAAGGAGCCAAAAGCCAGGAGAAGAGGCTTACTCACTGAAGGCCACCAGTTAGCATAGTACATAAAGGCTTGGACCTAAGTTTGAATCCTAGTTGTTCCTATAACTATTCATGTGACCTGAGCATGTTTCCTTTTCTTGGCCTCCATTTCCTCATCAGCAAAATGGAGGTGATAATTTTATGTGTCTCCTATAGACACTGTGAGGATTAAATACCTTTAACACATGCAGAGCACTGACTCTGTACCTGGCACATCACAGGTGTCAATAAATGGTAGGTGTTGTTATTGTTAGAGACAAAGAGGACCAGAACCCTGGACCCACATGCTTATCATAAAATCAAGAGTAGAGATAGCAGCTTTCCCTATTTCTCTTGGGCAAATGGTTTTATTTTTCTCTATCCTCTTTTCATGTATTCCTGTGTTCCCCCAGATTCCGGGTCATTGTGGAAATGGTGAAACCAGAAAAGCCAGACCTTAGCATTACCTTAAAAGGCCTTGATTATATTGATGTACTGTCTGGCTCCAAGAAAGACTACAAGCTGAACTTCTTTTCCCACAAGGAGGGACTCTACAGTGCAAAGGTATCCACATGTTAAAGGCATTTCCCTGGAACCCTGGACGTTTGACCCAAGGTTAATGATCCTGGTGTTGGGGGTGAAGATGTCCTCCCACAGCCAGCCCATCCTTATCCTGTTGGGCTAATCAGTTAGAGACCTGACAAAGGCTTTCAGGATTCCCAGCCTATTTAAGATGGAGCCAGATGGCAAGGCCATCCATCCGTCATGTATAGCCAAGCCAACCCCTCAAGAGAACAGAATCATGAAATTCCTTAAGCAGTAAGCAGCACTGGGCCAGCAAACACCAGATGACAATAATAAGAAAAGATCCCTTTTCCTGAGTGCTTATAGTGGCCAGCATTGTATTGAGCACTCAGTACACACAGCTAGCAATGTCAGAGCCAGGATTCAACTCAGAGCCATCTACTCGAAGACACCAAAGGGTCTTTCACACATGAGCTGTTTCTCCTAATTCATTCATTAGTTCAGCAAGTACCTATAAGCATATATGCCACATCCTAAACTAAGTGTTAGCAACATAGCAATAATCAAATATAGGTGCATTCTCTGTTTTCATGGAATGCACTGTCCAGTGAAAGGAGAAGGGCATTAACCAAATAACAGTACTAGGAATGTATAATTAAAAATGAGACACATGCTTTGAAGAAAAGGAGCATATATAGATAGATCAGTAGCTCACAGGAGAGATTAAGGCTGAAGATAATATATGGAAACTACTCATTTACAGATAGTATTAGAAGCTATGGTGAAAGGTGGAATTAGCTAGGGAAAGATTTTAAAGTAAAAAAAGAAAGAACCTAGGAACTCATCTCCTACCTCCAGAAGAGATATTGGCAAAACCCACACAGTAGAATGTCATCCCTTCTCCTACAATCACTGAGGTGGACTGCTCCACTCAGATCACATTCACAAGCTAGCAGAGAACCTTAAAATCAAAGTATCATGAAACATGTGAAGAAAAATAAGCCACCATAAATAGAAACACCTGTTCAACAAAGAGGAACCCCTAAGATAAAAGAGCCATTAACGCAAACAGAGGACTTTTAGTGAATATTATATTCTGAAAGGAATAAAGGAAGAGAATCATACCTATTAAATAAGAAAAGGCTATTGTGGAAGACAATCAGAGACCCTAAAATTTTTAAAATCGAATATTTGTAATAGGAAATCAGAGAGGAAGACTGATTAGTACAAAGAACTCAGGAAAAGATCACTAGTAAGTTAAAAGAGCTGGGTAAAATCACAGACTTTAGCACACGAGCACAAAGAAATGGCAAGAATGGAAGGAAATAATAAGTGCTGGAGAGGTTGTGGAGAAGTTGGATCCCTCATACATTGCTGGTGGGAGTGTAAATGGTGTAGCTGCTATGAAAAACAGTCTGCCACACTTTTCCAAAGAGGACATCCAGATGGCCAACAGACACATGAAACGATGCTCAGCATCCCTCCTCATCAGGGAAATACAAATCAAAACCACACTGAGATACCACCTCACGCCAGTCAGAGTGGCTAAAATAAGCAAATCAGAGAACTCTAGATGCTGGCGAGGATGTGGAGACACGGGCACCCTCCTACACTGTTGGTGGGAATGTAAACTGGTACAGCCCCTCTGGAAAACAGTGTGGAGGTTCCTCAGGAAACTAACAATAGAACTCCCTTATGACCCAGCAATAGCACTGCTAGGAATTTACCCAAGGGATACAGAAATGCTGAGGCATAGGAGCACATGGACCCCAATGTTCATAGCAGCACTCTCCACAATAGCTAAAACATGGAAAGAGCCTAAGTGTCCATCAACAGATGAATAGATCAAGAAGATGTGGTTTATCTATACCATGGAATACTACATGGCAATGAGAAAAAATGAAATCTGGCCATGTGTAGCAACATGGATGGACCTTGAGGGTGTTATGCTGAGCGAAATAAGTCAGGCAGAGAAGGACAAATATCATATGTTTGCACGTATAGGAGGATTAGGAGGAACTTGACGGAGGAACAAGCGGGAGAAGAAGGGCGGAAATGGTGGGGGAAAGGGAGAGAGGCAAACCATGAGAGACTCTTGAATGCTGACAAAAACTGAGGACTGATGGATGTGGGGGGGAGGGGGGTGGGGCATGAAGGAGGGCACTTTGGGGATGAGCACTGAGTGTTATGTAGAAACTAATTTGACAATAAACTATTTGTAAAAAAAAAATAAATAAATAAAAATAAAAAAAAAAAAATAAAAAAAAAAAACAGTCTGCCATTCCTTAAATGGTTAAACATGGAGTTACCATGTGACTCAGCAATGTCACTCCTAGGTATATACCCAGGAGAAATGAAAACATATGTCTACACAAGAACCTGTACATAAATGTTCATAGCAGCATTATTCATAAGAACCAAAAAAAAAAAAAAAAAAACGGAAACAAACCAAATGTCCATCAACCCAAATGGATAAATATAATGGAATATTATTTGGCAATAAAAAGAAATGGAAATGAAGTACTAATACATGCAACTTATCAATGAACCTTGAAAGCATTATGCTAGCTGAACAAGCCAGTCACAAATGGCCATATATTGTATGATTTCATTTATATGAAATGTCCAGAATAGGCAGATCTGTAGAAAGAGAAAGTAAATTAGTGGTGCCTAGGGCTAGAAGAGATGGGTTAGGAGGAAATGGGGAGTCATTGGTAATGGACGCAGGGTTTCTTTTTGGGGTGATGAAAATGTTCTAAAATTGATTGTGGTGATACTTTCACCACTTTGTGGATGTACTAAAACCACTAAATTAATTGGGTGAATTATATGGTATGGGAATTGCATCTCAATAAAGCTGTTTCAAAAAAAAAAAGAAAGGAAATATGACACAGAAAATATAAGTCCAGAAGTTCTAATACCCATCTAATAAGAGGTCTTGAAATAGAAAAACAAAATAATAGAAGGAAGAAAATACTCTTCAAAATAAAGAAAAACTTCCAGGGCTGTTTAAGTAAGACTGAGTTTTCTAATTGAAGGGACCTACCAACTTACCAAATATGGTGAATGAAAAAAAGACTCAGTCTAAATATGTGAGAACAAAACTGTAGGAAACTGGGATAAAAATGAAATTCCTAAATGATTCTAGAGAAAGTAAAAGGAAATAATCACAATCACATCAGGATTCTCATGGCAATACTGAATACAAGAAGCAATGGAGTAAGCTATTCATAGATATAGAGTATTCTCAATCTAGAACCTTTTCCAAACAAAACTATTATGAGGGCAAAATAAAGACATTTTTAAACATGCAAGGACTCAAAATAACCTACCCATATATAATCTCTGTTTGAAAGAAGCACTACAAAATAAAAAGTTTTTTAATTAGCAAAATTTTTGAAATAAGTAAATGAATTCAAGAAGAAAGCATAAGGATACAATGAACAAAGAATCAAAATTCAATTGATAGGTAATTTCAAATAATTTTTGAAAGGCAACCTGAAACGAATATTTCCTATGACCTCAATATAGGTAATAGCAAGGGGAAGAATAAAATAAGGCAAAGAATTTTTTTTTCTCATTTAGTGGGAAGCAAATGGGGAAATGAAAGATATTTGTTTATCAAGAAAGGTAGGGAACTAATAGAGATAGCCATAAACTGTAGCTGTAAACAGAAAAATATAAGTAAATATATGTTTTAAAGTGTTAAGTAAAAATGACAAGGAACTCAGATCACAGAATCTCTTTACAATAATAAGTAGTAAAATTAACAACACAAAAGTTTTTTTAAAAAACAAAAGCACTTCTGCTTCTTTTTTTTTTAATAGTTTATTGTCAAGTTGGTTTCCATATAACACCAGTGCCCTCCTCCATGCCCATCACCCCCCTTCCCCTTTCCCCCACCCCCATCAGCCCTCAGTTTGTTCTCAGCATTCAAGAGTTTCTCATGGTTTGCCTCCCTCCCTCTCCCCCACTATTTTTCCCCTTCTTCTCCCCTATGGTTCTCCGTTAAATTCCTCCTAATCCTCCTATACGAAAGCACTTCTGCTTCTGATGATGATGGAATAACTACTATTCCCACCATAAACAACCATAAAACTGAACAAAATATCTGAGACACCCCTTCTTAGGCATTGGACAGCAGCAACATAATACTGCAATCTATCAAAGAGAAGAAAACCTAATGGAATGAATCTCCATAATTGTCCTGGCTCTCTGCCAAGGAACAATTTCCTGACTTTCGTGCAGTGAGCTAAAGTCTAAACTAAGCAAAGCACAACTGCCCCAGTGAACTGACAATGCAGAAATTAGAATTTGGTGCAGTTGAAATAGCTGGTTTCTATAGGGTAGGAGACGGACAATGCATGGAGTGGCAAGATGTCAGGGGAAAGAGACAAAACTCTGTGTGGGGAGTTCCCTTCATAGTCTTTGGCTGAGAGCTGTACTGCATATGCACAAAATGAGACTACATGAGATTTATCAGAGAGCAACTTCTAAAGGAGGTTGATAAAGGTGCAAAGATACATTGATCAGTCCTGGGGAACATTGGAGGTTTGCCTTAGCCAGGGTGGAGAGATTGAATTAACATCTCATTAACATCCTAGGAACCCTATTGAAATACCAGTAAGGCCCAAAGAAAGGACTATGTCATTAGGATAAGCCTTTAAAGAGCCTAAAACTAAGCACTGGCAAGATCTGTAGGAAGGACAAAATTTGGAGACTGAATCCCACCAAGCTGGAAGGTCTTGAAAAACACCTTGAGCTTTCTATAGATATGCTCTAACAAAGACAAACCTACACAAGCTTAAGGTGATAAGTCAATGATTGAACTGCCCCCTAGAATAAAATCAACACTCTTACATGGAAGATAACAGAATTCAGACTCTCTACAATGATCATCGACAATGTCCAGTATACAAACAAAATTACTAGACTCATAAGGAAGCAGGGGAATGTGACCTTATAGTCAAGAAAAATGCAGGCAATGAAAATGGACTCCAAAATGGGCCAGATATTGGATTTAGCAGACAAAGACTTCAAAGCAGCTATTATAAACATGTTCAGAACTAAAAGAAAATATTTCAAATGATCAAGTACAGACAGATAAGAAATCTCAACAGAGAAATGGAAACTATGTTTTTTTTTAAAAAAAAACCTAAATGGATATTCTAGAATAGAAAACAACAGTAAACTGAAATAAAATTTTAACTGGATGTGCTTAACAGCAGATTGGAGATGTGAAGATTTGGTTAACTTGAAAGAAATCAATAGAACGTTTCTAATCTGAATAGAAAAGAGAAAAAAGATTGAATAAAAATATTAATAGCTTTAGGAACCTATGATAAAATATAAAATTTTCTAATTCATGAGTAATATGAGTCCCAGAAGGGAAGAAAGTGAGAATGGAGCAGAAAACTATTTAAATGAAATTGCTGAAATTTCCCTAATTTGATTAAAAAAACAAAAACAAACCAAAAAGGATTTACAGATCCAAGAAACTTGGCAAACCTCAAGCAGAAATACAAAAAAAAAACCCCATGGTATACAAGACAACCATGTCTGTGTACATCAGAGTAAAACTGCTGAAAACCAAAAAGAAAAGAAAAGCTTAAAACATCCAGATACAAAAGATCTAACAAGAAACAACAATAAAAATGACCTCTGACTTCTCTTTAGTTATAATGGAAGCCATCTCCAAAACGCTGAATTCTATCAACCTAGAATTCTTTATTCACTGAAAACATCCTTTAAAATGGAGATATTTTTGGAGAAAAGAACATGAGAGAATTCATTCCCAGCAGACTTGCTTTAGAGAACAACACTCTAAGAGGTATTCTTTGGTCTGAGGAGAAATAATACCAGCTAGAAATTTTACAAGCTAGAAATTTGGGTCTAATGGAAGGAAAGAGAGCACTAAAAATTAAAAAATGGTAAATAAGTGCATATACACACACACATACACATATGCTGCTGCTTCTTAGAACTTTCTAAAAATGACAACTGACAATTTATAGCAAATATGATAACACTGTGAGGTGGGTGTTCTTATGTGTGTAGAAGTAAAAGATATGACAGCAAAGGCACATAATATGGAGTGGTTAGGTCAATAAAATTATACTTTAGTAAGGTAGGCGCACTTGCCAAATTGGAAGTGTGAGTAAGAAGCATGAAGGGTCAGTTATAACGTGGGAAGTGATAAAATACTGACTCACAATAAATTTGACAAGTTAAAAATTCATACTGTCAGATGCAGAGCAACCAATAAAACTCTATTATTAAAAAATACAGCTAAGAAGCCAGTAGAGGAAATAAAATACGTTCCAAAAGACTGTATGTTGAGGGGCGCCTGGGTGGCTTAGTCAGTTAAGCGTCCGACTTTCGCTTAGGTCATGATCTCGCGGTTCGTGGGTTCGAGCCCCGCGTCGGGCTATGTGCTGACTGCCAGCTCAGAGCCTGGAGCCTGTTTCAGTCTGTGACTCCCTCTCTCTCTGACCCTCCCCTGCTCACGCTGTCTCGCTGTCTCTCTCTCTCCTAGAAATAAATAAAACATTAAAAAAAATTTTTAATAAAAAATTTTAAAAAAGACTGTATGTTGAGCCAAAAGGAGGCAGAAAAGGAGCAACAGAGAAACAAAATAAGTATTTAAGTAAACCAGTAAATAAATAAGACAAAATGGAAAATAACCAGCAAGAAAGCAGACTTCAACCCAAACATAGAAATAATTATTTTAGGGCACCTGGGTGGCTCAGTCAATTGAACATCTGACTTCAGCTCAGGTCATGATCTCACAGTTTATGAGTTTGAGCCCCGCATCCGGCTTGCTGCTGTCAGCACGGAGCCTGCTTGGGATCCTCTGTTCTTCTCTCTGCCCCTCCCCTGCTTACACTATCTCAAAAATAAATAAACACTTTTTTAAAAAGAAGAATTATTTTAAATGTAAAAGGCTAAACACTCCAATTAAAAGACACAGTGACAAAAACCCTCTAAAGCTAAATACAGGAAGAAGTTAAAAGTAAAAAATTAGGGACACCTGGGTGGCTCAGTCGGTTAAGTGCCCAACTCCTGCTCAGGTCATGATCAACCCCTGCATCACAGTGAGTTCGAGCCCTCCGTTGGCTCTGTGCTTACAGCTCAGAGCCTGGAGCCTGCTTCAGACTCTATGTCTCCCTCTTTCTCTGCTCTTCCCGACTCATGCTCTGTCTCTCTGTCTCTCTCTGTCTCTGTCTCTCTCTTTCTCTCTCTCTCTCAAAAATAAAAAAAAAGCATTTAAAAAGAGGAAAGAAAATAAAAAGATCCGTAAAGAACTATTACTGCATAATAATAATAAGATAAACAACTCGAAGTATTAAAAAGGGCAAAAGACTCGAATAGGCTCTACTTCACAGAAGTAATGTGTGAATAATCAGTAAGCATATGAGATGCCCAGCATCATCAGTCACCCGGGAAAAGAGCAGAAAAAGGTGAGCAGCTTACCACGTCAGTTGCAGGGATGAGGGGACAATGTACTGCAGTCACAAGGGTGGGCTCTGGAGTCCGTTCAACTTGGTGCAAATCCTGGCTCTGACACTTCTCTCTACATGTGACCTTGGCAAGATAACTTTGCTAAACTTCCGTTTCCTTGGCTTTTAGAACACAAAAACAAACCGTGAGGGGAATAATAATGTTGCCTACAAATTGTGTAAGTTAACTAAGTACTTCTAGTGGCTGGCACACAGTAATCATTCATTAAATGGTAGCTGCCACCATTATAACTATAAGTAGTATTGTCTATTCCAACAGCAACAGGCATAGGAGTGAAGCCCACGACAGCATGAACCTCTCCAGGCCTTACTTGTTCCCCAGAGCCAGCTAGCTATTCCCCTGGGACACCTTTACCTTCAGCACTAGACAGTGCTCCTCCAGCCTCTTCTGAGCCAGAGCAGGACACGGAAGGAAGGAGAAAGGCTGACTGGTAGAACTCAGACAGGGTGGGAGTGCCAGTGTCAGCCTGGCACCCGTGCTGCATGTACCCAGGCGCTGCTAACAGACAGAGGAGCTCCTTGAGACAGCCAAAGACCCTCCGCTAACACCTCTCCTCTGCTTTCCTTCCTCCCCCTCTCCCTACAAACCCAGGTGATCTTCCGAAACGAGGTGACCAGTGAGTTTTTATACTACATGGTGAGTTTCAGGGTCATCCCTTCCGGCGTCATCAAAACCATTGAGATGGTGAGCCCCGTCCGGCAGAGCACATCAGCCTCCATCAAGGTGGAGAACCCCCTGCCCTATACGGTGACCTTCTCCATGGAATGCAGGGTCCCTGACATCAGCCTGCCCACCCAGTTTGTGGTGCCTGCCAACTCTGAGGTATGACCCTGGCTACCAGGGCCCCCCTGATATCTGTAGGGTCTGCCTGTAGGGTCTCCTACCTCCCTGAAGCTGGGTCAGCCCCTGCAGTGAGAAGGCAGGAGATGGTACATTAGCCACACTCCTGATCTGTCCTCTCCCCTTCTGCTCTTTGGTTCGGACATGTAACAGGCACTTACTAATCATGAACACTTGCCTGTTAGACGCTCGTTTGCTTTGTTCAAACTGAAAGCTTTTGTGTTTCTTGCTAACCATAAAAGGTAACATAGGGGCACCTCGGTGGCTCAGTCAGTTAAGTGCCCAACTCCTGCTCAGGTCATGATCTCATGGTTTGTGGGTTCGAGCCCCACGTCGGGCTCTGTGCTGACAGCTCAGAGCCTGGAGCCTGCTTCAGATTCTGTATCTCCCTCTCTCTCTCTGCCCCTCCCCTGCCCACACTCTGTGTTTCTCTCTTTCAAAAATAAACATTAAAAAATGTTTTGTAATTGTAAAGATAATGTAGAGTGTATGTGGTGAAGAGGAAAGCAAGGGATAAAGTAGTGTATTGAGTGAACAGCAGGCACTCTCGTATATATGATTGCTTGTGCACAGACCGCTTCAGGAGAAACGCACAACCTGGAAGACATGGCCTGGAAATCTGGGCTGATGTGGAGATGAACTTTCTTTTGACTCTGTTCAATGTATGGTTCCAAACTCTCACTGTCTAGATTCCATCAAAATCCCTTCTGTTTCTCCAACTTGAGCCCACCTGCTTATTCTCTACACCTATCCTAGCTCTTCCTTACCCTTCAAAACCCCAAACCTGTTCTGTTCTTCAGAGACCCTCCATGCCCTTTATTTTATGTTTATATTTTTCATCATGAAATATAAAATCTACACCAAAAAGTAGGTAAAACATGTATATACATATAATGTATTAAAACACATTCACTTAAATAACTATGAAAGAAATATCTGTATAATCAGTACCCAGGCCAGGAAATAAAAAGTTGCCACTACCCCAAAAACCTCTGTCCCTACTCGCAGTACCATCCCTTGCTCCTAAACGTTCCTACTAACCTTATTTTATAATAATAATTTCTTGCTTTTAAGCCATATGGTTTAGGTTTGCCTATTTTCAAACTTTATACAAAAGAAATCATACTAATTGCATTGTTCAGAGTTTTACGTCTTGCTCAGTATTGTGTATTCTGACAATCTTCACATTGATGCATGCAGCTGAGGTTCATTCATCCTCACCAATGTAGAATATTCCATCAAACAACTATACCACAATTTAGATATCCATTCTATTGTGGCCATCCATCTATTGTGGCTTCAGTGTTTGGCTATCATGAAAAATGCTGTCATGGACCTTACTGCACAAGTGCCTTCCTGATGGACATGGCATGTTTCTCCCCAGTGTACACCCAGGAGTAGAATCACTGAGTCACAGTGTATGCATGCCTTTCACTGCCAGCCAGGAGATAATCTCCAGTCAGCAATGAGAGCTCACCAACTTTTGGCATTGCCAGATTTTTAAAGGTTTACCAATCCAATAAACTAATGGCTCCTTGCGGTCTTAATTTACCTTTCTACAAACAGATTGGCTTTGGTTGGGTAATAGTCTGTGTAGATTTGCCTCTGTGCTCATGAGCGAAAATGGACCAGTTTTCCTTTCTGGTACTCTTTGTCCAATTTGAGTGTCCATTCTGCCAGAGATAGAAAAAGAACCGGGGATTTACCTGCTTCCTCACTTCTGTGAAAGGGTCTGTAAAAGATTTAAATTATGTGTTCCATGAACCCACAGATGAAACCACTGAGCCCTGGTGTTTTCTTTGTGGGAAGATGGTCTGCTACTGATTTGATTCCTTTCATGAGTTATTAAACTATTTAGATTTTCTGTTTCTTCTTGAATCAGCAATGAGAGCACGTCTGTTTCATCCATATATTCACAATATTGGCATAACATTGTTAATATCCTCTTACTACCTTTTTTATGTGACGTTCCTTTTTCATCTCTAATATTGGTTGTACCCTCTATTTGTCAGTCTTTCTAGAGCTTTCTCAGTATATCTTATATTCAAAAAGGTATCTTTTGATTTTGTTGGTACTCTATTATATGTTTGTTTTCTAGCTGCTTAATTTCTGCTCTTTTTATTGTTTCTTCCTTTCTGCTTTCTTTGGGTTACTAGTGCTTTATCTAATTTCTAAGATGGATGCTTAGTGCATTAACTTCTTGTCTTCTTTATTTTCCAGTATGCACATTTAAGATTATAAGTTCCCCTCTAAGTGCTGCTTTAGCTGCAGCGTACAAAGTTTTACATGTACTTTTTATCATTAAGTTCAAAAATGTCCTAACTTTGATTATTATCAATACTTCTTTTTTGACTCATGGGTTATTACAAGTGTTTTTTGTTAATTTCCAAACATGGATTTTTCTACATGCTATTTTATTTATTTTTTTTTTAAATTTATTTCTAGGAGAGAGAGAGAGACAGCGTGAGCAGGGGAGGGTCAGAGAGAGAGGGAGTCACAGACTGAAACAGGCTCCAGGCTCCGAGCTGGCAGTCAGCACAGAGCCTGACGCGGGGCTCAAGCCCACGAACCGCGAGATCATGACCTGAGCGAAAGTCAGACGCTTAACCAACTAAGCCACCCAGGAGCCCCTCTACGTGCTATTTTAAAATTATGCTGTGGTCAGGGAATATATTCCATTTTATTTCAGTGCTCTAGATTTTGTCTAGACTTGCTCTATGGCCCACTATGTGATCTTTTCCTTAATCTTCCATTTACTTTTTTTTTCTTTTTTTTTTCTTTTTTTTTATTTCTAGGGGAGAGAGAGAGAGAGAGACAGTGTGAGCAGGGGAGGGTCAGAGAGAGAGGGAGTCACAGACTGAAACAGGCTCCAGGCTCTGAGCTGGCAGTCAGCACAGAGCCCGACGCGGGGCTCGAACCCACGAACCACGAGATCATGACCTGAGCGAAAGTCGGACGCTTAACCGACTAAGCCACCCAGGCGCCCCCCATTTACTTGTAAAAAGCATGTGTTTGCCATTTTGGTGTTAATTCTCTGTCCCCTAGCTGATATTTTGGTCTGCTTGTTTGGTCAGATTTAAGAGCATGTATTAAAGTCACCACTGTGACAGAGGATTTGTCTGTTTGTCCTTGTACTTCTGTCATGTTTTTGCCTTATATACTTTGAAGCTATATTACTAGTTAAATTAAAATCATAATACCCTCCTGGTGATATTCTTTTAAGACTTGATAGTCTCTTATATTCCTGTTCTTCAAGAGTATCTTGGTTGTTCTTGGCCCTTTGCAGTTCCATATACGTCAGCTTGTCATGTTCTTCCAAAAAAATTAAATTATCGGGGTGCCTGGGTGGCTCAGTCGGTTGAGCGTCCGGCTTCGGCTCAGGTCATGATCTCGCGGTTTGTGGGTTCGGGCCCCGCGTCGGGCCCTGTGCTGACAGCTCAGAGCCTGGAGCCTGCTTGGGGTTCTGTGTCTCCCTCTCTCTCTGCCCCTCCCTTGCTCATGCTCTGTGTCTCTCTGTCTCAAAAATAAACTATAAAAAAATTTTTTTAATTAAATTAATTGTTAGGATTTTGATTGGAATATTTTAAGAATATATTACCTACCTGTTGATCCATAACAAATTATCCTAAAAATCAGCAGCTTAAAACCACAAACCTTTATTATCTACGCAGTTTCTGAGGATCAGGAATCCACGAGCAGCCGCTTAGCTGTGTAGTTTGGGCTCAAGGTCTTTCATGAGGATGCAGTCAGTAGTCAGCAGGACTCCAGTCATCTCTAGGCTTGAGTGGTGTTGGATAACCTGCCTCTAAACTCACTAATGTGGTTGTTGGAAAGGCTTAGTTCCTTGCTGGCTACTGGCTGGAGGCTTCAGTTCCTCATCACATACACCTCTCCCTCCAGGTGCTTTCAACATGACAGCTCACTTCCTCTAGAGTGAGTGATCTGAGGGAAGCTGAGAGAGCAAAGGAGAGAGAGCCCACACAACACAGAAACCACAGTCTTTTCCACTTCATCTCAGAAGCTATATGCCATCTGTCTGCCATATACTAGGGGTCACACAGACCAGCCCCGGTACAACATGGGAGAGGATGACACAGAGTATGAATAGCAGGAGGTGGAGATTACCAGGGGCCATCTTGGAGTACATCTGTCACAGATAGAATTCCAGTCTGTAAATAATAGCATGAGCTATTGAGATTTCCAACCCATGAGCAGGTCTCCATTTATTTAAGTCTTCTTTTTTTTTTACTTTATTAATTTCTTAAATTTACATCCAAGTTAGTTAGCATATAGTGCAACAATGATTTCAAGAGTAGATTCCTTAATGCCCCTTACCCATTTAGCCCGTCCCCCCTCCCACAACCCCTCCATAACCCTCTGTTTGTTCTCCATATTTAAGAGTGTTTTATGTTTTTGTCCCCCTCCCTGTTTTTATATTATTTTTGGTTCCCTTCCCTTATGTTCATTTGTTTTGTATCTTAAAGTCCTCATATGAGTGAAGTCAAAACATATTTGTCTTTCTCTGACTAACTATCCATTTATTTAAGTCTTCCTATTTAATTTCTCTCAACAATATTTTTTTTCAGTTTTCTATTAGAAGACTTACTCATCTTTTGTTAGATTTACGTCTAATTTTACATACTTTGAAACTATTGTAAACGGTATTATTTAAAATTTTGTTTTCTATTTGTTGTAGTAAATAACAATATAATTGATTTTTATCTATTGACTTTGCCCCCTTTTTTTGCTTTTAAAGTTTCTTATTTTAATTCCAGTTAGTTAACATACAGTGTTATATTCGTTTCAGGTGTACAATACAGTGATTCAGCGATTCCATACATCACCCAGTGCTCATCACAAGTGTACTCCTTAATCCCCATCACATGTTTTCTCCATTGCCCCACTGCCTCTCCCTCTAGTAACCATCACTTTGTTCTCTATAATTAAGAGTCTGTTTCTTGATTTGTCTCTCTCTCTCTCTCTCTCTCTTTCTTTTACTTTGCTTGTTTATTCTGTTTCTTAAATTCCACATATGTGTGAAATCCTATGGTATTCGTCTTTCTCTGACTGACTTATTTTGCTTAGTGTTGTACTCTCTAGATCATGTACTCTGTATATCATGCTGCTATAAACAGGGTTGCATGTATTCTTCTGAATTAGCATTTTTTTATTCTTTGGGTAAATACCCAGTAATGTGATTGCTGGATCATAGGGTAGTTCTATTTTTAACTTTTTGTATATTGACTTTGTACTCAACCATCTTATATAATTCACTTATCAATAATGATAACTTCAATTATAGATTCTTGAATTTTCTACATGTACCATGATATCATCTGTAAATAATTACAATTTTGTTCAAAGTTTCACCATTTATTATGTGTGTTAGGTTTCTTATAGATACCCTTTATCACATTAAGGATGTCCCCTTCTATTCCTAGTTTGCTATGAGTTTTTTTTAACACTATGAATGGATGTTGCATTTTATCAAATGCTTTTACTACATCTATCGAGATGTCCATATCATTGTTCTCCTTTTAATGTGTCAATGTGGCAACTGATTGATTTTTTTAATGTTAATCCAACTTTTCATTCATGGAAGAAACCCAATTTTGTCATGTAATATTTTCTTCTTTATATATTGCTGGATTCAGTTGGATAACATTTTTATGAGGCACATTGTATATATGTTCGGGGAGAGACTGGCATTCAATTTTCTTTTCTCCTATTAGCCTTGTTAGATTTGGGTATAAAAATCATGCGAGGTGAAGTACGTTCCCTCTTTTTCTCTTCTCTGGAAGAATTTGTGAAGTACTAGATTGTCTAATAGAACTTACAAGTAAATCTTTATGATCCTGGAATTTTGTTAAGGGAAACCTTTTTTACTATTGATTAAATGTCTTTAATGGCTATAGGAGTATATAGGTTTTCTTTATCTACTTGAGTTTGTTTTTATAAGTTATATTTTCTATACATTTGTCCATTTTCATCTAAACTTTTAAGTTGTGGTAAAATCATCTACAAATTTATATTATATCCTTTCCTGTTAAATATCTACAGCAATTCTAATGATATCCTCTTTTTATTCTATTTTTCAATGAGAAGAACTAGTTCTTTTTAAAAAGAAACAATACCTACTCATGATAACAACAAAATTTTAACTATACAAAAGTATATGGAACAGAAGATTAAAGTCCCCAAATTCCATTTCCCTCACCTTAAGATAACTACTGATAACAATTGGATATATATCCTTGCTGTCTCTTTTCTATACCTGAACAGATATATTCTTCTCCACATAAATGAGCTTATGCTTTACATAATTTATGGAATCTCCTACCTTTTACTTTCAATACCATCAACACCTTTCATGTTAGTGCTTATAGCTCTGCCCCTTCCTTTTCAGCAGCTACCTACTATTCCACTGATGTGGATAAACTATCACTTATTTAGCAATTTCTTACCGCTCACTCATTTGAATTGTTTCCCTTATTTTGTTACTATAAGCAATACTCTTTGGTTCTTGTTTTGTTTTGTCATGGGTGAAAACAGAAGAAGGAGAAAACCTTCCCCAAATGAAGGTAGAACCCAGGAAGCCATTCTGAGCTTGGCTGCAAGCAAAGAAGGAGCTGCTGACCTTCAGCCCTCCTGCCGACAACACCACCCCCATTGCCCTGAGTGTGCTTCTCAAAAGAGGACCAGTATCCCTTAGATTCAAGGAGATTCCACATATATAAGTACCTCTGGGGTGTTTCTAGGGAAATCTAGAAGGGGTACAGGGGAGAAAGAAGGGTGGTTTGGACAAAGATTCCTCGGGCTCAGAAGTAGAGTGAGCATTTTCTTGTGAATCACCATTTCTGCCACCAACCTGCTCTGAGGTCACTGGGTAGCAAGGGATGGGTCAGACTCTCAGCGTCACAGGAGGCTCTGTCTTCTCTTGCAGGGCACATTCTCATTCGAATTCCAGCCCCTGAGAGCTGGAGAAACCTTTGGGAGACTAACACTGCACAATGGTGATTTGGGTTACTACCTGTATGAGCTCAATTTGAAGGCCACGCCAGCACTGCCTGAAAAGCCCATCCACTTCCAGACTGTTCTTGGCAGCGGTCAGAGCATCTTTGCCAAGTTTACCAATTACACCCGGCAGAAGACAGAATACTACTGCAGGGTGAGCAGCCACTGCCCCACACTCGGCCCTTCCCTTGCCAGGAGTCTAAGCTTAAAACTAATAGGAGGACAACACACCGGGTGCAGAAATGTGAAATGCAGAGAGAGTCAGGTGCTTCATCTAGCCTGGAAACTCCCAGGTAGAAATAAACAGTATCAGACCTGGGTTCTTAACAAGGTAAGGTGGGGATGAGGGGTGGCAGTGGCTTCCCACAGCATGTGCAGTGGTCACTAAAGGAGACAGTAGAGCTCAGTGATCATGAGCAGAGGCTGTGAAATCCAACAAAGTTGGATTTGAACCCTGACTTCACCACTTACTCTTTGTATGAATAATTTACTTAAAGCTCTCTAACCTTTCTATAAATGGTAACAATACCCCAGCCTCAGAGGACTGCTTTGAGACTTTTAAAAGGTGCATATAAAACCACTTTCATAGAGCCTGGCTCATAGTAAATGCTGCATTTACTATTACTTACTATATCAATTGCAATACAGGTTTAACTACTGAAACAGAAGCCCAAAATAACAACAAACTAAAAGCTATTCCTCTCTCAAATAACAGTGTGAACATAAGCAGTTTGGGCTGGAATGATAGCTCCATGCCATAAGGCATCCAAACTCTTTATGCCCTGATGCTCTTCCCTCTGTAGAGAGTTGCTTTGATCCACAGGGGTCAAGAAAGCTTCCCATGACGTTGTGTTCCAGCCAGCTACAAAGGGGAATGGTGGGAGCTGTAGATATCCTTTCTACTCATTCCCTTGAACAAAACTGCATAAGACCACACCTAGCAACAAGGGGATCTAAGAGTGTAGCCTTTGCACTGGGTGACCCTGTGCCAGTTAGCATCAGTGGGTCCATGGCTATAGTCAAGAGGCAAAGGCTCTTTATCAGTCATACCAGTCAGGAGAAGCTAGGTTACACTGCAGTAACAAACAGCCCCAACATCTTAGTGGCTTAAAACAACAAAGGTGTGGGGCGCCTGGGTGGCTCAGTCGGTTAAGCGTCCAACTTCAACTCAGGTCATGATCTCACAGTTTGTGGGTTTGAGCCCCGTGTCAGGCTCTGTGCTGACAGCTAGCTCAGAGCCTGGAGCCTGTTTCAGATTCTGTGTGTGTGTCTCTCTCTCTGACTCTCCCCTGCTCATGCTATCTCTCTCTCTCTCTCAGAAATAAATAAAAAACATTAAAAATAAACAACAACAACAACAACAACAAAGGTGTGTCCCTCACTTGTGCTGTCTATCCAGTGAGGGTCAGCAGGGAACTGTTCATCACAGCCATTTGGGGATCCAGGCTAAACAGCAACCACCAACTCTCTGTTTCCGGTCAGAGTGCCAGAGGGGTGAAATTGCACTGGCAATTGAATGCCCTAGTGTGCAAGTAACACCTTTCACTTCTACTCACAACTAATTGTCCATAACTAGTCCCACCCATCCATGAGGAGCCAGACTGTTTGGTCTTTCATGGATGTGAGAGAAAAGAAGAGCCAGATGGGGGAGTAGCCTCAATGAATGCCACACAGGGGTAATCCAGCTTTGTGTCTCTGGACAAGTTATTTAACATCTCTTGGCCTTGATATCTTTGTGATAAAACAGGGATAATAATTAGTATTACCTACTCTTCAAGGGAGTTTTAAGGGCACAACATTTTATGACCTGCCTGGCCTCACACAAAGGTAGGTTGCTTGATGTCTGATAGTGAGGGGCCAGAGAAGGGACCAAGCTGCTGGTGTGCTCTTTGGGATCCCGTCTGAACTAAATGCATGTGTTCCTCTTTCAGACTGACTGTCAGGACTTCCACACGGAAAAGGTCATTAGCGCTGCCCCAGGGGCTCAGGGAGGAAGTGAAGTCAGCGTGGAAGTCTATTTTGAGCCCAGCCACCTGGGTGAGACCAAGGGCATCCTGATGCTGTCGTCGATTGCAGGCGGGGAGTATATTATCCCTCTCTTTGGAGTGGCTCTGCCCCCCAAGCCTCAGGGTCCCTTCCTGATCCGGGCCGGGTACAACATAGTCATCCCTTTCAAGAACATTTTCTATCATGTGGTCACTTTCTCCGTCATTGTGGAGAACCCAGCCTTCTCTGTTCGCGCTTTAGACTCTGTACGATCCAAGAAGATCAATAATATCACAGTCTCTTTTGAAGGAAATCCATCTGGCAGCAAAACACCCATCACCAGCAAGCTGATCGTGTCCTGTCCTCCCGGTGAAGGCAGCGAAACAGGCATTAAGTGGGTTTATTACCTGAAGGGGATCACCCCTTAGTGGTAACTAAGGTCACTTACATCAGTGAAAAGTCATTTACTCAGCCTTAATATCTATGTATTATTTACCCTGGTGAAGCACAGAGAAAATATCAGAATTCTATAGGCACTGTTTAATCTCCTCATTCAATTATAAGGGCACTTATTTCCATATTATATTCATTCCAAATATATATATATGAAATACATATATATTCCATATTAATCATGGTAATTACAAACAACAGGGCTATACTGTACTTTGCAAAGGCAAATCTCTGAATTTAGTTTCTAATCGTAATCCCAAAGCTCAAATAATAATCCCCATTTTTAATAAGATGACACAGATATGACATTCATGACCTCCTGTCATATAGCACTTAGCAGTACATGACACTGGGGCACCACAGTTGCTTTTTAAAATCCAAAGTGGCTTCAAGAGCCCTTAGATATGATTCTATTTTGATATGATCTTTTATTCTGCTTTCACATAAAAGCCAAATGAATCACCATTTTCACAATGATAACAGATAACACTTGCACCATCATTGCAGGGGCAAAGGCTGGGGGTGCTCCTTCCGTCTCTGAATCCTGTTTCCATTATACACAAGAAAGTTCTCACTGAAAGCCAGGTCCTGGAGAAACGCTGAGACCCCAGCTTCCCACCCCCATCCTCAGCTCTGTGCATAGCAGTCAGCCTGTAGCATGGTGATTCTCTACCCATCTGCACATCAGAATCAGCCGGTTCTGGTCCACACTCTCTCACCCAAATTCTGACATAATCAGCCTGGGGAGGGATGTGGACATCATTTTCTTTTTCAAGCTTGAACAGCAGAGTGGAGGACCAGTGCCACAGATCATATGCCCATCTGGCCCTTGGTGCAGCAACTGAGTCAGGAATCTACTTCCAGGGGAGGAACACATCCTAATTTGATATGTTTAAACTGCAGCCGTTTTGTATGCACATCAAGGCTGAAGTCTAAGTCAGTGCCTTTCTTAAGAGGGAGAGTGCTAGGGAGGAGTGGGATGCCTGTCTTAGCCCAGGCTCTGGCTCTGGTCCTTCAATGTATATTAATAGAACCACTTACCTGTTGGAGCCACCTGATGAAATAAAGATGATTGCAGACTGGCTGTGGAGTGGCTCTGTTTCTGCACACACGCGTGACCGCCCCCCTCTCGGTCCTCCCCACTTTGCATCCCCTACAGCCAACCTGCAAGAGAGCAAGAAAGCATGAAAGGAGATGACCCTTTGGGAATGAATGATCCAAAGAAGGCATTCTGGAAAATGTTCCCTGGAGCGGCAGCAGCAGCAGCACCTAAAAATTCACTAAAAATGCCAATTCTCACGGCACACCGAGACCTGTAGAGTCAGAAAGTCCAGGGGTGTAGCCCAGCAGCGTGCGGTTTAACAAGCCCTTATTGCTTTCAGAGGTGTTGTGTTTTTTTTTTAATGGAGGGAGACTCTTCTAATCCTTTTGTACCTCCCCACAACTCTCAGTCCAGCCTACTCTGCACACAACGAAAGTATTTACAGGACTACACGTAACAGTTCATTTGTATAACCGCCAAAGATGCTGCTAACAGGCATAGACAAAAATAAGATGATAGATTCTCCAGATGGTTAAATGAGCAAAGAATGCACTAAGCAGTCATCTGAGAGGATGTGGAGATCAGTGAGCACGTGCTAGCAAACACCCAGAGTCTCATTAAACCAGTGCTTTTCAAGTTTTAGTATCAAAGTCACCCAGAGGGCTTGCTGCTAACCCACAGGCTGTCTGGCCCCATCCTCAGAGGGTCTGATTTAGGAGTTTGGGGCAGGCTCAAGAACTTGCACCTCTGCCAGGTTTCCAGCGAGACTGTTGCTGCTGGTGCGAGCACACTGCCTAGCACAGCTGTGGAGGCTCGGCTGCCTTGCACCAGCACTGCCTGGGAACACTCTAGGACTACAGGAGCTTGGGCCGCCCCAGACCTGCTGGATCAGAATCTGCATTTTAAGGCATCTCCAGAGGGTGATATGCACAGTGCGGCTGAGAGCAGCTGCCTCAAAGGCACCTATGGAAGCTGAGCCTTTGTGCAATCCACAGCCCTGGTCCTCTCCATTAGGGCCCAAGAAATGATTCTCACCAACTCTGCTTATGACCTAGCCAGTGAAACCCTCCTTCCCCAAAATGTCCATTCTCCCACCCCCTCAGCAGTTGCATAGCTGGGGGATGGGGAACAAGTGGCCCGGCCACCACCTTCTTTAAGGGGCACCTTCTCAACAGTTTGAAACCTAGTATGATAGGTGGTTTTAGACAGAAGAGCTACAGCAAGCTGTGTGAAAGTCGCTACAACACCAGAGGTCGGAGCACTGTGCGACTCACCTTGGGGACTCCTCCAGCTGTGAAGGTCAGCACTTTAATGTGTTCTGTTGAGCTGGAGGGCTCCCAGCCACCGACCCAGATGCTGGCTGTTACAGAAACTGGCCACTTCCCAAGTGTCACCACCAGCAAAATGGTAGGTCAATTCCCCGTACCTCAGCCCTGCCCCAGCTCTCCCCAAGCCACTGAGTCTAGAGCCCACAGCCTCATAGGCCTGGAGTGAGGAGGCAAGCCCTTCTACCTGGGATCAAAGCCCAGCTCAGACCCTGCCCTAGCATGACCCCACTTCTGGCATGACTCGAGATGTGGTACATCTCTTCCCTTGAGGTTGTTCTCATGCTCCCTTGGCCTCAGGAAGGCAATAACAAAATTGTTTCATTTTGGCAAATTTGGAATGGGGAAGTAGCTCAACAGAGGGCTGGAGGAGAAGCTTGGTGGAAATGAGCATTCTGACATAAGCTAGTGGAAGTTACCTTTGAAAGGATACCTTCTCAGCAACGCAGACCAGGAGACATCTCATTGTTGGTGTTCAGAAGCATCAGGCTGAGGTACACACACAATTCCAGGGGGCATTTTTTAAAGTTTATTTATTTTGAGAGAACACAAGCAGGAAAGGGAAAGAGAGGGAGAGAATCCCAAGCAGGCTATGCACTGACAATGCCCAACATAGGGCTCAAACCCATGAACCGTGAGATCGTGACCTGAGCTGGAATCAAGAGTTGGATGCTTAACCGACTGAGCCACCCAGGCACCTCTCCAGGGAGCATTTGCACAGAATACAACGTGAAATGGGGCCCCTGATGTTAATCAACACAGAGGCCGTGGTAAGTGTGGCATCCTGTCTAACCTTCTTTGGGGAAGACTTGCTTTGGGTCAGGGGTGACAATATTATGATGTCATGAGGGATTGCCAGGTACCAAGTATGGGATTCACCCTCAACATGTTACCCTGAAACTCCAGCAAAATTACATTGCTGTTGGAGAAACTACTTTGTACAGTTCCAAGATTTGGATACAGTTTCTCACAATGCCCACCAGCATTCGCTTGCTAGGATGGCTATAACTTATGCAATAACAACCAGGCATCACATGGCTGCAGATGAGTGACAACTCTGAACTGTGTGTGCAACCAGGTGTATCAATCATCCACTAGTCTAGAAAGAGTCTGAGCGTAGCGTTGCCTGGCCAGGGCTGGGCAATAGGGTCAGGCAAGTAAGCATGCGGAGAAGGCAATGGTGGCCTTGGGCTTCATTCTTAACACTGCTGCCAGTACAGTAATGCATAAATAACCTTAATTAGTTGGCATTTTCCAAGATAGCAGAGAAAAGAAACCACCTTTTTTCCTCAGGAATTTCTGAACTAAAGGTGGGACAAAGCATTGGCTTGGGCCTTGAGTAAAAATCTGGTTTCTTAGCAACCTAGTCCAGAACATGATTTCAGGTGACAAGAGTTCCTTCTAGTAAAAACATTACTGTTTCAATTATTAAAAACTGTATCTCATTATGACCCTTGGGAAATTCAGTTCACCTTTAAGAAAAAGCCAAACCAAACAGCAAAAGAAGCAGATGAAATATTACATTAGATATGGGTCCAGTGGAAACGAATACACACTGGAGAAATAGATCCAAATCATTCCCCCAATTTAATTTTCTTTCATGAACTTGCATCAACCCTTATCAAAATCCTAAAGACATAAACTTTGCAAAGACATTTGGAAAAGTCCTTACCAGCACTACTTGGTATCAAGGTAAGAGGAGGAAACTATTAAGCAAACAAAACATTTTCTCTGGAGAGGAATCTCAATCTGGGGCAGTTTCAAATTGGTGGTGCACCCACCTTCATTCACCAGATTGTGTCAGCAAAGGTTTTTGTTTTTATTATTTTTTTATTTTTTACAAATAGTTTAGTATCAAATTAGTTTCCACATAACACCCAGTGCTCATCCCCACAAGTGTCCTCCTCCATGCCCATCCCCCCCCACATCCATCAGTCCTCAGTTTTTGTCAGCATTCAAGAGTCTCTCATGGTTTTAAAAGCTGTGAAAACTTCACCAGTACAAGAAAACACTTTATTCACAGATTTTTCTAGACAAACGTCCTCCATGACTGACTGAGTTTGGGGTTAGCTTTTGTATTTGTTTTTTATGGCTGCATAACAAATTACCACAAATCTAGCAGCCTAAAACAACACAAGTTTCTTATCTCACAGTGTTCATGGATCAGAAGTCCAAAATTAACTGACCTGGGTTCTTGGCTCAGGGTCTCACAGGCTGAAATCACAGCTGCATCTTTCTCTGGAAGCTCAACTAAGAAAAGATCCACTTCTAAGCTCCCTTGGTGTGTTGAAGAAATTCATTTCCTTGCAGCCCTATGATTGAAGTCCCCACTTTCTTGGCACAGACAACCCTCAGGAGACTACTTTTGGCAACTAGAGACCATTCTAAGGTCTTTACCCTGTAGTCCATCGTAGTAACTGTTTTTATTGTGTACTCTTCAAGGCCAGCAGGAGAATCCCTCTGCCACTTCAAATGTCTTCCACTTTTAATGCCTCATCTGATTAGGTTGGACCCAGACAAGATAATCTCCCTTTTTATTAACTCAAAGTCAACTGATTAGAGACCTTAACTACACCTACAGAATCCCTTCTGCTATATAACATAATTGTTTGACATCACATTGTATTTGCAAATCCTATTCACACTCAAAGGGCAGGGATTACCCAGAGGGGTGGGAATCTTGGGAGCCGTATTGGAATTCTGCCTACTATATCCCTTCACTTGTGTCCTATAGATTACAATCTATGGATTGAGGATAAGACTATTTTCCACTTTGTTCTCAAATTTGCATGAATATTTTCCACTCATTAGAAAAAGTACCATCATGTGTTATGTTCATATACTCTTGGGGCTCCACTGTGATCTAGCCCTTGTCCTAAAATCCCTGTCCACTATGGAAGCCTAATGAGGAACTCTGTCTGATGGATCTCCCTGTTAGCCACAATACCTGCGTAGAGTGCTTTTTAAATTTTTACCACATGGCTTCAATTTCTGTTCCACCATTTAGAGTGACACTCAAAGCACTTGGAGGGCTGCTTCACAGCGGATCCATCTGGAGAATGGCACTCAGATTTGGGACTTCTGCTTCCTGTAACCTAGTCCTCTAAGTATCTAAGCATGGTAAACACACCCTTCCGAGTCCCAAATGGTAGGGTGACAGTCACTATTGGTACCTGAGATTCTTGGTAGTAGACAGGTAGCATTGTTTTTAATTGAGAATTTATTTGAATATGTTTTAGAAACATAAAACTATTCACACCACGATCTTAGCACATAAGCAAGACTAAAGTAGGAATTTAAGATTTTTGAAAGGAAGTTGATTGGAGAAAAATACTTTTTTAACAATAGCACAAGTGTCTAGAATATGGCGAAAATCATGACGGTATTCCTCCCATGTAGGAAACTGCCATATGCGAAACTGGTGACTAAATAGTAAATGAACTGGTGTATTCAGTAAGTATTTTAGTAAGTTACGCTATGTGAGTCAGGTTCCATGAGCCCTTTCGTGCTCACAAACATACACAGAAGCCCACCACGCTCCTAGCCGACCACGTGGGAACTTGAGCGCGTGAGATACGCGTCCCACGAAACATCCCCAACCACACGCGAGTGGAGAGGTGCGGAAGGCGGGAGTGAGGAGAGGAGGTAGAGCCTTGTGGGGGCGTAAGCATCCCACCTGCTGCCTGCGTGCGGAGGCGTGGCTGGCGAGGGGCGG